CTCTGAGTTTTGTTTTGTTTCATTGTTTCATTCACACATTTAACACACAAATCCTGTATATTTACATTAAGTTTTTCTCTCAGAAAAACAAAAAACAAAACACTCTGTTCCACTATGTTATGTCATGTGGTAATACAGGAAGGGCTCCACTGTGTTTTTAAGTCCATTCACCTTCACCAGAATCATTCATTGAGAATTTCAGCTCTGGAATTGCCCATCTTTACTGAACAAAAATCAAAATGGAACTGTTAACTTGAAAACTAAGATGCTCTATTCCACCTTGTGATGAAGTGTAGTCTACACCACAAGGTGGAACAGAGCATTTTGAACACTAGGCACGTTTTTGATGAGGTAACAACATTATAACATGTCTTAAAGCTCAGAAGAGTAAATTTTGCATAATATAGGACCTTTAGTGAGTTTGAGACATTCTTGGTCAAATCTAACTTGTGTCATGTATGAAAATCAAACCTAATACAAAGATTTAAAAATTGATTCAATATTTAAGTTCTATTGCTCAAAAGTACTAAATAAAAACATATGGGCAAGCAAATACATTTATAATATGTTTATGGATCAATGACATACACTACCAATCTTGATGTCAGGGCTTAAAGGTGCACTTTTTGGTTGGGGGTCCGTCATCTGCTTGTTTCTATGGATATGGCATTGCTTTGCCTGCAGTGTTCTACAGTATGGCATTAAACAGCTCTTCCTTATATTTGTTCAATTACAGGTGGTTTTATTGCACAAAAATACCTAGAAAATCAAGCATTCTGACTGTGAGCGGGATTGCTTCTCTACAGATGTGACCTGTAACTTGGTCTGGTTGGGTCTCCATGAAGACAGAAAGGTTTAATACCATACTGTGAAACATTCCAGCAAAACAATAACGGACAAGCATCTGACAGAGCCTCCACCAGAAAATTTACACAATGCACCTTTAACTTAGTCCCATGATCTGTAATTTGTTTATAGTCAAAAACTAAAGTTAGTATCCTTGTTTAAATAGTTTGTTTTCGCACTCTCTTCTTGCTATAATAACTAATGCAGACCTGTAAACCCAAAGCTATTAGAAACAACCGCTCCCTTGTGAAACAGCTCGTTGGCCATTACTGCAGTCTTTTAAAAGCTAGGAGCGTCAAATCAAATCATTTCATTAGTTTTACACATCACAGCTAATCAATAAAGAATACAACCGCAACTCTTTGGAAAATGTCTCTCCGGAAGTCGATTAATACTGTTTAATTACAATTTGACACGGGGAGGGAAGCCACTTTAACGCATGCAATACAATACTTTTCTGGATTAGTTTGGCGGAACTTGGGCTCACAGCAAAACAAAGATCGCTTATCCTCTTCCATCTTCGTTCATATTTCATAGTTTGGGGCTTGTGCAGTTTACCAGGCTAATTATGCCCTGCAGGCTTGTAGCGGGAGACTTAGCTCATTCCCCAGACCACATTGGACAGCTGTTGGACATACAAGGTGCAAAAAGCCCTGAGTAACTTGGCACTAACCCAGATGTTCTTGGACTGCGTTGGTTTAGTTAAATGTCCCGCCTCAATGCACAAATTCAGCCATCTGACTGCAATCTAGGCTGAGTACAAAGAAACCACACAGGGTATAGTCATGCCCCAGCACGCCGGTACCACTGAGCAACCAATGCGTTTGAGTGTGTATTTAGTGCGTAAAAGTCCACACCTGCAATCATTTCAGTGCCAGCGATATGCACCGTGCAATCTTGCGTCCATTTCCAACTCCACCGATGCACCCGCTCAGACTCATTCTTCAAATAAAATGAAATTGATCAATGGTGGGTGTCGCGGGCACTAGGCTGCACTCAACCTAAAAACTGCGCTATATACGAGGCCTGGTGGTATTTTTAGCCGGGAATTGAGTAAGACTGAGCATCCCCAAACGCAAACGCAGAGCATCCAGGCACGGGCTGCTACAGTGACACCGAGGTGACTGCGTTTGCGTCCGTTTGCGACTGTGAAGGAATGCAACACAGGGCGAAAGTGTCTTGGAGGAGAGGAGGAAAAAAAAGACGTCAACCGACCAACTCGCACACGCAAAGATAAACACGACTCCCGCTCGGGCTCAGTTCAAACAGATGCAAGCAAATAAACGCAGGCGACAGGGCAAGGCTGTTGGCGTTTAAAACATTGAAAGACCCTTTTTATTTCAACATGGCAGCACCAGCAGAATGGAAAATGTACGTACGGGTCCGTGGGAACCAAGAGAAGAGTGGGCATGGGGCGCACAGTGACCGCACAACTCGCATGGTTCCCGGGGTAAAACCACAAAAAGGACCCGCTGCTTGGATTGACACGAGATGGGTTTGGTGCCAAGCAAATGGGATGGTTCCACACTTTTCATGTAATACGGATGTTATCTTTGTTTAGTGTTTATATGTGAAGAAAATGCACAGATAACATTTAACAGTAACATCTGACACAGTGTCATTAAAAGAGAGCCGTTAGATTAAGATAAAATTGGTTTAAAAGGCACATAACAAAACCTCCGAAGATAATAAAGCAGTTCTACAGTCTTGAATGGTCAGGGGAGAGCATGTGTGTCCGCAGATCTGGAGAAATGGTCTGTGCAATAGTGACATTATGTCGAACAAATGAAATAGTGTTTTCACGCGGTTCTGCTCGCCGCCTCTCCGCTCGCCTGGAAAGCCCACCGCCAAGTGTTGTGTGCGTGTGAACAGGTTTACTGCATTACGACCCGCACAATTACCATCACCATTATTTATCACCTCCATAAACAATCCCCAGCCAAGCCACTCACTTCCGAAGCTGTTCCCGCATCGCCGACCGTTCCCCGCGCTCCCGGTCCGCTGAGAAAAGAAGCGATCCCCGTGAGAACCGAGACGAACTCCCGAAGCCTCCGAGCCCCGAGCACAGTCCTCCGCCACGGGAGACAGTGTCCGAGATGACCGTGTTTGTAAGAGTCTGTGCGCCGTGTGTTCCGCTCTGCAAGCGGCACAGTGGGCTGCAGAGGCTGAGCGGCCACCGACAAACGCAGGTGAAGCGGAGGAGAGAGCAGCACGAGCGCTCTTCCGGCTGTAGTTTCAAAATAAAACCACTGACCGATTCATACACGAGGGAAAATGAGTTGATGCAGTTTGAATTTGCCTTAACTTGCACAATTGAAACAAATAACTGTGTTTACTCTATTGCTTTTAATCATGAAGATATTTTGGGCTGCGCAAAAGCCATCTCTAGACCTTAAAGTGTTTCAAGAGGAAGACTGGGGCTGCTCATTTTGGTTTACAGTAGCCTACTTTTAAAATAAACCTAATGTTACTTTGTCAGTACAAGTTTTATTTACTTGCGGTCTCTGGTCAGGTTTGCTACATTTCGGCAACATTTCTCGTTGTGAAGGAACAATTAACAATGCTGCTCAAATGAAAGTTGAGACCTTGGACTCGGCCAGAATAATCACTTTTATTATGAAAAAGAGAACACCGTCCACTTCCTGTTAACTTTGGGCTGCATGTACGAAACTTCACACGTGTGATTTAGACGAGGCGGAGCTGGGAGTGCGTCCTGCCTCAGCCTCCCTTCCCCCCATCCCGCTGTGTCTGAAAGCACGGAGCCCACACCATCCGTGGAGCTTTTTCACCTCCCTGACGAGAGCGAGACAGAGCCGAGGAGAGCGGGGAGAGGCGAGGGGGGTCCGGGCCTTTCACTTCCACATCCAAGGCCTGGGACAGTGGGATACGTGCTGGGATGATGTGGAGCGGAAGACTTAATTGTATATAAAAAGTATAGTCCTATTTGGTTTTACGCACAAGAGAAACGGGGAAGGTGGGGGCCTCTTTGCTTTGGGAATTAGTGTTCAAGGCTGGAGAAATGTAGTCTGTGTTGCACCAGCCAAGACGAAACAGCCTGTAATTTATAGGCAAGTCTTAACTTTGATTTCATCGCACCTGAACGTGTGTGTAGGTGTGCGCGCAAAGGATACGTGCGGCAATAACCTCGCCTGACACTGCGCCAACTGAAATGAAAGATCTTTAACAAGCTAATTCTCTTCATGTTAGCATACGGGGCAGATACTAAAAAACTAGGCTAAACTTTATTTCTGACTGCCTATCAATTTGAAAAATACGAAGTTTGCAGCTCGGAGTGGAAGTTAGGCTAACTAGTGCGCACCTCTGGGATGGAGTGTGCATATATCTTGTTGGACCTCGTTAATAGCCTCGCAGCACACAGTGAGAAAGTCCCTGCAGCGAAGTTCCATCATTTTCACCACTATATTAATGCGCAGTACTTAAGGAGCAGAAGAAACTGGCCAAGTAGGAGTTGCTTGGATTATACAGAGAGAGAAGAGGGCAGGATATTTGAGATTTGCCTAATTTGTTGCACTGCCTAAACATGGCAAAAAAAGGGAATAAAACCTCCAAACCACAGACTGGATAAAGAAAAGGACTAAGGGAGTGTGAAGTCACCCACAGTTCAGCTCCAGTCAAATGAAGCTCACAGAGGCTAGTGGTTATGGGTGTGAATTCGGAGCCAGTCCATATTAGGAACAGGAATTTATTTATAGGCAAAATAGCTAAATAAAAACATTAACATTTCATGACCAAAATCACAAGGCTCACTGCAGCAGTTACAGAGAGAGGGGTGACGATTTCTCAATGTAAAGTCAGTTGGACCAGAGCCAATGGTCACTTCCTTTTTGGAACATGACGGAAAGAGGGTTAGCTATGTCCATTTATACATACAGTCTATGCCCAAAACCCGTAGTACTACATTTGGTAGATGCTCATTGCGCTCTGCTGACCATTTAGTCTGTATTTTTAACTCAAAGATATTAATAAAACTATGGTGTGAAGCAGCTGCAGAACCCTCACCATTACTTCCATAGGTTATATATGAAAATGGCATTGATTTGACGTTTGATCTAAAATAAACAAGCAAAATAATGAGATATCTGAATATAGGCTGTACATGTGATTTATTGCAATGTTATATAACATGAACTCACAGTGTCTGGGTCATCTGCGCGGGTCCAGCTGTGTCTCTGCATGTGGACAGAACATGTGTCACCTCTTTCTCTCCTCTTTTTCACTGTCTTTCTCTCTCTCTTCCTTCTTTCATACCCACTTGTTTTAATGTGTTAATTCCATGACAAAATACGTGCCACTAAATTGTTGCCAGGAGCGACGGGGCGCGCTGTGCTGGTTACATGGAAGGGGCCTCGCTCAGTCACTGGGTGTTATCTCAAACAGAGCAAGCTGCTAGCTGCTCATTGCCAAGCCGTTTCTCTGCGCTGTGAAGGGTGGATGGGGCTGGCGGAAGTGACACAGCATGGGGTTAGGGATGGAGATGGAAATGTTACATGTATTTTTTGTGTTTGTATTGTTTAAACAAACTGGAGCTTAAAGGGCTTAAGTATATTAAGCTATTTTCTAATCTATGTTATAATGTTGCTTTCTCATCGCAAACATACCAAGAGTTGTGTTTTGTTTCATTCAGACATGTTTAACACACAAATCCCACATATTTAGGCTGAGTTCTCTCAAACGGAATTACTTGTGATGTCTTGTGGTAATTCAAGAAGTGCTCCACTGTGTTTTAAATCTCCATACATCTTCACTAAAATCATTTGGATAATTTCAGCCCTGGAATTGTCAGTTTCTAATAAACAAAAGGTAAAAGGTAGCTGTTAACTTGAAAACTACCATTACATGACATCACAAGGTGGAACAGAGCATTCTGAGCTTTGGAGATGTAGACTAATTATAAAGGATTACTCAGACATGTGTGAATGAAACAAAACACAACTTCAAGTATGTTGGGAAGAGGTAACAACATAAGTCTTAAAGCTTACAAGAGTCAGTTTTATGTGATGTAGGACCTTTAAAACACATGGTAAGTGCAGTTACTCAAACCACTGCATTTAGAAGTAGCTGGTTTGTGAAACGGCTACAGTAGCCAGAGGGGAACACTAGCTTCTCACTGGTTGTAGACGGCAGTAGTTAATTTTTACTGGACCTGGTAAAATTTTACGTCCTTGTAGTTGGTAAACTGACAGAGTTGTGCAAACATAAACAGCAAGTTCTTCAGCATCAGAATAGCAATTAAAGCCTCACTCTGTGATTTTTCTGCCAAAAAATAGACTAAAATAAAAACAAGTTTGTTTTCATTTTTATGGCCTTATGTTCCTTTGCCTCTAAAACTTATGGCTAAAAGATGATCTATCTCAATCTTAGTGGCGGAATGGTTAGCTCACAGTAAGAAGGTTCCAGGTTTGATTCTTGTGTCGCTTTCTGGTGGTGTTTGCATGTTTCTCCCCCATAAACCCAAAACTGTGTAGTCCTGATGATAGATGCAAATAGCTAACCTGCTTGGTGCCGCATTCCAAATATGAAGTTAGTATGAACGTACTTCCGGCTCCATCGACTCTGGCTCCAATTCACTCTCTGTGTAACTGCTGCTGTCAGGCTCCTCATTTTAGTCTTAAAATGTTCGTATTAACCCACTCTACATGATCCTGGTGTTTTTACTTCACTATTTTGTCTGTGAATAAATTCCTATTCCTAGTATAGAACACCCATAGAACTGCAAGCCTCGCCAAGCTTTATTTGACTGGAACCGTGCCTTAGTCCACTTCTTCATACAGTCTATGGTCCTGACCAAGCCTAGCTCAAGATCTGTGGAGATGGGTCTCTGTGCCACTGCTCCTAACAGGCTGACCCAGTGACCCTGAAGTATGGGTCAAATGCAGAGGACACATTTCCCTATAGTGACAGTGTACCTTAACCTTATATGGTGTAGCTTAATGAAACACAAAACAAAAATCTGGTTGACTTGATGCTGTATAATGCACGACCTGGTTATAACCCAAAGGCACGTGTCTATTGTAGATGGTAATACATGCTAAAAAATGTGTATGAATAAGTTATGAATGCACTGTAAATAGACACACTGGTATTTCTTTAGCAGTAATCAAGTGACTACATTGGTCCAAAACATCAGCACCACTTTATAATAACTACACCTGAATTTGCCTCAATAAAGCATAGAAATACTTAATTAATAATGAACAAATAGCTTATTAAGAATGATTTGGGCTTTGTTCATGCTTTATTAAAGGTGCATTGTGTAACTTTTTTGGTGGAGGGTCCAGCAGATGCTTTTCTTCATGGAGATCTTATTGCTTTGTCTGGATAAAACCTTTCTGTCTTCATGGAGATAAAACCAGACCAAGTTACAGGTCAGGTCTGTGAAGAAGCAACCCTGCTCACAATAAGAATGCAATGTATTTTTGAGCGGTAAAGTTAATAAATGTAAGGCAGAGCTGTCTAATGTCATACTGTGGAACATTCCAGGCAGAGTAATGACATATCCATAGAAAAAAGCAGGTGACTGACCCCAAACGGAGAAGTTACATAGTGCACCTTTAAGGCAATATAAAGTGTAGTTATTCTTAAGTGTTACCAAAATATCCTTTAAAATCCTCCAATGTCCCTGACGTAGTAACAGAACTTGCAGTACCCCCATTCAAGCATGAATGTCATAGAGTTTATCAATTATTTAACTTAACCACTATACCTGACGCGTGTATCGCCTTATGTGCCCCCGATGATGGTAATTAACACTGAAAATGCTTTTTAACACGGTTCAGTATTGGAAAAACTCCACTCTAGCTGGACCACTTGCAAACCCGATATTAAAGAATTGATGAGGTGAAATTGGCTTGATGTAACCCAAGTGGCGAAGTCTTGAAATCTGCTGCAAGATTCTAAATTTGAAACTCACACTCTTTTAAACGCGCATAAATATTTAATCTGCCTTGTTAGCAAATGGGGAAAATACTTTACTTCTAGCAACATAATAAACCAAAATAATCAAAATATGAGTACACATGTAATATAGTGTATAAGATGGTAATGGAAACAAAGGAGGTAAGTTATTACTGGTGAAATGAATTATCGTAGCTAAGCATTAATACAAGGTAAGCCAGCAGTTTAGAGCTAATCGCCAAAGAGCACACACGATTAACAAGGCTTATAGAGTTAGAAGCTGCGCGCTGGATACGTTCTCACTCTGTTGGCATGAAAACAAATCAGGTAGGTGCACACTTCACAACCTTATTCTTGTAATATAAACAGAAATAAAATATATGGAGGTATATGTAATAAAAATGCATGCATGTCCTAGTGTAATTGTTGTGATGTATCTGTTCGGCCAGTAGGGGCACTGTTTAAGAGACTTATGGACAAAACTACTATAATAATACTATATAAATTATCACCAAATTCTTTTTATCATTGCTAATAAACTCATACTATTACAACTGCGTACAACACTAGATACTACATTGTCAAAGTAAAAAGCATTGAGGTAGCTCTCTACTCCATCTAGTGGCATGAATTATTAAAATAAGATTTAACTTCTTTTTATATTCTTGTATATTTCTTGTATATTTGTTATGTTATGAATAAATAAACAACCCTATTTACAAGTGTCATCCCTAACTGAATTGCATGAGTATTTTGTAACCACAATGTATGAATTATGAAGCTTGGATAACATCTTAACTATGTTTACAGGCTCAGTGAAAATCTGATCATTATCTGATTTCTGAAGTTATCAGATTATTGAAATGTGAGTGCATAATCGGATTACTTTTGGATTGTTCACAGCTGTGCAGGTTTGACAAGGGAAATTATGCAAAAAAAGGCAAACTAACGTAGCAAAGACAAAAATGAAAGAGCTGAATGATAAACATTGAAGAAGTTATTTAAAATCAGATCTAATTACTGTGTAATCTAATTATTCTAGTTATCTGATTTGCGGTCTATGTATGTAATATGTATCAGTTCAAGGCTCCATATTACGCTATTTTCTGATATGTTATAATGTTGTAATGTGTCCTCATCAAAAACATACTTGGATTTGTGTTTTGTTTCATTCACACATGTTTATCACAAATTCTGCATATTTAGACCTTTAGTTAGTATTCTGTTGCACCTTGTGATGTATGTAGTAATACAGAAAGTAATACAGAAAGTGCCTCACTGTGCTTTGAAACTCTACACACTTTCACTAGAATCATTTGGATCATTTCAGCCCAACCATTTCCAATCTCTACTGAACTAAAGGTAAAAGGTAGCTGCTAACTTAAAAATTACTGCTTCATGATATCACAAGGTGGAACCGAGCATTTTGAGCTTTGGAGATGTAGACAGACCAATAACAAAGGGTTACTTGGACATGTGAGTGAGAGCGAATGAAACAAAATACAACTCCAGGTATGTTTTGAGGAGTTAACCACACTATTACACGGCTTAAAGCTCACAAGAGTCAATTTTGTGTAATATAGGGCCTTTAACCTTACACAATTTCCTCCACCTTTCTAAGACATATTACTAGAGAAAGTAAATTGTGCTGTCTTCCTTAACCTGAACACACTATTATAAGCTGTCATTGATGTGTGGTGTATTGAACGTGTGAATGGGAGTACTCACTTGATGTAGTAGGGCACGTTATTGGGGGAGACACCTTGTTCAAATGGACTTTCCACTGAAGCTGTAGAGACACAGAGAAACACAGGGTCACACCAAATGTCCACAAGCTAATAAACCATTAGCAAAACACTTTTACAGCTTATAACATCCAACCTGCGGGCATCCATCCATTCACCCACTGTCAGTAAAACGTGTATGCGGCACTTTGAAAAACAATACGTAGTCTAAAGTTTCCTCAAAGTAATATACGCGATAATGAAAACCTGCAAAAACATGAGAAATATGGCTAATTATCTTCACTTATTATGCCCACAAGAGCTGGCACACCAAGCTGTAAAGCAAAGGCTGTTTCTGGGGAATAGTCCGCACAGTTGGAATGTGTCTTGGACCAATCAGAACACGGGATGGGGAGAACGCGCTGTCTAAGCCTTATTGTGCCTCACGGGTGAAATTTGCACCACTCAAAAACAAAGCAATGCATCATGGGACAGCTGCCAGTGTGCATGCTGAGTGTATTAACATAGCCATATGCAAACTATCTGCCATTTTGGTTTTCAATATTATCTAAGCACCGTGGAGTACAGTAGGTGGTGATTGGGCCTGTAAAATATGCCAGCTATGGAGTCTATACAAGATTTTCTAGTTAGCAAATTACTATTGGCCATATGCCAATATTTTTTCGTGATAATATATGAAGTACAGCCAAATGTGATCTTAAAGATTCTATATTACACAAAATTGACTCCTGTCAGTGTTAAGCCATTTTAGACTATTGTTCTCTCATCTAAAACATATCCAGGGTTGTGTTTGTTTTTTTTTTCATTCAAAATCCTCTGTTCCATCTTATGATGTCATGTAACAGATAAGTTTTATCTTTAGATCACTAGAGATGGGCGATTCCAGAGCTAAAACCACAGTGAAGCACTTCCTCTATTACAACATGACATCACAAGGTGGAACAGTTTTCTGTTTGAGAGAAGAACTCAGCCTAAATATACAAGGTTTATGTGTTAAGCATGTGTGAATGAAACAAAACACAACTCCAGGTAAGTTTTTGATAAGGAAACAATATTATAACAGATCAGAAAATAGTCTGAGTCTGTACATTATTTTATTAAGTAGAAGTAAAACAGTGCAATACTACTACTACCACTACAACTACCACTATTCACTATCACTATCACTACTACTACCACTACTACTAAAGCTTCTAGTAGCAAAATGAGCATTGAGATTAATGCTATACTACTATACTTAAAAATACCCTTCATATGTAGTGTATGCTAATTAAAGGTCCATTCATCTAAAGGTAGACAGAGTGACCTCCAGGCTGCAGTCTTGACCACGTTTGATCTTTTGTTCACCGTGTCATGACCACCTAATCATTTACATCAGGATGCATGGGACAATCAGCTGAGATTTTCTGAATGGAAATTTATTGAAATGCCACTCGTATAATCAAGTGAGCAGGTTTCTGTTCTACTTCTATGCAGACTGTGGGCTATGTGAGGTCAGACATCCAGTAAACCGGGCCTTTACCATATTTAGTAATAAAGCTATTTTAGTGAGTCATCTGCTCCCATTTAGCATACTCCTATCTTCTCTTTGTTTTTTTTCTAGACATACTCCTCTAGCTTCAGAAAGCATCTACTTTCGTTGATAGTAAACATCTATACTCATTTTAAATGTTCAACTGGTAGATTCTTGGGACCCAGAGACATGAACTTTTAAAGCACTGTGACTGTTTGCTGTATTGTCTATTCCAGTCTAGACCAGTTTGGCTATGTATATGTTGTAGGAAGTATTATACCTCTGTTGATGTGGGCCAAGATAACAACGACTGAGCCGCATTTTCTCTATCAACTTTGAATGCTGTCATCTTTTTAACAATATATAAATCAATGTTCTTTCAACCTAGGAGTTTTATGGCACTTAAGAAATCCTTGGCCATGCATATTTAAGGCCACATCAGCGTTAACATACATACATAAAATATTGATCAAGTTTAACACTCCCGCTTGCTTATCTGTGGCTATTATTCAGATGGCTTCGTGACCTGACAGTGTCCCTTATTGGATGAAAGAACGAAGATGGCAGCGATGTCTTAGCCTTGTCTTATCGGAGCATCTTGTTAACTGTTAGCGGCCAGACTGTTTGTGTCGATGTGTGTGCGTGTGTGAATGGACTTACCCATATACTCCTTGTGCGCATCTGTCAGCTGCTGCAAGTGCTCACTGACGGATACCTAAATAAGACAGCAACATTACCTCAGTGCTAAGATGCTATATATTGAAATTTTATATATGTAAGGATTAGTTCTTAACAAATAGTGAGGTGAAACAAAAGGAAAGGACATGCTGGTATTATAATTTTTTACTGGAAAACATGCAAACAGCAGAATGGGTCTACTCGTTGCTACGGTGATGTGATAAAACTACAATACTATTTATAAATATAATATAAACTAGAAAAGCACTCAGAGAGCGCAGACCTCCGCCAAGGACTACCCCCATTTTTTATATAAATTGCGATAAAATCAGTCTTCTGGATCAGATCCGGATCAGCCTTTGGAATATGAAAGAGGATCCCATTGTCCATCCCTGAGTCAAATTTCATGGGGTTTGGTCAATAATTAACCGAGATATTGAGAAACATTTACCACAATGTTAACAAAAATTTCAAAGTGATCCAGAATCCAGGATTTCTTCCAGATCACCCCCAAAATGAAATCAGTTCTTCCTTTTCACATTTCCAATAAATCCTGAAAATTTCATCAAAATCGGTCCATAACTTTTTGAGTTATGTTGCTAACAGACAAACAAACAAACAAACAAACAAACAGACAGACAAATGCCGGCAAAAACATAACCTCCTTGGCGGAGGTAAATATGGGGAAAATTGCAAAGAATTGTAATGGTAGATCATGTCACTTTTCTGGTGGAACTGATTATAAAGAAATGTTTCATGGAATGCAAAAACTTTAAAGGGCCCATATTACACTATTTTCTGATCTATGTTATAATAGTTTCCTAAACAAAACCATATCCGGAGTTTTATTTTGTTTCATTCACACACGTTTAACACACAAACTCTGCATATTTAGGCTGTCATGTGGTAATAAAGGAAGTGCTCCACTGTGTTTTTAAACTCCATACAATTTCACTAGTCATTTGGATGATTTCAGACCTGGAATTGCCAATCTCTGCAGAAGAACTACTGCTTCATGACATCACAAGGTGGAACAGAGCATTTTGAGCTTTAGAGATGCAGAATGACTAATAATAAAGTGTCACTCAAACACGTGTGAATGAAACAAAACACAACTCCAGGTATGTTTTTGAGAAAGCAACAGCATTATAACATGGCTTAAAGCTGACAAGAGTTAATTTTGCGTAACATAGGACCTTTAAGTTATGGGACAACAACAAATTCTGTGGTTATATATGTTTACTTCAATTTATATGTGTAAAAACAGCTATGCAAGTGAATGGGTCTGCCTGAGATGCCTGGGCTGAATAGATTCTTTTCTACATAGACTTGCGTTGCAGTTGTAGTCCCCACCCACCACTGACAGAAGATCAATACATAGTAGGAGTAGAGCAAAGCTAAGATGGCAGATGGCTCCACAAATTGAGATTAATCGCAGAATTTACGGAGTGACAGTGAACTAACCAGAAGGCTTTCACATTACTATACAATAAAGACTTTTTCATAATCTAATAACAATGAAGCGAAAACACAACGCACTGTCAGGAAGCAATTATTCCGAACCCACAAGAGAACTCAACGCTAACGCAGTGCTATGGTAATAAATTGCGTTATAATGCGATGGGGTGAGTACACAGGAGGCCGCTTGCGTCACGGAGAACGGTGGGACATGGAAAAACAGCCGAAAAACGAGAAGAAACGGGCAGATGGGTGAAGGGGAGGGGGGGTGGCAAGGAGACAAGTGCATCGTGGGTAATTGAATTTGTAGTGGGGGAATTAGCCAGGACAGAATGAGGTGTCTGAAGAGATGGCGAGGTAGAGATGGGGGTAACTGTGTCAAATCAGCACATCTATGTAGGTACAAGCCCACTAATAATACACCTGTGTACAAGCCTACAAATGACTTAAAGATGCACTGTGTAACTTTTCTGACGGAGGATACGCCATGCACCTTCTTGTTAACATATATCTAAGTATATATCTTGAATTTATACAATTGCATGTGTCTTCATTGCTTGAAAATACACAGAAAACATTTACTGTATATGGCAAGCCTCTCTACAGATCTGACCCGTAACCATAGACTGTATAAAAAAGTGGATTGAGGGTGCATGTGATGTCACCCACAGCATTCAGCTCCAGTCAAATGAAGCTGGTTGTGGCTCACAGTTAGGGGCAAGTTAGAGTTCCATATTTGGATTTCTGGCCCCAAGTATCATAGCAACCAAAGAGCCAATAAGGAGTGAGACGAAAGGTAACACCCCTTCCCACTTAGCAACGCTGTCAATTAAACCTGTTGCTAAGGCTAGTGCGACAGACCTTGGGGAAAGAAGGTGTCTGATTTGTCTGTTGTAAATGTTCATATCTAGCTTGATTCATCAGCCGGTTTCACTTCGTGGAAACCGTCTGACCTCGCAGCATTAGAATTTGTTCATTTGACGATAGGCGGGTACTTTTTTAATTTAAACCAATCGCTGCTATTTGGTCATGACATATGTAATGCGCCGCTAACAGGGGTAACTGATATATTAAGCTTTTCCCAAATCCCATAGAAAGAAGGGCAATAACGTCTTTCCCCTTGATAAAATTCACCAAACATTCTCTTTAATCCGGCTTTAAATCCTTGATCTCGGGAATCATTGCCAACACAGAATGTATGGCTCTTCGCTGATTGGCTGGTATCCGGACATGCACTTTTGGGGTTTTTGCAAAATGTCTAGTGTATTCCGATTCCTGCCCTACTCGCTGGAGAGAAAAGAAATTGAGCGGAGGCACTAGGTGGCGCCAGCCTGGCTAGTTCATATCCAGATTTACAGTCAAAATAGCTACATTAAATTGAAATTAAATGAAGATCAAAATGGAGTCTGTGGAGCCGGAAGTGCGCCGATACTCACTTCCTATTTGAAACATGCTGGCTAGCGGGTTAGCTATGTCCATTTATATAAACAGTCTATGCCTGTAACCGCCTGCTTATCCCCATGGAAAAAGATACATTTATGCAATATTGGATCGAGTATTCCAGTCAAAGCCATAACATTACCACGAAGACAAGCAGGTGGCATACCCTCTATTAGAAAAGTCACACAGTGCTCCTTTAAAGACCATCTTGAGTTCACTGGTTTTGTTTGTGCATGTATTTACACGAGATTATAATTATAAAGCAGTGGAAAGATAGCACTGTTTTAAGGTGGTATTCAAACCTGCCATTGAAATCCATAGAGTGATGGAGTGTAATTTGGCCCGCCTTAATGTAACTTGTGAATGGGCCTAATGTTTCCCCTGAGATCTGATGAAGCACTTGGAGACAGTTAATACATCACCATTGAAGTCCAAATGGATATTGGCTTGTGTTTTACTGGAAGAGTGTGCGACTGAAAGATCAAAATAGGCCACATGTAAAGTATAGTAGACAGACCATCGCTACTGAAGTCCACAAGGGAGATGTCTACTGCTGTCCGTAGCCATCTGGTTCTCCTTTAAGACCAACTTTAGTGCTTTTTTATAGAGGAATAATGATGTTGAGATGCCCACCGGAGAAGAGACTACAAACTAGGCACATAAAACTTAACAACTTAATTAAAAGAGTTGAATTATTATTTGCAAAGGAAAGTCTGTTAAGTAGATATAATTAGAGATTGTAGACAAAGCAAAATAATATGATGAGTTATTATCAAATGTACCTTAGTTTTGAATACATTTTTCTTGTATTTCACTGTGCATTTTTCATATATACATATTCAGAGTAAAAGGAATATTACTCAAGTAGAAGTACAAATTAAGTGGTCCAAGGTCTTACATGTAAGAGTAAAAAAGTATTTGGTAAGAGTAAATATCTAGAAATATCAGATTTAAAGGCAAAACATCAACTAATAATTATGGTATTTCCAAAAGATAGACCAAAAATCTTCATTCAAATCTTGTGGTATTGATACATTTACATATTTATACTCACAGTGAGAAAAGTAAACAAAACCTTCACTCAAATAAAAGTACTGTGCCTTCAGTGAAATATTACTACAGTAGGAGTAATTCTATGTATGTAACTACAATTTCTTTAAAACATTACTCAAGTAAATTCAATCTGATTGAGTACTACCCTCCTCTGGATATAACAGATTTTAATGCCAGGTTTGAGAAGGGCCTTAGCCACTATTTGCTAAGATCAGCTACTTTTGACCCACTAAACCATTTCCACTGCATTTAATCACTGTACTTATCCATAAAAACCCCATCTCCTGGATCTTATCTGGTGACAAACGCGTGCTTCCAGTGCTGAGGACATTTATCAAAAGCTCTGATTAGATTTGCCTTTCTAATCTGATGAATTATTCACACTAAGAGACAGCCTAAAGGAAGGGGTCACGACTGCAGATTGGCACCAGTTCTTATGTAATTCCAGTGACGTCCAATGATCTAATGCTACCAGGCAGAACCATAGGCTGTATATGAAATGGACATAGCTAAAACACTAGCCGCCACGTTCTAAATACGAAGTGACCATGGAGGCACTTCTGGCTCCATCGGCTCTGGATCCAATTGACTTTGTATTGAAAAAAACTTCACCCTCTCTGTACTGCTGCCTTGTCATTTTGGTCTTAAATGTTCGTATTAACTCACTTTACATGATCCTGGTGTTTTTATTTCACTCTTTTATCCATAAATAAATTCCTATTCCTAATGTGGAGCTTCAAATTCGCTTCTATAACTGCTAGCCTCGTGAGCTTCACTATCACTCTCTCTTAATCCACTTCTTTATATAGTCTATGGGCAGAATGCTAAATTCCAATTGACACAATTCCTTTTCCAAGAATTTCCATGTGTGAACTGATTCTATATTTAAAGCAATTTCTGTACTGGGCAAATTGGCTGATTAAGATTCAAATGAAAAGATGAAATGAAACCAATGTCTAATTTTGAAGGCCCTACATTAGACAGTGTACTAAAGCCATGTTATAATGCTGTTAGCTCATCAAAAACATAACTGGATTTGTGTTTTGTTTTATTCACACGTTTGAGTAATCCTGCATTATTACTCTGTCTACATCTCAAAACCTCAAAATGCTCTGCTCCACCTTGTGATGTCATGAAGTGGTAGCTTTCACGTTAACGGCTACCTTTGACCTAGTTCCTTAGTTCAGTTACCTTTTACTTTAAATCAGTAGAGATTGGTAATTTCAGGTCTGAAATAATCCAAATGATTCTAGTGTAGGTGTATGAAGTATAAAAAGAAGTAAATGGAGCACTTTCTGTCTTACCACATGACATCACAAGGTGGAACAGTTTGTTTTTCCATTTGAGATAAGAACTCAACCTAAATATGCAGGGTTTATGCGAATGAAAAAAACACAAGAATGTTTGTGATGAGGAAACAAAATTATAACATAGATCAGAAAATAGCATAACATGGGACCTTTAACATACAGTTTAATGTGACATGAACAGTTGAAAATTACCTTGCAGTCCGCCTCACTCACTCCGTTCCTGCCCGAGTTGTTTTTGCCTGTATCCACGGAAACCTAATTAGGAGTTGTACAAATGAGAGGAGTGCGATTGTTGAGGAGGAATTTATCGTAATTAACTGGGAGTGCACTGTGCCACCGAGGAGCGGCCAATCAGATTTGACCTTTTCGGGGCGCACAGTGACCCGCGCAGAGGTACACATTTTACTCATCCACGCACACACACATACTAACATTGATTGTATGTGTATTCAAGACAATTGAAGGAGGTTTTGAGTAATTCTGTAGTCTTTGCCCACAATAGGCTATTAACACTATAATAAAATGAAAAAAAAAAGCTAATTTTTTTTTTTTTTTTGAATGAAAGTGCCTATAGATTTCACACATGATTAATCAATAGATATATTTGTTAAATACCCAGTTTGTTCAAAAGGAATTAATAAAAGTGTAACTAAACGAAATTGGCTAAAAAAAAACATAGTGGCCATCATTTTGGATTAAAACAACAACAACAACACATTTAAAAGTTCTATATTACACAAAATTGACTCTTGTGAGCTTTACTGCAAGTCATGTTAGAATGTTGCTGTCTCATCAAAAACATACCTGGAGTTATGTTTTGTTTCATTCACACATGTCTGAATAACCCTTTATTATTAGTCTGTCTACATCTACGAAGTTCAAAATTCTCTGTTCCACCTAATGTCATGAAGCAATATTAAGCAAGTGAACAGCTACCTTTTACCTTTTGTTCAGTAGGGATTGGCAATTCCATGTCTGAAATTATCCAAATGATTCTAGTGAAGGTGTCTGGAGTTTAAAAACACACTTCCTGTATTACCACATGACATCACAAGGTGGAAGGAGAGTTTTCTCTTTGAGAGAATAACCTAATTACGCAGGGTATGTGTTTTAACACATATGAAGGAAACAAAACAAAACTCCAGGTATGTTGTTGATGAGGAAACCACACTGTAACATAGTGTAATATAGTGCTTTTAAATGTACTTTTTACATTATATACTGTACATTTTGCAAGTTTAAAATTATTTATCAGATTAGATTGCTAGGCTAAAATGTATAGTACGCTGACAATTAAGAATTTTATCGTTTAATCTACAACTCAAACCCAACTCAAAATCTTAGAAAAGATAAAAAGGCTTCCATTCGAAGCATATAAAATTCCTTGATGACGTATTAAATTCATTAGTACCCCCTAGTTGTCCTTCTCTTCTACATCTTAGCCATCTTCACCTCCTTACAGGTAAGCTTGTGCGTGTGTGTGTGTGTACAATCCACCATCTGCTCCGGTCCAAACTTCAGAGGGTCCGGCCGTCTGTCCCGTCACCCAGGGGCCCATCTCCTCCCGGGACCCCCCACCCTCCTCCCCCCTCCTGTCCCCCGCTTTAGCTGTGCTCTCTGGCTCCTGATTGGCTACATGTGTCAGGGCCGTTCACCGTCACTGTCCGGCTTCCAACAAGGACGCCACCAGGTTTATTAAAAGTGATCAAGGCAAGCCGCGTGTAGCCTCTGATTCTGAAGAGGTGAGGGGATTTTCATTTGGGAATTCTAGATTTTTGTTAATAGGCACACGCACTCACAAGCAGGCACAGAGAAGCAGTTAGCAAGGTTATAAGAAAAGCTGTTTTATATTATACAAAAAGACAGGAGACAGTTGGAAAAAAGTAGACACAATCAAGACTAAGAGGGCGCATAAAGTCAAGACAAATTAAAAAAAAAAAGATGGTTAGAATTTGAATTCAATTTATTATGAAGAAATTTGGAGATATTTTGCCTGTTGTTGGTTGTAGCACATAATTTGGTGTATCCATGCTGAGAAACTAAATATATAAATTGGAATTTTAGAAGAATTTTAGAAGATTAGACTGTGTTAACATTTGGCCGTTCAAATTTGACCTTGTTAAGTCCTGTTTGAGCCCAGGTTAGTTCCAATGCAGACTTGCTTTGGTCCTGTTCTAGTTTTGGTTAAGTCCTGGTCTAGTCCTGGTTAAATCCTGGTTTCGTACTAGTTTAGTCCTTGTCAAATCCTGATTTAGTCCCGGTCTAGACCCCTTCTAGTCATGGTCTAGTCCTGGTTTGGTCCTGTTCTATTCCTGCTTAAATCCTGGTCTAGTCCTGGTTTAGTCCTGGTTTAGTCCTGGTTTGGTATTGGCCTAGTCCTGGTCTAGTCCTTTTGTAGTCGTGGTCTAATCCTGGTTTAGTCCTGTTTTATTCCTAGTTTAATCCTGGTTTAGTCCTGTTTTATTCCTAGTTTAATCCTGGTTTAGTCCTATTCTAGTTCTGGTTAGTCCTGTTTTATTCCTACTTTAATCCTGGTCCTGGGTTAGTCATAGTTTAGTCCTGGTTTAGTCCCGGTTTAGCCCTGGTCTGGTATTGGTCTAATCCTGGTCTAGTCCTCTTCTAGTCGTGGTCTAGTCCTGGTTGAATCCTGGTCTATTCCTGGTTTAAACCTAGTCTAGTCCTGGTTTAATCCTGATTTAGTCCTGCTCTAATCCTGGTTTAGTCTAAGTCTAGTCCTGGTTTAGTTACGAGTTTAGACCCAAATTTGATGTATGAATGCACCCTAACATACTGTACACAAGTTATAAGCTTATGACATTGTTTTTTGAAACCATCTTTCATTTAAAATCCCGTAATAATTTTTATAAATATTGTCAGTAGAAGCCCCCATCTTAGATACAGTGTCCACTATTCCTACTGTCTATTACTCACAGACATTCTAGTTCATTAAGTTAACCCTGTTCATTGTACCATGCACATACAGTAGCTACACGCGTACGACCACAGCGGCTGTACCTGGAGCAGTTCCCAGCGGGTGTTCAGTTCCTCGATGCGTTCTCGGTTGCTAGGAGACAGCTGGATGTCATGTGGTCCGAACGTGGATGCCAGCTGGTTCATACGTTTGACATCGTTTTCAATGGGAGCGATCTCTTCCTGGAACTCCTACACACAAACGTGGAAGCAAAGACAGTGTCACAATGGAGAGGAAAGCTATAGTATGATAAAGCATATACTCTATTTCAATTATTATGTATGAAGAGATTATTGACAGGATTACATAGGATCACTTGAGAAATCCCCATACATCTTTCATAATGTAGATGACCTTCACTCTGTTAATAAAAGGGATTAGTGTAATACAGACATAATTAAGTAATGATTATATGATCAGATTAAAGCCTGGACAATCAATATTAGCTTCCATTTTGAGTGTATATTGACTTAGATCTTATTTTCAGACAAACTGAAACCACATTAACGTTTGAAAATATATTTTCAGTATCTTGGTTTAGAATCCCTACTGTAATAATTAGAACATTTTAACTTTTACAAATTTGAATTGTATTTTATCTTCACCTTTACCCCCCCTAATGTGCGGGTAGGTATTAAAGGTCCTATATTTTACAAAAATATCATCAAAAATATACCCGGAGTTGTGTTTTGTTTTATTTACATGTGTTTGAGTAATCTTGGTTTATTAGTCTGTCTGCATCTCCAAAGCTCAATTCAAAATGCTCTGTTCCACTTTTGTCATGAAGTGGTAGTTTTCAAGTTAATGGCTACTTTTTACCTCTAGTTCAGGAGAGATTGGCAATTCCAGGGCTGACATTATCCAAATGATTATCGTGAAAATGTATGGAGTTTAAAAGCACAGTGGAGCACTTCCTGTATTACAACATGACATCACAAGATGGAACAAGGTGAATTGTTATCCATTTGAGAGAAGAACTCAGTCTCAATATGCCTAACAAAACACGATCCAGGTATGTTTTGATGAGGAAACAACATTATAACACAGATCATAAAAGAACGCAATACAGGCCCTTTAAAAGTTATATAGATGTTACCTGCCAGTGGAGTTGGGGGATTTTCCACTGCATTGCCGTATAACAAGGACACCTCCAGCTTGGTCCTTGTTGACATTTCTTTACAGATATTGTAGCTCTATGTGGCCTTCATCATCAGAGATTACAATACTCCTAACAGCGAGAGTATATAGACTTTCCCATGTATGTGTGACCAGTAGAATACAAAATACTGAAACATGCGTGGATGACATCTAAAACCTCTTCAGACATGTTTGATAACGTTATAACATGGTAGAAAGCAAAAACAAATTGCATAGTACCTACTCTTTAATATTTCCATGTGATCTTATACTATCTCAGTCTACAATTATTCACAAAACATTCAGTTTTGTTGCTCTATTTAGGTTATGTGATTTTTTTTTTTTTTTAGTATTGATTCTTGTAAAAAATCAGTATCTACAGTCAGTACTAGTTTTAATATTGATTACCTGGATCTAGATCTGTGCACTTTATAAGCTGTATTTGGGTTTATACTGATTTTATTTTATATACTGTGGGATGAATTCCTCAAAGTGTGTGAACCAAAACACAGAATATGCTTAAAATGCCCCTCGGGGATAAACACATGAATTTATTACTTATAGTACTTTGAATTGATTTGAAAACACTGGCCATATGCTGGGGCTGGGCGATGTGCCAGGAAAACTCCTATCATGATTTTCTTAGAGCCTGATCATGTTTTCTTGGTATCTTTTATCTAGTCTTTAAAGCTATCTGCTGTTTCTGGAAGTACACTTCACTGTGATTCGTTAAAGTCACCCGTCACTCACTCAGAGTCCGATGACAGCTAACCAATAGGAGGAGTGGGTGTGGAAAGTGTCTGTATTTGACCATAGAGCTGTATTAAGGGTGCACTGCATAACTTTTCTGGTAGAGGGTCCGCCACCTCCTTGGCTGTATTCTGATGTTACGGTTTTGTTTCCTGGAATGTTCTACAGTATGGCATTTAATATAACTCTCTTCATGAGACAAGCAGCCACATCAGCAGACCATCTTACAGGTCAGATCTGCGGAGAAGTGGGCCCACTCATGGTAAGAATGCATGTTTTTGTGATAGTTCTGAGAAATAAAAAGTCCTATAATTGAATAAATACAGGATATGTTTGCTTAAAGGCAAATTAATATGTTATTGCTTTGTCTGAAATGTCTCACAGTATGGCATTAAACCTTTTTACCTTCATGGAGACCAAACCAGACCAAGTTACTGTCAGATCTTTGGAAAGGTGACTCCGCTCACAGTCAAAATGGCTGTTTTTCGTATTTTTGAGCTTTAAAACCATGCGCCATTGAATAAATGTACAATAGCGCTGTTTAATATTATATTGTGGAACATTCTAGGCAGAGCAACTGCATCTCCATAGAAACAAGAAGGTGACAGACCCCCAACCAAAAAGTTCCATAGTGCACCTTTAAATACTGCTGTACAACTTTCACTTTGTTTTGTTCGAACACTAGTTATAGGGTGAGGAAAAGGTGAGTTCTGAGCTGTTTTTTAAAATTGTTTTAGTGATTTTCTGATGTGAAGATCAAAAACTCATAAACTTCTCTGACCTTGACCCTCTCGATATGCTCTGGCAGTGAGTCCAGCACCAGGTCACCCACGGGCTCCCAGGCATCACGCACCATCTCCGCCTGCCTCAGCTGCCCATCCAGCAGGTCCTCGGCCTCCTGGAGCTCCATCAGACGCTCCAGAGCCAGCTCCAGCCTCCTCTGCCACTCCGCCGCGTCCCCACACAGACGCTCCCATCGGTTCGCCACGTCGTCCGCCTCTTTACGCAGCACCCACCCCACGTGATGCGCTCGCTCCTCGGGGCTGATATCTGCGGAGGGGACAGGAGGAGGAAGAGGAGGAGAAATATGTAAGTGACACAAGATGAAGAGCTCGGAGACTTGTTTTTGGAGATGCGGGGGGTGAATGTGAGATAACGCGCAACACAGTCAGCTGCGGCGTTCTGATAAGATAGTGGAGTTTTTTGCTTTGTTTTGGTTAGATTTATTAAAGAGTGGAACAATGGAAGTAAGTTTGAAGTCTTGCTGCGGGAAATATACAGTATATTATAGATTTACAGATAGCGTCCAAGCTGTTTTCCTTGACAAAAAATGCATTGAAATGATGAATTAGCTGTATGCATAAAACGTGAACTTTGAAAGAAATGAATGGAAAACATAATTATAATGTAGAAAATGGTGTTGTTAATTAATAAACTAAGACAAAACATACAAGTTCCAACCACGTCATAGTCATACCATACTCTAACACACTGATAGGCAGGCTACAAGTTACTATTTTGAATTGTGAAAGAGTTTTTTTTTATTTATTATTATTATTATTATTATTATTATTATTATTATTATTTTATTTTATTATTTTTTTACTTCTATGGGGTATTAACTGCTAACACATATTATATTGTTTTTTATATTGTTTTGAAATGGCTATATTTGCTGAAAACAACACTTTAAACACATTTTATAAGTTTCACTTTTGTTTTTGGAGCTCTGAGTCTTCCCTCTTTTCTCACTGTATTAAGTCACTCCCCCTTCAGAGTGCTATCAAAACATAGAGCTTCATGTTTGCCAAAAATAAGGAATAAGGAGAGTTCAAATAGGGCCCAGGAGAGATTGCCAAAATACTCAAACATGCGTGGATGAAGTTTAAAAACCTCTTCAGGCATGTTTTTGATGAAGGAACAACATTACAAGATGGTAGGGAAAAAAAAAAACTCTTTAAGAAAATGTTTTTAAGAAACTTTTTCATTGCTAAGGGTTGCCAGATTGGTTTTAGAAGTTTAAAATGTTTGGCTTTTAAAGACTAGATAATCATGGTCCATTATAGAAAACATTATTGAAGGATTATCTATTTTATTACAGAAAAAAAAACAAAAAACTTGGCATCAAAACACCCATTTCAGCCTTCATCTATATATGCTTTAGTTTACCTACAATGACCAAATCCAAAACTCAATACCAAAATGTCCACTTCACTTAAAAAGCTCGCCTCAAATTGTTCCGGTAAGTGCTATCATTAGGCGCTGTGACAAGATTTATACATCGGACCACTCAAAATGACAGCGCCTCCATTTTATTAACACGCCGGGACTGAATTTAAAAGAAGCAAAGTCCTACATAACCACTTCCAATGTTAAGGTCAATTGCCGAGCTAAAATACCCCTTTTGGTGCGTTAGCGATTAGCCCGGCGAGGTTTCTTTCTATCTCTCCGTGGTCAGGACAACAGTTCATTGGGTTCACATAATGCTGGTAATTTTGAGTGTAACCAGGCTGCTGTGATCACGGTCTGTCTATGTGCTTGAGTTAGCCGCCATTAGCTTAGCGTTACCGGGCTGTTGCTAAGGTGCAGAGTTCAGAATGTGGCTCACGAGACACGCTGATGGAGGAAAACAACAATCAACTTTAAAGGGCTCGTATTACACTATTTTCTGGTCTGTGTTATAATGTTGTTTCCTCATCAAAAACATATCCTGAGTTGTGTTTTGATTTGTTCACACATGTTTAACACACAAACCCTTCATATTTCAGCTGAGTTCTTCTCTCAAACAGAAAACAATCTGGTCCACCTTGTGATGTCATGTGGTAATACAGAAAGTGCTCCACTGTGTTTTTAAACTCATACAACCTTCATTAGAATCATTTGGATAATTTCAGCTCTGGAATTCTACTCTACTTAACAACATGTAAAGGGTAGCTGTTAACTTGAAAACTACCACTTCATGACATCACAAGGTGGAAAAGAGCATTCTGAGTTTTGGTGATATAGACAGACAAATAAGGTCCGTGTACTATTTGTTGTTTTGAATTTAAATTAAGAATGAAAAACAATAAAAACAGAAAACTGTTTATTCGATTTTTCCTTTTCAGTGTCAAACAAAAAACAGATTTTGACCTCTATTTCCAATATTTAATTTAAAGTTTATTTCAAATAACACCAATGAAAAAACAGACATCGTGCCCATTTCAGTTTTCATATTTTATTCTCTCTGGTTCATATGCCCCGGAAGTTATGTGGCTTAAATGAACAAAGGAGTTTATGGTATATTTATATCGCTGCTTCCTGTTTCTCATCATGGAGTTTAACAATTACTTTCTAAGACGCGAAAGTAAACATGCCGTGAAAAAAGAAGAAAACATGTTTGTCCACATAATTGCAATGATTTTTCAGGTAACTCCTTCAAGTGGTGTAACTCCTGGGGTATATAAACCAGAGAGAATAAAATATCAAAATTAAAATAGGCACTGAGACTGTTTTTTGATAAGTGTTATTTAAAATAAATGTTATATTAAATAACGGAAATAGAGGTCGAAATCAGTTTTTTGTTTGACACTAAAACAAAATAATGAAATATGTTTTCCCATTTTATTGTTTTTCATTTTTGATTGAAATTCAAAAGAACGAACGGTACGTGGTCAAATAATAATAAAGAGTTGCTCAATTATGTGTGATGTGAATGAAACAAAACAACTCCAGGTATGTTTCTGATGAGGCAACAGTATTCTAAGATGGTTTAAAGCTCACAGGAGTCAATTTTGCATAATATGAGACCTTTGACTTTTTGTATGTGGACTAGTAAAATATTAGTGATCCCAAATTGACAATAAATTATAATTACTGTGGTGCTTTGTGAGTTTAAGTGATTTAAAATGGCAGGAACAAGGTAAAACAAGAGTGTGTTTGTAGCACCAAAACACTAAAGGGCTAAGGCTTGGACTAGAATAAAGACATGATCTTAAGATTTTAAAACATTGAATAAATCAAGGGGTAACTATGAATTGTCAACACATATACATTTTTCACTGGGCAATTTGAAATACTCTATACTCTGTCCACAATTTAAACAGTACTTTTAAACAATAACAGGCATACTAGCTTTGAATTTGTATGATTTGTGTGAACCCCATTTATAATGTTGTTTATTTATCAAAACATGCCCAGAGTTGTACTGTGTTTTGTTTCATTCACACATTTAACACACAAACCCTGTGTTTAGTCAGAGTTCTTCTTTTAAATGGAAGTGTCTGTTTCAACTTGTGATGTCATGTGGTAATATAAGACGTTCTCCACTGTGTTTTTAAACTTCAGACATCTTCACTAGAATCGTTTGGATAATTTCAGTCCTGGAATTGCCAATCTCTACTGAAAAGTAAAAAGGTAAAAGGTCGATGTTAACTTGAAAACTACCAATTCATGCCAACACAAGATGGAACAGAGCCTTTTGAACTGTGGAGATGTAGACAGCCTAATAATAAAGGGTTACTGAAACATGTGTGAATGAAATAAAACACAGCTCCGGGTATGTTTTTGATGATATGATAACATTCTAACAAGATTAAAAGCTCACAAGAGTCCATTTTTATTACTACATTATTTATTAGGCTTAGAAACAAAATGGCTAAATATGTTACCTGATTACTAATGTTCTCTACCCAGTAAGATACTTAACAAATGATGCAATTGTGTTAACAGTAATTACACATTTCACCTTTAAAAATACTGAAAGGGAAACTTTTTTTGCTTAACTTTTCCTCCTTGTTTCCATGGAGATGTTATTGCTTTGCCTCGAATGTTGCATAGGTAATTTTGAGCAATACAATACACCTGCTATTGAATAAATGCAAGATGCAAGATGCCATACTGAGAGCATTTCAGGAAAAGCAATAACATCTCTATAGACACAAGCAGGTCACAGATCCTCACCTGAAAAGTTACATAGTGTACTTTTAATTCATGGTATCGTAAAAGTGTGTACGACAGATTAATTTCAACTTAATTTAGTGGGATTATAACTATTGTATATATTAATTATAGCTGTACCCAAATCAAGAAGCAATTTGGGGAGAAAATCCTTCATAATTACAGGAAGTAGAGAATTTTTTAAACATGATTTAAACAAAATACAGGTGTTTTAGTATATTTGTATTTGTCAGACAATAATTTCTGTGTACCTTAGAGGTATTTTGCTATGTAACAGTTATGGATTCCCTAGTGTGATGTCATGATTTCCTAGTCAGGCTGGTGCCACCTAGTGTCTCCGCTCAATTTAATTTCTCTCCAGTTACTAGGTCAGGAATCAGAATACACTAGACGGTTTGCAAGAACCCCAGAAAAGTGAGTCTGGGCACCAGCCAATCAGCAAAGAGCCATACATTCTGTGTTGGCAATGATTCCCGAGATCGAGAATTTAAAGCCGGAACAAAGAGAATGTTTGATGAATTTTATCAAGGGGAAAGACGTTATTGCCCTTCTTCCTACGGGATTTGGAAAAAGCTTAATATACCAGTTAGCCCCGTTAGTGGTGCATTACATAAGTCACGGTTGGTTTAATAAAAAAAGCACCCGCCTACGGACGAGTGAACGAATCCTAATGCTGCGAGGTCAGAAGGTTTGTACAAAGTGAAACTGGCTGATGAATCAGGCTAACGATTTCTAACCAGAAAGTAACATTTTAAACCTAAATAAATGGCCAAATTGGGAAAATGCGGGTGAATGTATTTGCAAAAATCGTAAATATAGCTATAGTCTTAACTGTGTTTTAGTAAAATGAGTATTCTAAGTTGTCATAGGCACTTTAACCAAGGCTTGAGTTGAGTTGCTAATTTGCAGTTAACTAGTGAGCATTATTACCTCTCTGCTCAGGAGATGGGGTTTCTCTGGGCAGTTCTGACAAAAACACCCCAACATCATCTAGTGCTTTGGTCACCACTGGTTCCTTGGCCCTCATGTCTCTTCTGAACCCCTGCAAAAAAAAACATATGCACAGTTTCAATCATATTTTTTAACATGGGAAGAATAACAAGTAGCTTTCCTATTAAAACATGCCACTAAAAGCTTTCTCTAATGCGTTACAGGACCCCATCACTTTAGTTTTAATATATCGACTGACCAGCACATCCAGCCAATCACGTCTCCCGATTCGCCCTCTCCTTTAAAATAGCTCACACGAAATGGGTTTTTGATTTAACCTGTGCGGCAGACTTTAATTTGCATAATGTCCGTCCGAGAGATCACAAATGGACCTTTATTTTTCTTTTCTTTTTTTTTTTTTGAGAAACCGCGAAGCTTTTGTTCAAAAAATGAATGGATTTTTCGAGCTGGGAATATTTAATTGAGGAAGTCATTATTTTTAGGCGTGTGCTAAACAAGTGTGTGCTGCTTTGGTTCGTTTCTCTGCCTCGTCTTTCTAATTCAAACTCTTTCAACCCGCTATATAAATATGCAAATCAGGGTTGCGTCATCTGACAGTTACTTTTCTTTGGAGTTTCTGGTAGATTCAGAGTTTTCAGATTTAGTTCATTATATGTTTATGCTAATAGCTATGAAGTGTAAATTAATGTATCCAATGTCCTTGATCCAAATTTGGCCACACCCCCTTTGATCTGAGCATGTGATTGGTCAAAAAAAACTTATTTATTATTTACTTTTGGCATGAGACATTAAAGAGGGGCTATTTTACTTCTATCTAACACGTAACATAGTGAACATCATGTTACCTTTAATTGTTTTGAAAATGCTATATTCGCCAACAACAGCATATTACAAAGCTCTGAGTCTCCTCTTCTCTGAGTAAGTCACTCCCCCTTCAGAGTGCTGGATGATTGACATCTAAAACCTCTTCAGGCATGTTTTTGATAAGGCAACATAATAACATGGCAGAAAGCTAAAAAAAAAGAATAATTGCAAATTAAAGCCCCCCGCAGTGATGATGGCCCTTGTTCTGCTGGCCCCATGTCCATAATATATTTTTTTGCTTGGAAAAAACTAAAATGTGGCTATTTTCTGAAGGTGTTCCAATCAGTGAGAACAGGTAGAGGGCACCCTCGGAAAAAAGATAAAAACTTGAGACACAACGAAATCCAGGTACTCCAAAAAAGTAATAGCCACACAAGGAAAAGTATAGTTAAAAATGTAAATGGCCAGAACCAACATGTTTCAATCATGGCTGGTCTTCATCAGGGCTTAGTTAAAAAATTTCATTTGCCTACGCCTAACTTAGCTTGTCTCTACTTTTAGGTGGAGCTGTTGAGGTGGGTCACTTTGGACATTGTCGCGATGCCCACTTTATCAAATTTTTCACCAGACTGGTCAATCCCATACCCAGCTTGGGGACTTTTCATTGACGTTTAGGCCCTCAAAATTGAGATTGTTTGCAAGAAAAAATAATAATACAAGAAATGAGCGAAAGAACAATAGCCCTTGCAGTTACTGGCTCGGTCCGAATACTCCCTCTTTAACAAATTCATCAAAATGTCTTCTAAATAGCTTGTTAAAAATGCAAATCTTTTAGCAAAGCTTTTTCTAACACCACTTCAGCTTTCATTTTCTGCACTATTGTCACATTTTGGTACATATTGTTTTTATATACTGAAATGGCATCTGGCATCTGTTCTGCTGATAAAGTTGCATAACAGTTAGTACTTCAAATATGGGGTCTGTTTTTGGTTTGCTGTTACATCTCTACCACTAAAATCATGTACAATAGATCCCTCTGGGGGCTGGGGCTCCCACGGAATATTCCAAATCCTGGTGGAATTTTCCAAGATAAACAAAGGCCAATTGTTTTATATTTTTTGCTTTTCAGTTTGAGGTCATGAAACAAACCCACAAACGGTAGCTATAAACAGGAACTTTAAATATTCATGCTGCTTGTTCTGTGTATTCTGTTATATTGCACAGTCCACAACTGCCGTTTTACTCAATGACACACTAATGGTCTCGTCTCTATAACAACCTTTATATTAGAGCTGGGCGATACGGCAACAAAAATGTAATTATAATCTGAGCCCTGTGAACATCTGCTATTTTGGTGATATGGTCTATTCTGAAAACCTTTGATTTTTCCCATTCACTATTCTTATTGGTTGGGCTTTGAGTGACTGATGGATACAACCAATCACAGTCAAGTGTCAACTCTTAGAAGCAGTAGATGATTTCTGTTACATATTAAAGGGCCCATATTAGACTATTTTGTGATCCATGTTATAATGTTGTTTCCTCAACAAAGAAAAACATACCTGGGGTTGTGCTTTGTTTCATTCACACACAAATATTTAGAGAGTTCTTCTCTTAGAACAGAAAACACTGTTAATGTAAAAACTACACTACATGACAAAACAAGCTGGAACAGAGCATTTTGAGCTTTGGAGATATACAGACTAATAGTAGACAAACTAATAATAAAGGGTTCCTCAAACAACTATGAAACAAAACACAAGTCCAGGTGTTTTTTGAGGAGGTAATAACATTATAACATGGTTTAAAGCTCACAAGAGTCACTTCTGTGTAATAAAGGACCTTCAATAAAGTCTCTATATAAGATACACACTACCTGAACTGTGTTAAAATGGAAATTATAATCTTTGCTATAGAAATTGTATTTGTTATTAGATTTTTTTTGGCATATGGCCACACCTACATTATATAAGCAGTGAAAAGCATATGCAGTAACAGAATCTGTGTGTATGTAAGAAAACTGTTGGAGCTTTGTATGAGTCATATGTCACAGATAGGGACTACACTAAAGGACAGACCGCCTGGACAAACCTTGTACTTCTCATTGATGTGAGACCTTGGTACAGTGTGTCAAATGTATTATATAGTCATAGATTAAAGGGTACCCTGTGAGTGTCGAGCTGGGCCTGCACAGCAGGGACGTCGCCCCCTACAGGCGGCTCCTGCTCCAGCTGCTGGTTCTTCATCCGGAGCCAGTTTAAGAGCTCCTGCAGGGACATGTGAAGTCTCTTCCAGGGAGCCATCTCTGAGTCCAAGTGAGATCTGCAACAGTTGAGAATTTTTTATATTTATTCTATTATGTTAAAGTTAAAATGATTATGTCTTGAAATATATCTGAATACGGGTATAAATTAAACATTTATATATCCAAAGCAGTAAAACACAAACCACTCCCCTTCTTGGTCTAAGTTGCACCATGCAACTTTTCTAGTATCCGTTTCACTGCCTACTTGTCTCCATGGACATTTTACTGCCTTGCTTGGAATGTTCCACCAGGGCATTACATTCAACTTATCTATCTTGCATCTTGCCTTTATTACAGGTATTTTTTTTGCTCAAAAGAATCCTTGAAAAACATTTTCACATTATCAACATGAGCAGGATTGCCTCTCCATCGATGTGAGTTCCAATACCGATTCTGATACCATAGCTTTGTCTACCCATACCAGCGCTGTGCACTAAAAACAAAAAAATAAATAAGACAAAAGTGATCCTAATGTGTTATGTAGTTGTAATTTATCTTTCAAGTTACTACAGAAAAGCCTTATATAAATAAAAGGGTGAATGTTATGAGATTAAACCAGAATATTGACTGAACTGGTATTGGGAAGCCGATATCCGATGCAGCAAATTTTTCAGTATCAGTGCCAATATTCGATAACCAATATCTGTGCATCCTTACTTAAAATGTACAACTTATTCAAATTTAGTGGTTGAGCATGTAGCTCTGTCTGTCAGACCCACTTCCTATAATTTATATGGATGAAAAGGTGGGTGGGCTCTCTGTTGATTTGCTTCTCCTATTGGCTATATATCTGACACCTCATGACATCAGCACGTGCAACAGAGTTTTTTGAGCTTGCGTCAAGGAAATCAAGTTAATACGCTAGATTACTCAAACAGGCATGAACAAAACAAAAAACAACAGATCAATATTATGGCATGCTTAAACATTAGCTTAGCAAATACTGGGAATAGCAACAAATATTACAAATACTGTATCTTTGTTTGGACCTCATGCTTAGCGTCTTGCTTCGGAGTTCGTTCCATCTCTGGCTCATGTTGTTCAGTCTCCTCCTGAGCAGCGCCGAGTCTTCACTGTCCCCCAATGACGCCACGATCCTCTGTCCATTCTCATCCAAAGAGTGGTACATCTCTGTGTGTCCATCTATCTCTGCCTCCAGGTCCTGCCAACACACAAGCAGCAGTTATAAACCCAAATGTATTGTAATAGCAGAATATTTTTCTCGAGCTTGGTTGGAGTGCTCGGTAATGGGATAGGGATTCTAAAAGCAGCTTCTCCTAGCTCCAGGAATGGACTATAATGCCGAGCTTAATGCGCCGTGAGTGAAACCTTTTGTAGCGTAAAAAAATGTCAAAATGTGTGTGTGTGGTTTTTTTCTTTTTTGGTGTGGCATCTGCGGGAACTTCACCACAGTGGTCCAAAATGTTTTTCCTGGAGATGAGCCATTACCGATGCTCTTAAGAAAGCAGGAGGCAGTGGAGAATTGGACAAACCTATGCGGGGAAGTAATAGGAGAGGGAGGTTACTGTGTGTATAGGAGAAATGTGCGTAAGAAAGAGGCACAAATGTCAACGGTGACATTTTAAGTCATGGAAATTGATAAGAAGAATCTTGATTATTATTTGATTAAATGTCTTTAATTCATTACAGTGCTGCCGTATGGAGATTAAAGATGTACCATTTTTATTTAGATTAAAGATGCACACACTTTTCCACCTTCAAAGCACTCAACCATCAAGGAACACACACACATTCATACACCAGTATACGCAGACACTGGGAGCATGGTGGGTTGAGTGTATTGCCCAAAGATAAAATAGTAGTATTCATCTTGGAGAGCTAGAGTCACACCTCTAACCTGTGGGTCAGATCTACAAACAATGTTTATGCCAAGAGCGGGATTCGAACCACCAACCAACCTTTAGATCAGTGGACAAACACTCCCAGATCTGACCTGTAACTTGGCCTACAGTGATGGTGTCAACTGTTTATCTTAACCAGAAAAGTTACATAATCCACCTTTAAATAAAATAGGCTTGAGCAGTATCACATGTATTGTAAGAAAATATTATCATAGTTTGGTATCAAGTATTTTGTGCTGGTCCACTAACAGAATAATGCTGAATAGTAAATAGTAAAAAGATGCTCAACAAACACATTTTCAGTATTTGTTTGTAGAACAGATCTAATTATTCAAATATTTAACTGCACTACAATTATAATCCAACAATTTTTACCACAAATCAGTCTCTTAACCTTACAAAGAAATGGGGAAGATATACTAGACTCAAAATGTTCACATCGATACAGACCACTTAAAGCATTGACCATTCTAAGTGAGACTAAGCTTCACGCCAGAGGAGCTCCCGATTCTAAAGGGAGTCAGTTAGTGCAAGAAATACAAAAACATACGTATAATAAATATAGTAGTAATAGCTGTAGTAGTAGTAATAAACCTGAATATTGTAGACTCTCCTCCACCACATGTTTCAAAATAACAAACTCCGAAAATTCTCAAAAACGCATCCTCTTTTGCTTCCTGTAGTCCAGCTGTGCGACTGAATACAACAGTGTTCAGAATGCATAAATCTCTATGAATGCCCTCTGTTGGACTGGAGATTGGGAGATGACCTATGGGAGGGACTACACCATTTTACAGAAGAAGAACATTTGGAATAAGAATTTGAGAGTGGAAGCGAGTATACAAACTCAAAACCCCACATAGAACGATGAGTGCACATTTTTATAATTAAACCTTATCTTCACGGCGTATATAGCGAGTGGGCATTTTGTGTAGTACTTCTAATTGGATGCAGAAGACTATCTTGGGTCTGCATACAGTACCCTCTTGTTTTGAGTCTTACAGTGTGGGAGTTTGGGGTCACAGCGTGTTCCTTCCCCAACAAGCTTTTCCTTTTAACACCCACCGCTTTTGCATTAGCTTGCCAAGAGACGGTCGGCCAATCACGCGGCTCAATGTTGCCGTGTCAGCATTCCTGTCATACCAGCCGAGTGGGAAGTCAAATGAGGATGGTAAGATTCCGACTGGGGCGTTCAGAGGCCATTGTGGTTAGGTCTAGACAAGAGTGGGTTGCCTATGGCCCTCAGGTGAAAAATAAAGCAGGTTTATTGGCTTGTAACTGCCACTCAGTCGAGTAAAGGATGGTTTATGGGTGGAAAAAAAGATGTAATGAAGTAAGTTTATCTGGTGAGTGTCTGCCACCTGCTTGTCTCCATGGAGATATTATGGGATGTTCCACAGTGTTGCATTTCACTTTTCTATCTTGCATTCTTTCATTGAATTACTGATACTTTACGGTAACATCATGCTGAGGATGAGCTACATGGATCTCTACTAGCGGAATATTCAACAGTTACCATGGTGACACAATGCAAACATTAATAAAAACAACCAAAAATGTTTTAATATAACCTGAAAACTCAAGAAAAAATACAAAATGGATTTAAACAGCACATTTTCAGGAGGCTGTGATCAACATAAGCATTTCACAGACCTTTTTAGGATTTTCAGGAAAAATGGTGACTAGGTCTCCATGGAGATAAAACCATACTGTGGAATATTCTTTACAATTAATCTTTATGGACGTGTTGTTGTAGGTGGCAGACTCTTCACCATACTTTTAAATGAGGAAATGTGAGAACAGTAAAATTTGTTGTTTGCATGTGAAAAATCCATTTAATTTCAAATGTTGTTTTAATTTCAAACGTTTAATCTGAAATTTGGCAAATGTGTCAGTCATTCATTTTTAGAGCGTTTCCATGGAAGCATGAATACTCTTTGCAAAATGGTGATGCTCTTCTACAAAATATCTGTGTAATTTGATTTAGATCTATGAGCAACTCAGGAGATGGGATGGAGGTTGATGGTTAAGATTCCACTCTACTCAGTTCATTTTGTTGTTGTGCTCTTCAGCAAGACACTTTGTTTGTATAAATATGATTGGTGATGGTGGTCTCAGAGACTATTGGCATACATATTACACTAAATATGTTTTAAAGGGCTCATATTACGGTATTTTCTGATCTGTGTTATAATGTTTGATCTGTCATTTTGTTTTGTTTCATTCACACATTACTAATAACACTCCACTAATAAATATATTGTTATGCAGTATATGCCCTGGTTTCTGAGTACTTTTCTTAGCATTACTGTTATATCACACCATGGCTACTGCATACACCAAACTGTCTGCAATTTCGCCTATACAAAACACAAATTGTTGCTGAAAAGATGTTTGGCCTTGTTCTCCTGTACAGCCTCTGCTTATGATAATGGCGCTTTATGAATCAGCTGTCGAGATGTTGTAACACTCCCACAACCATTTACTCACATCAGATTTGACCCCATAATAAAGAGCCATACACAGACAAGATTCAGCATAAGGAGTGGTACAGATAGTAATTTTATACCTTCCATTGGGCTAGCAGGTTTCGGGCAGCTTCGGGCTGTTCTTGAAGCCTTTCCTTGTTTGTAGCATCGATGAGAACATTACAAGTAGTCTCAGCTTCTGTCAGCCAGTTCAGGAATTTCTCCAAATCCAGGTAGAAATTTTGCAGTGTTTTCAGAGCTGTGCCAAGAGCTGCTTCTCGGTCTCCCAAACTAGAACAATACAATATGGTTTTACTGAAAATTGTTTATTAAAGGGATTTTATTATGCTTTTTCTGATGTGTTATAATGTTATTTCTTCATCAAAAACATACTTAGAGTTGTGTTTTCTTTCAGTCACACATGTTTAACACGTAAACCCTGCATATTTATTTAAGAGTTCTTTCAAACAGAAAACCTTCACTAGAATCATTTGGATAGTTTCAGTCATCAAGGAATCTCTACTGAACAAAATGTAAAAAGTAGCTGTTAACTTGAAAACTGCTACTACATGACATCGCAAAGTGGAACAGAGGATTTTTTACCTTTGGAGATGTAGACAGACTAACAACAAAGGGCTACTCAAACATGTGTGAATGAAACAAAACACAACCAGGTATGTTTTTGAGAAGGTAACAGCATTGTAATATGTTTTAAAGGTCACAAGAGTCAATTTTACTTAATATAGGACTTTAAAAAAAAAAAGATTTGTTTTGTTGTAGTTGATTTTACCGTTTTCCGATGTGGGTCCAGGAGGCGTTCATGTCATCGTTCATCTGTTTGACCAGGTGGGTGTCATCATTGGCATACAGAGTTAGGAGTTTGTTGGCCAAAGTGTTGGTCTGCTCCACGGGGACCTGCCACTGCTGGAGCTCTTTGGCTAGCATCTACAAAACACACACATCAGCTATTGTATTATATGCTGTATTATACCAGTCCCTTGCCATTTCTGCTACTCATTTAGAATTTAGTATACCATTCATATTTTTCTCTTTGTTATTATCTTTATTGTGATGTGTGAGCTACTGTGTCCAAATAATTTCCCTTGTGCATCAATAAAGTTTGTCTAAATCTATATTACTGTAATACAGTATGACACTGTCCATTTGATTTGTGTATAATAATAAACTGAAGTATAATCTTCTTTGTAGTGTTTGGCCACTAACTCAAAGGTCAAGCTTGGTTCAGTTCATGCTACTGTTGTGTCCTTAGGCAAGACACTTCACCCACAGTGATTGCATTGCTTGTATGAATGTGGTGCGTGAGTGATTTCTTCATTCTACCCCAGGGCAGACAATAGCATGGTATGAAACAAGTGAATAATACATTGTAAAGTGCTTTGCGTGAGGAAAAGAAAGGGACTACTGCTTACAAAAGACAAAAAAAAAAAAAAGAGTTGATTTGAAATGTTAACAAAAAGTGAGAATTGTGAAAAATTTAAGACATACTTTTCATTTACTTCTTCTTCTGTCATAATTACGAAACATCTGTTCTTCCAAAACAAATTTTGCTAAAATATCGTGGGTAAACTGGTGTTGCAAAGAGATTTCATTATGATTCAGTGACTATTTGCTCCATGAAACACACAATATTGTGATTAATTGATGGTTCTATTCCCGGCCTATTTTGTTTTTGCATATTTCTTATGACTAAAAATGCGCCTGTTTATTTTTAGGCTGAGGGGGAGACAGTTGGAACATGATGAGCCACCATCTTGTCAAATCATGAAAGTAGCTTTTTATTAAGTTACGGGCAGACTCCTGGACTCCAATGTGTTTCCACATTATAATTTAATTCAGGCTTTTGATACCTTTGCAAGTAAAGTGGCCAATAATGTTTCTGTATAGGAAACAATACTGCTCTCTCAAGGTTAAAATTGTTATTTACTGCCCCCTGTTGGAAACAGTGGGGAGTGAAGCATGGTGAAATGGAAAAATAGCAGCACAGCTAATTCAACTTCACCTCACCCTCACAAACCCTCAATCATAGTAGGCCATTTTCGACACTGGTAAAAGCATACATGGAAGAAAAATAATAGTTCAGATACATTTTTGAGATGCAGGCCAAATTATAAAATGCTTAATAATTCACTATGTAACCTTTGTGGTGCACAGACCGGCTGCTGTTTGTCTTCATGGATATGTGATTTCTTTGCTTGAAATGTGCCACAGTATGGCATTAAAACAATTTGACCTAGATGATGCCATTTGGGCAAGTTACAAAACAGAATGGTTTTAACCAATAAAAATACCTGTTATTTAAAGGTCATATATTGCTCTAAATTAACTCCTGTGAGCATTAAGTCATAATGTTGTTACCTCATCAGAAACATACCTGGAGTTGTGTTTTGTTTCATTCACGTGTTCTTGATTATTAGTATGCATCCAAAGAACAAAATGCTCTGTTCCACCTTGTGATGTCATAAAAGTAGTACTTTTCATGTTAACAGCTAACCTTTACCTTTTGTTTAGTTCAGACTGGAACTACCAGGGCTGAAATGATCAAACTGATTCTAGTGAAGGAATATGGAGTTTAAAAACACAATGGAGCACTTCCTGTATTACCACATGACATCACAGTGTTTATGTTTGAGAAAATAACTCAGACTAAATTAGCAGGATTTGTGTGAATGCAACAAAACACAACTCCAGGTATGTTTGTGATGAGGAAACAACATTATAACATAAACCAGAACATATCATAACACGGATCTTTTAATTAATTCAAGAGAACATTCCGAGCAAAGCAATCACATCTTCATGAAGACAAGCAGGTGATGAACTCTCCAACATAAAATTACATAGTACACCTTTAAAAGCTCAAATAGAGTAAACTGAGCATAAAAAGTATCTTAAAAGACCTTGAGTTCTGCATTCTGCCTCTTGACGTCGTCCACGGTGTATGTGATGATCTCCTCCCAGGCCTCCAGGCGCTCTCGGGCCAGTTTGATAACCTGATCTGCGTCTTTCTTGGAGTCCAGCCAGTCGGTGGAGTCCTGCAGCATGTTGTGGAGCTGCTTCACCCGGTCTGATACTTTGGTCTGAGAGTCCTCCCAGTGCGTCTGGAGCCTGTCGACTGAGAGAGACTAATGAGGACACGAGGAGCTGCTGTCCAGTAAAACTGAGACTGTTGGATGGAGAGTATTGGTACTTTGCAGTAGCATCAAGCTGGGGGTGTTCTGCATGAATGTGTATTGGCAGAATGTTCATCAGTTACCATGGAGACACAATGCACACAGTAGCAAACAGCCAAATATATTATAAAATCATCTGAAAGTGTTTAGCCCTATTTATGTGTTTGATTTTCAAGAAAAAAGGTGAGTGACTAAAAACTGAAAACTAGCTTTTCAGTTTTTGCTAGCTAGCTTGTGACTTCTTTAGCAGCACAGATAAGCCTGTTATAGTTCCAACTAAATAAGTTATTTCTGGTCAGATTACATTAAAGTTTAGATAATAGCCTAAATGACAGAACATGCTTCCAGTTAGCATCACACCCCCAGGGAATGACATCAGCTGCAAAGTATCAATTGTTGGATTTCAGAAAACACAATACTCCACAGGTAATTAAAAGAGCTATCAGATTTTTGTTGTAATATTAGTTTACTCTTGTGAGCATCTCAGAAGGTTACCTTATCAAAACATAGCTGGAAATGTGTTTTGTTTCATTCTCAAATGTCTAATCCTTTACCATTATTTACATTTCCAAAGCTAAAAATGCTCTGTCCCACCTTGTGATGTCATGAAGCGTCAGTTTTCAAGTTAACAGCTACATTTTATCTTTCGTTCAGAAGCTAAATCTAGGGCAGCCATTATCCAAAATGATTCTAGTGAAGTTGTATGGAGTTTAAAAACACAGTGGAGTGCACTTCCTCTATTACCACATGATATCACAAGAGTTTTCTGTCTGAGAGAAGAACTCAGCCTAAATATGTAGGATTTGTTTGTTAAACATGTGTGAATGAAACAAAAAACTCCAGGTATGTTTTTGATGAGGAAACAACATTTTAACATTGATCAGAAAATGAAATATTGGGGAGCAATAAGAGCATTGTCACAAAAATACTGTACGAAATACAAAATTTGTGGATTCCTATTTTGGATATTTCTTCTGAAAATAAAAAAATCTATAAAAAAAAAAATAAAAAATAAAAAATTAACTTTCTCAACCCCATCTGCTAGAGGGATATAATCAAAATAAAATCTGCACGCAAAGAAATTATAATCTCATAATTTACACAAAGATGAATTTTAAAGATGCTTTTTTTTCATACCAAATTCTGACCTACATAACAAAAAGTTAGATTCCCCCTTTTGACCTAAGTTAACCTTGTATTGGTTTAGTCTTTATTGAACAATTTGGAAATGGGCAAATACAGAGAAAAAAGAAATGATTAGCTTTAACTGTACTTACTTTGCCAACTTGAGGAAAAAGTATGACCATATTTATCATAGTAATTGAACATAAATTTTTTTGCCTCATATGGTATAGTCCACATCAGAACACTCTCTGCTCCAGTGAAGTTTATAATGCATAATTTAGCTCCTGATCCTCACTTTCGAAGGCCAGGAGAGCCTTCATACATAAATTACTATGTCATAAGCAAACACTATGCAGATGAGAGACCTGCATGTTTTGACAGGTAAGTCTCATTTGTCATTCAGCGCTCCTCGTGTGGGCGTACTTAGACACAAATCATACGTTTCCATTTGCATTTACATATATTTACCCGCACTGAAAGCATGATTGAATCCAACAGGCACCCGTACACTTAACAGATGTGGAGTCGTCACTTACTGCGCTCTGTGATGGCGTTGCGAGTGTCCTGGTTGCTGGTTTTGTTTTTCAGGTTTTGGGCGGCAGTGACTTGCTTTTCCAACAGGGGGCGACGCTGGTCCAGTTCTTGGAGAGAAACCTGGAAATTGACAAAAAATAATGACGCGATGAAGTTTCTTGACTTACAGCATATTTAAAGGTGGTAAAACTGAATACACTCCCTTATGGTAGCCTTGTACAGTCAACAAAAATCCTCAAAACATAAATGAACTGTGAAATTAACCAAAAATGCAGAAATATTTGAAAACTCTTTTTGTAACTTTTTAAAGCCATAGTTTGTAACTCTTTACTCACAAAATAGACTCAAATAAAAGCATGTTTTGTGCACTAAAAAACTTGGAAAACAAAAAAACCTGACCTCCTCCTGCTTGTTTCCATGGAAAAGTTGTTTCTTTCACCATAATCATTCACAGTATGGCATAAAATCAATAGTTAGATTGATAAATAGGGATGGTTTCAACTTTTTATTTCCGTGGAAGCATACAGGTGACGTACCACCTCCAGAAAATTACATCCTGTACTTTTAATATGCTTTTTTAAATTCAAAACTACATTCTCGATATTGTAATTTTGACTATTTCCAAAAATGTGACTGCAGTTTTTTCTCTGTTAAACTATAATTGCTTTTAAATATATGTGTATAAACAAGGTCAAAACAATTTCTTTAATTTTTTTTTTTTTTTCTATCCTTTCTTGAACCAATACTGCAGTCCTCATTATTATTTACCTTGAGTGTGTTGATATTCTCGTTGATGTCATCCAAATCTCCCACCACCACTTTTTTATTCTGCACCATGTTATCCAGCATGGTCAGCCAGTCCGTAAGCTCCGCCCACGACTTGTTAAACTGGGCCAGAGCTGCCGACTCTGCCTGGGCACTCCCCAAAAGATTCTCATCTAAGAAAAAACACATATATTGGTCAAAACGGCACCTTTAACTTGTAGAAGAATTACAGTGGAGAAACATACTGGCTTTTCTAGCTGCGAGAAGGGCCATTCTCTCTTTATGTTGCCGGAGCATTTCCATTATTATCGTCCAGTCTTCTTTAAGCTTGTCAAACTTCACCTGTTACTCAAACAATACACTACGTAAGCAATAGAAAAGCTTTATTTTGAACTCAATGCTTGTTGCTTTTGATCCTGTAATAGATGTAATATTTTCCGAGACGTGTTAATGAACCTGATCTGATATGGACTGGTGAACTGTTTGAAGCCAGATCAAAGTAAAGATTGGTGTTTTTTTTTATTCTCTGAGGGATTCAACAACGCCTGAAAATCTTGTTATATTTTTCATCACTATGCAAATGCCATTGAGCTGCATGTGCATCATATAAGATGTATGGAATGAATTATTGTATATTGGTGTCAATATTGATTCTATAGTAGCCATTCTGAAGGCAGTAAAAAAGATACACAAAGATTTAAAACAGTATATGTTACAATTTGAAGGCACATTTTAATTAAAAAGTATAAAATAAAAGCAAATTACTGAAAGTGTATTCACAGCATTTTTAACTTACAGAGACTTGAGTGCATATCCATGGGTTTTAAAGTGATGAAAAATTAGTAATGTTCCTATAGCGATTAACAATTCAAAGGGTTTTTTTTTTTTCTTATGACAGAGAGTCCCCAAAATGGCACCTATAGGGAAGCAAGAATAGGGAACCAGAAAGCTGAAACCCATAAATGACAGATTAAAAACAGTGCTTTAAAATATTTTTTTCTTTTCTGTAATTGCCATTTCTTTTATCTTTTGTTTCTTTTTGTATATGCACTTTTCAAATTGTACAATCTAAAATGTATTTGAAGATAAGAACTAAAAACTGTAGATAAGTGCAGAGGATTGCTTGATCACCTTGTCTACAGGTTGTCACATAAAAAAAAAAAAATTGGCTTTACATTTTTGGCTAAGAGTTTAACTGGATTCAAAAAGTAGGTCAGAATTCTGTGGTAGAGTATGACCTGGTTTGACCTGTTTAATTTATCTGTGATTTCTAAAAACCAAAACCTGCAGACAAAAGTTCAATGTCTTTGTCTATGTAAGCACACATCAAGTAAGGTGTATTTGTTTCTTTTAAGTATTACTCAAATTGTACAATGTAAAAGGTATGATAAGCGCAGGGGATTTCTTGGTCACCTTGTCTCCGTGGTTTGGAGGAATATCTTTGTACAGCTGCTCGCCTCTTTCCAAAACAAACTCCACTTCCGGCTGCCGAGCTTCCACTTCCTCAATCAACTGTGGATACAATAGCAACAATAGACTCTCATTAGACTCTATACTGTTATGTAGTCAGTACTGGTGGGTGAAGGCGAGAAGAGGATATGGGTGTGTGTAGGCCTGTCACTATAAATGCTATACTTAGACTTATCATTCAATATAAGTTAGATGGAACAATCATTTTTGGGGCTCAGGTTTATCATTTGTACTTTTTCTTTGTGCCAATGTGGGATTTAAAGGTGCACTGCGTAATATTTCTAGTAGAGGGTCTGTCATCTCCATGGAAATGTTATTGCTTTGTTTAGAATGTTCCACATTATACATTAAGATTCTATCACAAGGGAGACAAGCAGCTTACAGCACTAAGCTACATTATAATTCAGATCTGTGGAAAGTTGCCCCTATTCACAGAAGAAATTATTGTATTTTTGAGCAATAGAAAAAACAATAATGAATAAATGCTGGATGGTGGCTATGCTTTAAGTCAAACCATGGAACATTCCAAGCAAAGCAATAACATCTCCATGGAGACAAATAGGTAGCAGACCTTCCACCGGAAAAGTTGAGCAGTGCACCTTTTTTCTGTACTATGGTATGATTCAATCTGTTGAGAGTTGAATAAACTAGGGATTAAAGTGTTTCATTCTGCTTTAAGGATATTGTACATTTAGAATAGTTTTTGGGGGGATAATCCTGCTGTAGTAGTAGTAGTAGTAGTTTCATTATGGTGTTTTATAGTCTATATTCCGTGACAGGCCTGGATGTATGGAGTAGTATGGAGGTAGTGTGGGGGTAGTATGGGGATAATATGGAGGTAGTGTGGAGGTTACCCTGGGGGGAGGCTCCTCTGGGCTCTGCTCCAGCTTGCCTCTGGTGCTCGAGGCCCAGGCCGACAGGTCGTCCAGCTGAGCCTGGAGCTTCTCCAGCTCCTTCAGCAGACCCTCGATCTCCAGCTGACGCTCAGGGAGGGCTTTAGACACCTGGCAACGCAATCACATTTACAACCACAGGACTGAAACTAGCAGGACAAGCTTTAATTGGTTTCCAAAGTACATGGATATTCCAATTAAAATAGACAGAGTGAAGAAGTTTTCCTTAAAAATCGCACATTAATAACAAAAAATACATTTGCATTTGTTTGTCATGGTCTGCCGAATTGTAAGGCAACTTGGGTAATTTTTGTGTTTGTTATAAATAATTTAACATTTTATCATTTTTAAGAAATTAAAATAATTTAAATTTTTTTAATTTTAAAAAGAAAATGGAGAACTTTCATTTGTCTCACAATGGTGCTGAAATCCTAAGTATATCAGCAGCAGAAGAAAAAGAATATGGATAAAAAATGTAATAAATATATCAATTATTAAAAAACACAATGGGGACATTTTTGTGTAAATACAAGAACAGCAGCAGAATGTAACAAATGCAAGATAAACAAAAGATACCACAGAATGAGCACTTCCCTGAGCTGACACTTAGCAGACTGTAAATGCCTTGCTCAGACTTGCTTTGACCTCTGACCTGTGCCCAGCGGTTGTTGACGACGCGTATGTCCTTTTGCTTGTCCGCAGGAAGTGTCAGCTGTTTGTGCCGTGTGTTGATGTCCTCCATAGTGGCCCTCTTAGCAGGAAGCTCCTCCACGCGCGCCTGCCACACACAAAACAAAACAAATCGCTCGGGTTCCCATAATGACTGAATTTAATAAGAAGTAATCATCGCCTGGAGAAGTAGGACACACTCATTCAGTTAAATTAAATAACTTCACTGGTACACGCTAACAAGTAACGCGCTTTCAAGGTTGGATTTCACAGGGAAACGTTATAGCATCTCATTTGAATCCAGAATATCCTGCTGATTAAATTAAACCAGCTAGATTTGATTAAAGGCGTTCTCACAAACAGAAGAGATAAGTTGTAAAGAGGTGTTCACGTGACAACATATTTAACTGGTTTTAAAAAGTTTAAAAGGTACACTGTGAAACTTTCAGGTACAGGGTCCACTACCTGCTTGCCGCCATCAAAATTTTACGTTCCACAATATACCGAAATATTGAAAGGTAAGTCAAAATTCTATGTAGATTCTGATGTGTTTTGATTTGGTTTATGGGGAATTTTGCCTGTGATTACAAAAAAAAAATGCAAAAGTTCAACATCTTCTTTGTAAGCACACATGAGGTGTACTTTTTTCACACTAGCTTCAAAATATGATTAGGGATAATGTAATAGGATTAGGGATATTATTCAAATAAAAAGGCGTGATTGTTGTCATTTGAAAGAGCTTTGAGGCTTACGTTTAATATGGCATGTTTGTGAACCAAATTCTTAAAAAATTATAAGGATCAACATCTTTGGATTATTATAGTCCCCATTTGAGGCCATTTTGAGACTTTTAGCCATTCAAAGACAGAACTTTTTTTCTTTTAAAGGTGCATTGCTTTGTCTTTTCTGGTGGAGCATCCGCAACCTGCTTTTCTCCATGGAGATCTGATCGCTTTATCTGGAATGTTCATCACAGCATCATCAAGTTACAAATCAGATCTGTGGAGATGTAACCCCTCAGAATGCTTGTATTTTTAGGAATTTTTAAGCAATAAAACCACCTGTAACTGAGTAAATGTAAGATAGATCTGTTTAATATTATATTGTGGAACAGTCCAAGCAGAGAAATGGCATATCCATAGAAACAAGAAAAGTTACATTGTCCACCTTTAAAGGTTGTATGGAGGATTTAGTTTCAAATTGTCAATGATAGCATTATAGAGGTGCAGTAGCCTTGTAATTATGATGACCAAAAAAAAGAGAATAAAAATTAATCAACTCTGGACGTGGTGGGGCCAGCTAAACGTTTGCCAATAGATAACGACACTGCCTCGTTATCTGTGAGCTGACAGGCTGTCAATCAATCTCCCTACGTTTCTAGCGTAACTGACTTGCCTGCGCGCCGCCGGTACGTGGTTTACGTACGACTGTCACGCAGTCCACAGACGCAAGCCGCACAGACGCTGTTTACTCCACCAACGCAACAGTTCTTAGCGGCTTTTTTTGACCTATATCTTCCTCGCAGTTCGCACAAAGTTTGTTGCAATGGCAGACAAGAATCCAGGAGCAGTTCGCCGCAAAAGAAAGTCAGTTTTTGAGGTCGCTGAAAGAAGAAGACAAGGGGAAAAGCAGCGAAGCCAAACTAAGGTGATTCTTGAAGATTCATTCCAGCGATGGCACGACTGAAGCAGACGCAGAGTCTAAAGACTGACGCATTGGTCGCCAAATTACTCCTGGACAGGTCAACTTCTGCTTATTATGAAAAACTTACTTTATTTCCAAGAGCTAAACGTCAAACGTTTTTCAGGACACGAAAGCAATATCCTATGTCTGAAAACGTAATTTTCAAGGCAAAGAAAGAGTCCGCTTGCTGCTGTGTGTTGTAGCTAGTTCATTCGCACGGAATCTCCGCGCAACCTTCTCTGCACCCCTTTCCTGCTCCTGTCCCCACTGCCCGATCCGCTCTTCCCCTGCTCCTCACTTCTCCGGGCACGGAATCTCCGCGCACCGCTCCCTCTCCTCTCTCCTCTCCTCTCTCCTGCTCCTCACTTCTGGTCCGCGAACGAAATGTCCGCACACCCCCTCCCCCCCGCTCCTCACTTCTCCGCCTTGCCTAACCAACACTGTAGTTAGTTGTTTTACAAGTCATGTGCAGCGCACCGGCTGTAAACAAACCTGTTTCTGGTGTAAAGAGGAGGCGGGGGAAGGCGTTTCTACGTAGGGAGCTGTAGGGGAGGGGGGGTGGTTTCACGCATGCGCAACATTTGAAAAAGGACAAACAGTCGCTGGATTTCTCGTTCCTTGGAAAATCCTCTATACAACCTTTAAGTGCCAGCTGTCATGGAAACCGTTACTCTACTCTAAAACCCGTGGACAGAAGACAGTGAAGGTGGACTGTACCTGCACTTTGCCCAGAGTGTCCCGGATGTGCTGAGGTTCAGGGGGGTCCAGGGGGATGGCCAGCACCCCCTCGGCCTGGTCCAACCAGCCCTGCATGGAGCTCATGTCCTGCTGGAGCTCTGCAGCTGCTGTCTTGGCCTCCGCTGACCTGAAGGGGGCGATGAAAACAAACAAATGCAAAAGAATTATAAGAAACTTTCCAAGAATTACTTAAAGGTGCACTGCACAACTTTTCAGGTGGAGGGTCTGCTATCTATTTGTCTTCATGGAGATGTTATTGCTCAGTCAATCTAGCAACTGTTCAATACAGGTGTTTCTATTGCTCAAAAATACAATAATTCTGACTCTCCACAGATCTGAATTGTAATGTAGCTTGATGCTGTAACATGCTTGTCTCATGATAGTTTTGTTTAGTGTATAATGTGTGAATAATGTGTGATTCTAGTTAAAACAGTAACATTTCCATGAAGACAAGCAGGTGATGGACCCTCCACTAGAAATGTTACACAGTGCACCTTTTACTAATCTGCTACTTGCACACTTGAAATGATGTACAGTAGAGAGGGAGTCTAGTTTGCTAAGAGACATTTTTGTAGGTAATTCAGTTCAACTTACCTTGCGTGTACATGACTTGCTCTTACGCTGCTCGATCAAAATAAGTACATAAAAATAAATAGGAATTAGTGTTTTTGTTTTGTTCAATTTTGAATGGAAGGATGATATGGAGAGATGGGCAGCTGACAAGCCAAGTGAAGCAAAAGCAATGTTGCTCATTGAGTTGAAGAATACATGATAAACATTTGAAATTTGGAAAATACTATACATATACATGACATATACTACAACTGCTATGACTACTACATTGATTTTCCCTTTGAAACTTCTAATAGAGATGCACCAGTACAGATAATGGAGTCTGGCTCCGTCTGCCATCCAGACATGTTTACAAAATCAAATATTGATTCAAGGTTTATCAATAAATGATTTTAACTATTTACTGACTGTAGTTGGCCCAGAATGTCTCATAGCATTTTTAACATGCCCTGTTCCATAGTTTCTAGCAGATTACAGATTTGTATCAGTGGTGATTGTTTTATGGAAGAAAATTTTTCTCTACACTGGTATTAAATATATGTGAAGTATCAACAGATTTATCGGTGTCAAAACTGTCCAAAATGAAAAAGCTGGATTGGTGCATCTCAAATTTTCAGATAAAAACATGTTCCATATGGTTTAAAAGGGCTGTACTTTTTTTCATGTAATGTTTTCTTCATGTAAAAATAATTGTATGTTTTATCTTTTAGTTATATTGTAAAAGCTGCATGCTGCCTGCATCTAAATATAAAGATTCTATTGTCACAAACCAGGAAGTGCGCTGTTAGTATGCTCGTTGTTGCCATTAGGGATGCACTGATACAATACTGGTATTGGATATTGGCACTGATATTGGGAATTTTGGTGGTCTGGATATTGTCCCCAAGATATTGATTCAGTTGATATCACATTTTGGTCTATAAATTGGTGTAGTAAGATGATTTATAGGAAAAATGTTGGCCAAAAATGCCTCAAAATATTGATCTTGTGTCTTTACTATTGTTTTTTACTGCTGTTTTGTAATTACTAAATGGTAGAGTTACAAAACATCTTAATTTTAATCATATGATCTTACTATATTATTTTGATTATTAGAATCGGTTGATATCGCGTATCAGAGGATATCGGTACATGTCAAGCTGGATTGGTGCATCCCTAGTTACAACGCCGTGACAGCAAATCAAAAACCAGGTACAGCGTCTTTAACTGGGCTAAAGCATGGAATAGAATTTATTGCAACTCTAAAATCCCCAAATTGAACTTCTTATGTAGTTCTGTTCTTCCTCCTGCACATTTCCCCAGCCTAGCACAAAGTAGCCTGCAGTCTGCACAGATACAGTAGAGCTGGCCCCTGTAGCTCTCGTACACACCTCCTCTTGCGTTCGTTGAGCTGTTGGCACACATTGGCCCAGCGCGTGTTCAGCACCTTGAGCTGTGTGCGGATCTGCAGGCTGTCGTCAGGGGTGCTGGACGAGCTGATGTCCTCCCCGGCAGAGTTCACCCGGCCCAGCACAGCCTCCTGTGGGGGGATGGCCTCGGTCAAGTCCTGAGGAGAAATACACAGATTCACAAAGATGGAAATACAGAAAAAGAGAAAGGGAATTGTTTTTCTGATATTGAAGGTGGTAAAGAGTGTGGGATTGAATGGCTTCCTGTATACTGCATGAGAGGAAAATAGTTGAAAATCTATGGTGTTTGGGGTAACACCTCACACATTAAAGCAGACTTATTATGCAAAATCTACTATTTAAAGTTTTAAACCATGTTATATTTGTTTCCCCTCACCATTTACTCACCCAAAGTTATATGTATTTGAAGTGCATGTTTGTGCAATCTTTAATGGCTTATTTTCAAGATGCCATTTTTCTGATCATCTCCTGCTTTCACCGTAACCAGTATATGCCCACTGCTGTGTACTGTTTTCTTGGTCTGTAATATGCGTAGGATTCTGTGGCATGCTAGCATGATCTACAGCTATCTATAGGAGTTACCGACTCTTTGTTGTGATGATGTTTACGCCAATGTCAGCTCCCACTGGGCAGCGCAGTTTTCTATCGTGGAAATCGGCAGATTTATAGAATATTGCTATTTAAAATGTCCAAATTATAACATAATGCTCCACTTGTAATAAACTATAGTTCATTATAAATTAAGTCTTTGTTCCTGCTTCATAAGGCTAATTAAGGTGTGGTTACTATAAACTGATACCAAATTTAGCTGTAAACAAAAACAAACATAATCACCACACATTCATAAAGATTTGAAAAACATAAATGAAAGTTACAATTTGGATGACATTTTTATTCTGTACTTGCTACAGTGATACAGTTTTAAAGTGATGAAGTCAAGTTTTGCCCACATACCATGGGGTCACCGGGATTTAACCTCGCTCAAGCTCATATTGTCACTGTGTCTCCAAGGCAATCGTGACCGAGGGAAAAAAATATTTTCATAATACAAATTCTTCTCTGATGACAGTTTCCTCATCCAAGGATAGATTTTTGTTGTTTGCGAATATTATTATTATTATCTGTCATTGCAATTCCTGAAAATATTAACAATTTCTAGCTGGTGTCCAGAACTATGACTATTGGAGCAAATGTAACTTTCAATTTTGTGCATTTAATTTCATTCATATTGAAAAAAAATAAAAAATAAAAAAATGAACATACAACAACAGCTCTAGTATATAATATGAAACTAAATGTACATTATGAGCTATAGTGTGAGGATGGCACCCTGCAGGTCTGTGGGTGTTGGTGGGATTAAGCTGGGTGCGGTTCAGGTAGCAGCTTGTGATTTGGAGGAAACAGATGGTGCTGTGTCTCTCTTGTTGTATTCACATATACACATACTGCTCTCTCTCCCTCTCTCTCAGTTGTTCTGTCTTTCTTCTTGCTTCCTCTTGTCTCTCTCCATCTCCTCTCTCCCCTATTTTTTCTCTCTTTCCCCCTCTCTTGCTCCTTTCTCTCTCTCTCAGTTGTTCTATCTCTCTTCTTGCTTACTCTTGTCTCTATCTCTTCTCTCCCTCCCCCAGTGTTTCTTTCTCTTCCTAACTCTCCCTGTCTCCTTCCTCTCTCTACCCCCTCCCTCTCTCTCTCTCTCTCTCTCTCTCTCTCTCCTCCTCCCTCTATCTCTCTTCCTTACTCTCTTGGCTTTCTTTCTCTCTCCCTCTCTCTTTCACCCTGCCCCTTTCCTCTCCATCTCTCCCTCTCGCGCTTTTCCTTCGTCCTCTATCCATCTCTCTCCATCTTCCCCCGTCTCTCTGCCCTTCCCCTCACTCCCTCTCCCACCTGCCCTCCCACCCTCTCTCTCCTAAACAAACAGGCGGGCAGTGAGTGGCACTTGGCGGGCTCGCTCTCCTGCGCAGGTGGACCCGGAGCTGATCAGAGCGGCTCAAAGTGGCCAGGGCATGCCTGATGATGCAAACACATGCACACACACGCACACACGCACACACACACACACACACACACACACACAACACACACAAGCACACACACACACAACTCTGCAGGTGAACCACGACTGTCACCAACCACAACACAACCAAACTTCACTCGTATTACACAATTTACTGATCTATGTTATAATGTTGTTTCCTCATTGAAAACATACTTGGAGTTGTGTTTTTTCTTTTTCTTTTTTTTTCATTCACACATGTTTAACACACAAACTCTGCTTTTTTTAGCGTTCTTCTCTCAAACAGAAAACACAGGAAATGCTCCACTTGTTTTGTGTTGTGCTTCTCCCTACACCTTCATTAGAATCATTCGGATAATTTCAGCCCTGGAATTTCCTCTCTACTGAACAAAAGGTAAAAAGTAGGTGTTGACTTGAACTTGAAAACTACCGCTTCATGACATCACAAGGTGGAGCAGAGCATTTTGAGTTTTGGAGATGTAGACAGACTAATAATGCAGGATTACGCAAACATGAATGAAACAAAACAACTCCAGGTATGTTTTTGATGAGGTAATGACATTATAACACGGCTTAAAGCTCACAAGAGTCGCAATGTAGGACCTATAAAGATGCACTATGTAACTTTTTTGGTAGGGAATTCACCTTTTATCATCATGGAGATGTTATTGCTTTGCTTGGAATGTTCGCATGGCATGGCATTAAACTTAATTTTCATCTATTCAGTTACACAGTTTGAAAAACATGCATTCTCACTGTGCGCTTTGTCACCTCTCCACAGATCTGACCAGTAACTTGGCTTTGTTTCTACAGAGATACACAACCTTAACACCATACAGTGGTACACTCCAAAAGCAACTGGTGAACCCTCTAACAAAACATTTACACTTACATCTTGAGTGAACAGAAAACAGTTTTGTCCCACTACATTTTGTCTGTTTGTCTATACTCTATACTAAATGTCAAAAGCTATGGTAAAATGTGATTGCGTAACGCCCATAAAAGGACATAGATTGAGGCGGTGCTGTGAGACGGCGCTCCTCCACCATCTGTGCCAGTGACTAAAGCTGTGTCCACTCTTCACACTACACAAACACCACACGCTGCTGTTGAGTAATCCACTGCTAAAAAGACAAGAGTCACAACAACGCTGGCTTATATCATCTGTTTGTAGCATGTTTATGGAGACTGGAGTAGCAGTTATCGGCGTTTAGTGGGTACAACCAACCTACAGTGGTTTTGTAATATTTTCCAAGAATTTAAAGGTGCACTGTGTAACTTTTCACTTGTTTGTCCCATTAAGATGTCACAGCTTTGCCTGACATTTTCTCCACAATTAAATAGTATCAAACTAATCTGTCTTACATTCAATTACACATGTTTTAATTGCTGAAAAATATGCATGTTTACTGCTTCTCCAGACACACTAAACTTCACCTGCTTGTCTCTATGGGAACCCTCTGCCTGAAAAGTTACACAATGGAGTTTTAAAGTTATCAAACCTTAAAGCAAAGCATGCTATAATGTTTCCTCATCACAAACAAACCCGGAGTTGTGTTTTGTTTCATTCACACAATTCGTTCGTTCGTTCGTTTAACACACAAATCCCGCATATTAAGGCTGGCATCTTTTCTGAAATGAAAACACTCAGTTCCACCTTTTGACGTCATCTGGTAAAACAGTAAGTGCTCTGCTGTGTTTTTAAACTCCATGCATCTTCACTAGAAACAAGTGAATAACTTTAGCTCTGCAATTCCCAATCTCTACTGAACTAAATGTAAAACGATAACTTGAAACTTCCTCTTCATGACATCACAGGGTGGAACAGAGCATTTTGAGCTTTGGAGATGTAGACAGACTAATCACTAAAGGGTTACTCAAAAATGTGTGAATGAAAAAAAGCACAACCTCAGGTATGTTTTTGAGGAGGTAACAACATTATAACATGGCTTAAAGCTCACAAGAGTCAATTTTGTGTAATATGGGAGAATTGAACCCTCAACCTTATTTTGTTTAATGACACACTGCAGAATGTTCTACTGTATGACATTAAACACCTTTACTTTACATTTATTCAATTACAAGTGGTTTTATAGTTCAAAATTATCTAGAGAAACAGGTATTCTGACTGTGAGCGTGGTTGCCTCTTGACAGATCTGACCTGTAACTTGACCTGTCTGGTTTGATCTCCATGAAGATAGAATTATTTAATACTATACTGTGATACATTCCAGGCAAAGCAATACCATCTCTATGGAGAAAAGCATTTGGTGGGCCCTCCACCAGAAAAGTTACACAATGCACCTCTAAATTTACATACAAATGATAAATCAAAACAAGTCCATCCACTTTATTCTTCACTAAATAAGTTTTTGTTGTTATGCAACACAGCGTTACATCATGTCAGATTTGTCATAACCCTGTTCATATCTCCTTTATGTAACCGACAGTATCCAGAAGGCTTTTGGAGAATATAGGGACAACAAAGTGCTGACGGAGCCCGGTCTAAAGTTGTCTTGCTTTAGGGCACTTCAGCAGCATGAGTGGACCATGAGGCTGAGCTATGAATCATATGGACTATATTTGGGACCAGGCGTTTTTGTATTACTCCTAAAAGACTGCATACATAGAGTCAGGGGGTATGAAGTTTTAAAACAAAACACAGGAATGAACCAAATAATTCATCTATAATATTTTGATCCTTGTAAGAAGCAAAGCTATGACTATCATGAATATTAAAGTTGCACTATGTAGTTTTTTTTCTGAGAGTCCGTCACCTGTTCATTTATATGGATATGTCATTGCTCTGTCTGAAATGTAAACATTAAATAGTTCTGCCTTACATTTAATCAATTACAGGTGGTTTTATAGCTCAAAAATACCTAGAAAAACAGGCATTCTGACTGAGTGGGGTCACCTCTCCGCTGATCTGACCTGTAACTTTGTCTGGTTTGGTCTCCATGAAGATAGAAATGTTTCATACCCAGTGTTGGGAGTAACGCATTATAAAAGTAATGTATTACAGTAATGCGTTGATTTTTGCTGTAACGCAGTAATGTAAGGCATTACAGGGGAAAAAATTTAATATTTTACTCGGTACAAATGTGAGTAACGCGCGTTTCAATGCTTTTTTAACCTGGATTGAAGTGGTGGGTTTTTCTTCATAGAAATTCGCTAAAATCACCGTGAAATCAGCAGCGGTGAAATGCCGGAGACGCGGCCGGATAGACCTTCAGTTAACTGCGGAAAGGACCGTCCCAGAACTCTACGCTGTTTAGACCTGGTTTAGACCTGGGTCACTTCTGGTTTAGACCTGGTTTACAGTTGTCCCTCGCTCTAGCGCGGTTCACTTTTCGTGGTCTCGCTGTTTCGCTGATTTTTTTGTGCAGTTTTGCATGCCTTTTGTTTTTAGTGTATGGACACGTATTGCGTTCCTCCCGCTACGTCCTGATCGGCTAAGGGACTCCGGTCTCCTCTATAGTACAGAATGTGTTCAGCTGCCAAATTTAAATAAATGTTCAATCTCTAGCAGTGTGATTCTGAAGTGCTGTATGTCTGCAAGTTTTCTCTTCTACAAAATCCACAACGTCGACGAAACGTTCTGCACTGACAAAGGCTCCTGCGCTCACACCCAAAAGACAGAGGACGATGCAAACCATCGCACAAAAAGCTGGACTTCTGGACACGTTGAAGGAAGGTGGAAGATACGCGCTGTAGCAGAGTCTTGCACCGAGTCTTGTACCCGCAAATAGTTGCTGAAATCAGGACCGCGAGCCCCCGCAGCAGGGTGTCCATAAAGCGCAATCGGGTGACAGCCACTCTTACCTCCATGAGGTGCGGAGCAAAGCCAGTCCTTTCTCCTGCGGTCACCTTCGAGCCCATCCTGACAGTGAGTTCTGTTTTAGTCCTAGTTCAGTTCTGGTTTAGTCCTCCTCTTCAGTCCTGGAATCAGTCTGAGGTTAGTCCTGTTATAGTCCTGGTTTAGTCCTGGTTCAGCTCTGGTTTAGTCCTGGTCTAGACCTTGTTTAGTCCTGGTTCAGTCCATATACGGTTCAAAAGTTCAGCTTTTTCGCAGTTATTTTGGTGAGAGTAACTTAAAGTAATGCAATAGTAATGTAATGCCTTACATTTTAAATACAGTAATATTGTGTAACGAATTACTTTGAAATGACAGTAATAAGTAATAAATAACACATTACAGTTTTAAAGTAACTTGCCCAACAGTGTTCATACCATACTGTGAAACATTCCAGACAAAGCAATAACATATCCATGGAGAAAAGCAACATTACATAATGCACCTTTAAACATGATTGAAACAAATATTGAAATCCAAAATTCACTTTGATTCACACTTTTTTTCCCACTGACTGAAAGAATGAATTATTTTTGGAGTACAAATGAATAGATCCCAAACAAACAAATCTTCACTCCTAAAATATAGATTTTAATTAAAATTTTAGACAGATTGATTATGCCATCTTTTAATGAGCAAAGTGTATAATAATTATGGGGTAGTAAAATATAAGAAGAGTATTTCAGGGCATATAACTTTGCTTCATTTAAAGAGGGTATTTTACTTCTATGGGGGATTAACTACTAACATGCTACATTCTCTGAAAATGTATTAACATAGTTTATGGTTTTAGCACTCTGAGTCTCGCCTCTTTTTGCTCTCTGCGCTTAGTCACTGCCCCTTCAGACCGCTATCACAACACAATCATCGTGCATCCCGCTAATGAAACTACAGCACATCGCATCAGGTTTGTCAAATTGTTGTGCACAGTTTAGTATCATGTTTTTGTATATTTATGGAGAGTTGTTATGTGGGAGCACGGATGACGTAGGCTTGTGAATTGGGCATTGGACAGAATCTCACAGCTAACCTTAGGGGGCTTTGAATAGGGGCCCGGGAGAGATTGGCAAAATACTCAAACATGCATGGATGACATCAAAAAGCTCCTCAGGCATGATGAGGAAACAAGATTATAACATGGTAGAAAAAAAAAAATTGCATAATACCTCCGCTTTAATAAACCAGCACAATATTCAAGGCCTAACTAAGTACATACGTCTTAATAAATTAAAAGTACTTAAATAAAGATGAGTATTTTGAATTCAAGTAATTTCAACTAACATATGGTATTTTGTCTGATTAACTTATTAAATACACTATTTTTTCATTTTTATTTTAATTATAAAAATTGATTTCATGTTTTATTTTTTGCACTCCTATGATTATAACATCTATAGTCACAATAAAATGAATTCATCCTAACTGCCACACCCAAACCTTGCAGTGTAAAAAGCCTTGTTGTGTCTTAGTTTAAAAGGATTTCAGCGTGTACATGTGTAAATGTGTACATGTGTGTTTGTACCCTGAGGTGCTGCCTGTGAGCTGCCGGATCAGTCTCTGCCAGAGATAGGGCGCTCTCGGCCTCACTCAGCCACCCCTCCAGAGCCTTCTGCTCCCCCACAAACTTGTGCCACCTGGAGTTACAGTCCTGCCAGCGCCTGCACACACAGCAGTTAGTCACACAGGAGAACAGGAAGTACGGGGGCCCACCAGGCTCAATATAGATATATCATTATGTCATGTGCATATCAAATCTTTCACATTTCTTGCCATTCAGCTTTTTAAAGTGATACCGTAAAGTCATTTCAGGTTTTTTAGGTTAGGTGTAATATTTCTTCAGCTGTATTCTCCCAGATCTACACAGACTTGATAAAGACTACTGAGATTTAAAAGGATCAGTTAAATGCATTTGGGCAATTAGGCACAATAAAATGTAAAATGTATATTATGCATTAGTATCACTCAGTATTTGAATCTGAAAATATATGATATGAAGCTCAACAGTGATCATCTGCTCCAATTGTGGAAGTACATGTTCCATTTATTTTCCCCCAAACTTTTCGAAAAATTCAAATATTAAGAGTTCAGAGGCATCACAAAGCTATGTGCTAATATCCATAATGCGTCTATTTTAAGTCCAAAAGGCACATTTAAAACGCTAGATTCAGCAAAATGCCTGAATAACTTAGCAGTTTATAACGCTTCAGAAACAGATTTTATTATTTATTAATTATAGGTCTTGTGGCCGTTAGTTATCACACTGCTGATTAGCCCTGAGCAAGCTTTCAAACTTTGAATGTTCATTTAGAAAAGTTGGAAAGTTTATGGGAAAAATTAATGAGAAATTTTGTTCTGGCACCAGGGGGTTGGCGGTCACTGTTCTCCATTTCCTGACTTTCAAATTCAAATCAACCAGTCAGATGAGAGAATCGTATTATTTTCAAACTTATCAGAAACCAGAAAAAAACTAAACTAGATTTAATTCAGTTACAACTACAGCTTTTCTTTGGTTTATCTTGACGTACTTTTCAAAACATTCATTTATCCTTCTGTTAATATTTCCAGATCAGATCTTACTTGAGGCGGTCTTGGTAGAGCTTGTTGAGTTTGTCCCAGTTGGTGCCAAGCAGAGCGGCTGTCTCCTGGATCCTCTGGCCCTCCATGGGTCTCGCTCCCTGCACCATCTCCTCCTTCTTGGACAAAGCTCCCTCCACTGGGGCCTCCAGCTTGTCTATGCTCGCCTTCACCTCCTGTTATGAAATATACAGAAATACAGATTACAAATAACGCTAAAATTTTGCTTAAGTACATATATAGGTAGGCCAGTCATGATACTTTCTGTATCAACTTATTTTTAGAAGTCAATATTTATAGTATGTAACTTTTCTTTGCACTACTAGGAAATGTTAGTATATTTTTTTGCAATATAATAGTATTTATAGTATCAGCTAAAAATTGTATTTTTAGCTGAAGAAGTTTGAATTAATAATTTCTGTGTCTCATACCAAATTTATGACTACTAATGCCGTCACATATTTTGTTGTATTGTGTATCAAGTCTATTCCTTAACATCAAAATCGAGTCAGCAATAGTCAGTGGTATAAATAAGTTTCCATCTTATTGTTTATTGTCTAAATTAACTTCAAAACTATATAAAACTAGAAAAGCACTCAGAGAGCGCAGACCTCCGCCAAGGACTACCCCCATTTTTTATAAAAAATTGCGATAAAATCAGTCTTCTGGATCAGATCCGGATCAGCCTTTGGAATATGAAAGAGGATCCCATTGTCCATCCCTGAGTCAAATTTCATGGGGTTTGGTCAATAATTAACCGAGATATTGAGAAACAAAATTTTTGGCCCCATTTACCACAATGTTAACTAAAATTTCAAAGTGATCCAGAATCCAGGATTTCTTCCGGATCACCCCCAAAATGAAATCAGTTCTTCCTTGTCACATTTCCAACAAATCCTGAAAATTTCATCAAAATCGGTCCATAACTTTTTGAGTTATGTTGCCAACAGACAAACAAACAAACAGACAGACAAATGACGGCAAAAACATAACCTCCTTGGCGGAGGTAAATATGTTATCATGAGGAGTATAGAGGGGTAGTCTCACCGTTAGGCAGAGTTCTTGCTGGGGCAGGTTGTAGTACGCAGCGGGCCAGTACTCAGGAGAGTTGAGCTTGAAATCGGTCTCTGAAACCAGTCGTAACAGGGCCTGCAGCTCCGTCAGATACTCCTGTTTATCCACACATACATAATACAAAGGACATACAAGCAGAGGAGAGTAAATGGTGAGAAATAGTGTAAATAATCTTATAATGCAAACTAGGGCTGTATAGGGGCTAAATGGGGCTAAACTTGGGACTGAAGCTGGACTAGGCTGGACTAAACCGGGACTAGAACAGGACCAAATCAAGTCTACATTAAAACTGACCCTAAGTGCAATTTAAAGGAGCATTATGTACCTTTCCTGGAGCAGCGTACGCCACATTTTTTGTCATCACCTTGCTTGTAAGTATTAAATGTTGATTCAGGCTTTGAGGTGATTTTATTGTTCAAAAATACATTTAAAAATATGCATTTTTGTGTGAGCAGGCAGATCTCTCCACTGAGCTGATCCATACCATGGTCTGCTTGCCCCCATGGAGATAGATTAGAATATAGCTTACCCCCAAGAAATGTTGCACAGTGCACCTCTAAGTATTGATCTATATGATACTGTATGTATTCAGCTACATCACGTCAGTCCCTCCAGGAAAGCACAACCATGAAGAGTTTAGTGTGAATCTTCTCTTGATTTAATATAAGCATAATCAATTACTTTTCATATGAATGGTGTATACATGTACCTAATTTAGTACTTCACTCAACTATATTCACTCAGATAATCGCTAGTTATATTATCACGATTCATTAAAGGAACTGTAAGTAGCTTTAAAGAAGGTATTATAATCAAATCTGATCCAGGGTTGCCAGAGCCTTGCAGACACCATTTATACATCTATCTATCTATCTATCTATCTATCTATCTATCTATATATATATCTTCAGATTTCACTCAGAAACTGCACTACCACTGATTAGTGATTGGCCGAAGGTGCTGGGGCTCAGATCAGAGAGAGGCGTTTTAGATTTAAAGCAACTGAATTTCGGCATTGAAACTGGCAACCCAAATGAGAGATTGATGTGAGGCTCATTCTGCTTTCTGATTGGATTATTATAGAACCAAAACATCAAATTATAACGGGGACATCATGCCCAGTGTTTTTGTAACTAAGAATAAATCAGCATTACAATTGTTGAGTAAAAGCTACATTTGGGTAGAACATGTTTACCTCATATCTGGGGACACAGTTAAGTACAGTTTATGAAATTTAAAATCAAACTATTACATACAGTTCCTACCTCATTGAAGCCTATAAGATCTGATACTATGGTATGTAAAACTGTTACACAATGTCAAGCTGTAGCTATAAACTATTACTGATATTTAAAATGCTAAGGAAAGAGGCCCAATCACACCTCAACTATTAAAGGGCCCATTTTATACTATTTCTGATCTATGTTATAGTGTTGTTTGCTCATCAAAAACAGACCTGGAGTTGTGTTTTGTGTTAGTCTCACATGTTTAACACACAAACCTTGTATATTTAGGCTGAGTTCTCTCAAACTGAAAACACTCTGTTCCATTTTGTGATGTCATGTGGTGATAAGGGAAGTGCTTCTTTGTGTTTTTAAACTCCATACACCTTCACTAGAATCCTGTGGATCTTTTTAGTCCCACAATTGCCAATCTCTACTGAACAAAAGGTAAAAGGAGCTGCTAACTTGAAAACTAGCACTATGTGAAATCACACGTTGGAACTAAGAATTTTGAGCTTTGGAGCTGTAAACAGACTAATAATAAAGGATTACTCAAACGTGTCAATGAAAAAAACACAACTCCAGGTGTATATATAGTTTTTGAGGAGGTAACAGCATTATAACAGGACTTAAAGCTCACAAGAGTAAATCTTGCATAACACAGGACCTTAAATAAACTGTCTAATTCTTTATTGCATAACTTTCTATGTATTCCATTGTATGTGCTGTGAAGTAATCCAGAGACTGTCAGCGAAGCTTCTACCAGCCCTTCTACACATTGCACAATCCTGAAAAGACTGACGTTCATTTACTTATTCACTGTCAAATTCAATTACAAACCCCACACGCTGCACACATAGGCACTTACACAGCTATAAACAGTCTGCCACTCTGCCTGTATAAAGTCTCGACGATGAGAGCGAGAAAGAGCCCCGGCTTCACTCACACATCCCATAATTAACAAGGGCTCGCAAATCAAAACAACCACAGCCGATGGTGCGCGTGGTGGCCGTTACCGCGGAAAATAAGATTGAGCTGCGGGGTCACCGGGTCAATGATAAGACCCACAGTGGGCTTTGAGAGCTTTTGTGCGGCGTGCCAGTTATGTCGGCGATTATGGTGAAATACATGGAGATGATGTCAGTTCGCTTTCGAAATTCTTTTAATAGATTTAACATTTGATTTGGTGGCGGTTAATGGGGGCTAACGCTCTCATCGTCTGACACTGGGAGCCGAGTGGGTTGAATACACATCTGTACTGCAGTCTTTCATTGCGGCGGGCTTTGAAATGACTAAGTGCAGTGGTTTTTAGATGATTAGCACTTGACTCTCCAGACACAATTACATTTCCTATGCTAATGTGTTCGAGGGCTAGCCAGTTTGTGGGTCCCTGTTCCTGCTTCCTGTTTTATGGAACATTTTGATGGCTTTTCTCATTCAAGATTTATACTATTTTGTTTTGAATTGTGAATCACCATGGCAACAGTTTCTTCTAATTGTCAAAACCATGGATAGATTTTATTCCACTATTCTAATGCGCTTCTTTTAAACTGTGACAGCTAATTATTAATTTATTTTATTAATGTAATTAGCTTCTAAATAATCAATGAAACTTCAAATTGGTACTATTAACAAAAAATATAATATTCTGTTTGAAATTGTTAATCGCTATGGCAACAATTCTAATTTCTCATCATTCTAAAACCAATGGATGACTGATTCTAACATTCTAATAGGCTTTTTTGAAACTATGGCAACTTGACAATTTATTAACCAAATTAGCTGCTAAAAAAGCAATGAAACTTCGAACTGGTACAATGAACAAAATATATATTGTTTTGTTCTGAATTGTTAATCACTATGGCAGCGGTCCTAATTTCTCATCATTCTAAAACCCATGGATAGATCGGACTCTAACATAATATAATATGACTCTAATATAACCTAATTAGCTGCTAAATAATAAATGAATTTTCAAATTGGTACGATGGAGACTATTTTGTCTAAGTTTTTTGGAAGCAGGTTGTGGATATTCAATTAAACGCTATTGTCTATGTCATAATGTTGTTTACTTATGATAAATAAGTAATCACAAATACACTTATCACAAATATTAGTACACCTGGAGTTGTGTTTTGTTTCATTCACACACACACACAAGCTCAGTTCTTCTCTCAAATTGAACACTCTGTTGCACCTTGCGATGTCATGTGGTAAATGCTGTCATGTGGAAATGCTCAATGTACCTTAACTAGAATCATTTGGATAATTTCAGCTCTGGAATTACCAATCTCTAAAGTTAAAAGGTAGCTATTAACTTGAAGACTACCACTTCATGACTTCAGTAGGTGGAACAGAGCATTTTGAGCTTTGGGGATATAGACAAACTAATAATAAAGGGTTACTCAAATACGTGTGAATGAAACAAACACACCCCTGGTATGTTTTGATGACATTATAACATGGGTTAAAGCTCATAAGAATCAAGTTTGAATAATATAGCACCTTTAAGCACCGTAATTTGAAAGATGTAATGTTTTTTATTGTTTGTTTATGATATGTTTTGCTATATTTATTCATATTTTTCTTTTTTTTTTGCTACTGTGACCTAGTAGTTCCCCTTGAGGATCAATAAAATAAATACATTCTATAACATCACATCTATAACAACCTACATTTTTTCAAATCGGTTTGCTATAACAAAAATGGGCATTATTATTATGCCCTGCCACTTCTAGCACTTAGAAGCCCTCAACAGCTCTTTCAGCGATAAAACTGAGACTTGTAATTCCTCAATAGCCTGGCCATCATCCAAGCTCATGTTAAAGTATGGCCACTCCACAAAATGGCCCCAATTATTTCTCCGCTTCCCATTTAAAATACATTAGCGTAATCTGTCAGTCTAGATGTGTATTCAGTCTTCGAAAATGTACTTTGCCTCACGCATACTTCAGAAGTTATGGGGAACTGTCGAGGTGATTTGTGATTGGCCGAAAGAGGGCATGCAAGACACACAGCAACCAATGAGAATGGGTGAATGGAGTTCGTATGGAAACAACAGGCAGCATAGGGCGATGAGATGCAGCAAATGAAAACAAAGCAAATATGTAATTGTGATTTTGATTTAAAGGGACATTTTTCTGTTTTCCTTAGAATATGGACTAAATAATTCAAAGAATTAAACTGTAGCAAAGATTATTTTGAGGTTATGGGGCTAAAGCTGAAATGAAGATCTGTTTGCTCTACCGTACTGACTTTTATTTATCAATTACCAGATTGTAATTTTCTAAGAAACTGGCATGCGCAATACCATAAGAAATATATGAGCATCTACCCCTTTAATTAGGTCAAATTCTAACATAGTGTATCTTTAATTGTAGCTATGCATTCTAGAAAAGGAAAGTATGAGCTTTATTTATTTAAATAGCATTTATTTGCAAATCAATACCTGTAAAATTGTTATTGAATTTTGGTTTTTCAAGGTAATTGGTAGCTTATTATGTTACTCCAGTCTATTCATCCAAGCTTGAAATCTAAAAACCTGTCCAATTTCTAAACCTTTTTATTTGAAATTAGGAATGCACTGATTTTTTTTCTTTTCATGTTCCAATACAATGGCTGATCATCTGTTCATAACTGATATCAACCAATACCGGGGTAGAGACTGAAAATATGATTTATGTCCTTTAACCATAAAAGGCATTTGGGAAACAATTACCCAAATGTGTTTTGTAACTTATTTATCATATAAAGTCATTACAGAACAGCTTTGAATGAATATAAGTTCAATATGACAAGGTGTTTTGGGCAGTTTATAGACCAGAATGGGATATTGACTGAACAGATATCTTGAAATTGATATTAGATCCATCAAAAATTTTTAAATTGGCATCGATATCCAATTCCAGTATTGCATCAGTGCATTTCTATTTCTCTTTAAAATTATACTTATTTACAGAATTCTTTTGTCCAGTTGTCGGAATTGAAATTTTCTTTTGCTATGAATCCTACCTGAACAACTGAAGGTTTACACAGACACCTTGTTTACAGTAAGAATAACGTAACTTTGCTTATAACTGCTTTTAATAACATGAATAATATACTAAACTTTCGCCTCTTAAAATATGGCTTTTGGAATAGAGAATGAGTTCATAATAATGGACATTCCTGAATGGTTTTACATAGGGGGAAATAGAAAACTTAAGCCTAACCCAGATCATGAACTGTTTTATCTCTTTTCTACACAAACATTATTAGTATATATTAGACCATGCTGCACTCTGTTAGTATGATCACTCAGAGAAGTCCTACTATAGTGACACTCACACATTGTCTTTTGAAGGGAATGAACTTGCCCTCCACCTCAACCCATCGCGTTTTGATCTGCAGTTGCCGTGGCTCCACCAGATTGGATGCCCCGCCCTCACACAGCTGATTGGCTAAACCCTGCAACTCCTTAAGCTCCTCCTTCTTGGCGTCGAACTCTGAGCCAATCTCCTATTGGATGAAAACCAACCAAACATTCAAGTATTGGCTATCACCGTGGCAACATAGAAAAGCACAGAAAGGCGTGTGGATGTGCCAGCAAATGAAAAACATGTAAAATTACGAAACGCACACTGCCGTCAAACTTTATTTACAAAGTTTTTTTTTATATATACAGAGAGAAGTGGAAAAGAAGCATGGATAGACAGGACAAACAGAAGAGAGGAGGTACAGGTGCGAAAATGACAGGTGAGTCGGAGGCGTCCACTTTAGCGAAATGTCATAGTGATCATCTGCAAAGTGAAAGAACACATGGAGAGTCAGCAGCAGGCAGGAGACAGGAGCAGAGGGGCACAGCCATCCCACTTTTATTTGAACTGTGGATATGGGAGTAAAACAATGAAATTCTAATATTGAGTAGCATCTGGTGGTCAGTTTATATTGTTTTGTTATTGTTGGAAACCATTTTTACAAACAATCATTCTTTTGTGGCATATTTCATTTTTATGATATGACATAAAATTTTATCTTAGAGTAGAACTAAACACTAAATCCATTTTGTTTGCCTCTAAACAGTGTAAGTGTGTGTGTCCTATGTCCTGTTTTCTACTGTTCTTTCTCGCAACTTGTGTAAATTAGGTACATTTGCAGCTTTCTGGTCAAAAACGTCTACATCTAAGTGTGTGTTGCCATTAGCGGCCTCTGCAATTTCAAGTAGTTGGTGACATCACAAATGACCCAGATTACAGCCAGACGTGTGGATACCTGTTTGCCCAATCACAGTCTTTGCTATACCTCTCTACCCCAGTTTCGCAACTCAATTTGAAATGTGATTGTGGGTAGAGTTTAGAGATTTAGTCCCACTTTAATAGCTCTCAAAATGGGGGTCTCTTGTTTATCTTAAAGGTGCATTGTGTAACTTTTCTGGTGGTAAGTCTGTCACCTGTTTGTTTCTGTGGATATGTCATCGCTCTGCCTGGAATGTTCCACAGTATAACATTAAACATATCTACCTTGCATTTACTTAGTTGCAGGTGGTATTATTGCCTCTCCACAGATCTGACTTATAACTTGGTCTGATTTGGTCTCCATGAAGATAAAAAGGTTTAATACTATACTGTGAAACATTCCAAACAAAGCGATAACATCTCCATGAGGAAAAACATTTGACAGACCCTCCACCAGAAAAGTTACACAATGCACCTCTAAGAGCAAAGGGACCACCATATATAATGCATTGATTGAGTAATTTCTGTGATTTAATTTGGCCTTCACAAATTGTTTTACTAACATTTTAATAACATAACCTGATTTTTAAATAGCCAATTAAGAAGCACTTTGGCTACCTTTAGAGTACTTTTGTGTGTATTTTCAGAGTTTATCAGTGTATTTAAGCATGAGTCACTCTCTTCAAATCTTACCCAGTGCTCCTTCCAATGGCACCTGTGGCTCTTTAATTAACCATTTCTCTGTTCTCTATTAGCCAAAGCAGAGGGTTTGGACTGCCCGCTGGAGTGATTCAAACCCTCACCAGAGCTGCATGTGTTCAAAGTATTTGTACAGGTCAATAAGAAGTAGTAATGGGAAATAATACTGTAATTACTGCGCTGTTTCAAAACTCGTTTGCTAATGATTTATTGATGCTAAAAGCTAAGCTTAATTAGCTTTTCTGCAAACCTTGTAAAGAGCCTTGTGAACTAGTCTTACTAACAAACATGTATTAAAGGGCCCGTATTACGTTATTCTCTGATCTATGTTACAATGTTGTTTCCTCATCACAAACATTTAATTCACATTTAACACATAAACCCTGCATATTTAGGCTGAATTCTTTTCTCAAACAAAAAACTCTCAGTTCCAAGTTGTGATGTCATGTGGCAATACAGGAGTGTACAGGAGTGTTTTTAAACATTTGGATAATAATTTGGATAATTTCTGACCTGGAATTGCCAATCTCTACTAAACTAAAAGTAAAAGATAGCTGTTAGCTTGAAAACTACCTCTTCATGACATCACAAGGTGGAACAGAGCAGTTTGAGTTTTGGAGATGTAGACAGACTAATGTGTGAACGAAACAAAACACAACTTCAGGTAAGTTTGTGAAGAGGTGACAGCATTATAACAAGGCTAAAACTTCACAAGGACCTTTAATCTACAAATATACTGAGGTTTGTTGTTTTATTTTGAAAAGATGAGAAACTTATTATGAAGGCTGGAATAGAGAGGCAGATTAAAAAAGATGAGTTCATGTTATAATATATATGATATGGGGTGTTTTACCTTGACCCTTTCTCCCTCGGGTGGGTCGGGCAGTTGCTCCACGCTGCGTTGGATGTCATCGAGCCAGGCCAGTAGGTCATGTGACTTCCTCCTGTACTGGTACCACTGTGGAGCTATGGCCAGGGCTTTTCTGTTCCTCAGTACACGCAGGTCCTAGGAAATGGGAGAAATGTTAAAGGTGCACTGTCTAACTTTTTGTTTGGGGGTCCGTCACCTGCTTGATCTATGAATATATCATTGCTCTGCCTGGACATGACATTTAACAGCTCTAACTTACATTTATTCAATTACAGGTGGTTTTATAACTCAAAAAATACCTATTACTGTTTATCCTTTTTTATTATAACATAGAATATATATATATATATATATATATATATATATATATATATATATATATATATATATATATATATATATATATATCATATAGTCCTAAATCCAAGCGGCTGCAGCAAAAACACCAGCCTCTCCATCTCCACCTTTCTCCTCTCTTCTCCTTCACTGTGCAATGTGTGAAGTCCATTTGAAATCTAATCATATCCTTTTCTCAAATTTCTCATAGAATGATTACAATATTGGTTTATGTTGCTGCTTATTCTCTTGTCAACATCTGGGGGGCAAGATTCCAGATTACATCCATAATAATTCTCTTTTCAGCATGTGAGCAACTACAGTAGCCCTGAAGGGACATACTGTTGTGAATAAAATGGTTCTAAACCCACTAAATCTTTATGTGACTTTGTGTGTTTAAAAAGTGAAGATTCTGCAGTTACACCCCCTGTAGCCATGGCAACATATTTTCACTTTTTATTACAAATTAGGTTGTTTCTATTGTTTCTTTAGTATACAGTAAGACAGTAAAAAAAACTCTATATATAACTGATACTAAAACTAGAAGTAGTATCAAGACGTGATTCGGAAAAATACATAAAAATGAGAACTAGTATATCACCACATGGTAATTTTGAAGAAACCATATAAATTGACCATGGACAGTATATAAATGAACATAGCTAACTCGCTAGCTGCCACATTCCAAATAGGAAGTGTTCATGGGTGCGCTTCAGGCTCCATTGAAAATTGTCACCCCTCTCTCTGTAACTGCTACAGTATGCCTAGTCATTTTGGTCTTAAAATGTTCATATTAGCCCGCTCTACATGACCCTTGTGTTTTATTTATTCAGTTATTTTTTCAATAAATAAAATCCTATTCCTAATATAGGACTGAATTTGGAGCCAGGTCCATAACTGCTAGCCTCGTGAGCTTCATTTGACCGGAGCCGAACTCTATCGGTGGCGTCACACTCTCTCAGTCCACTTTTTTTATACAGTCTGTGATATTGACTGTTTTTTATTTACTTATTAGCAATATGGTACAGAAATAACCTTAATGTATCAAGCATTTTTCTGAGTATAGGAATAGAATTTGTAATTTTAGTATCAGCAAGGACAGGATGTCGTATGACTACTTTCCAGTTTGTTTATCAAAAAATGTAAATATGAATATATGAATAGAAATATGTCTTTCTCCATGCTGAAGTTATTATTGAACCTTATATCTTGCCCTTCAGTTTATATGACAATACTGCTAGAAATATACCTTTCATTGTATTCTATTAAGACTGGTACTACAAGACCATACGTACTTCACTTTTCAAAACAGATAGGTACTTTACTGATCTCGAAGGAAATTCAATATACTGCAGAGCTGTATGTAGTAGTTTACCTTGACCGTGTTGTATTTGCTGTTGAGTGCGTTGTGCTTGAGTCGGACTTGCTCCCTCTTATCCTGATCTGGTGCCCTCTTCTGTAGATTCTCCCCTTTTATCAACAGTTCCTTCACAGCTCCTTCTTCACAATCCTGCACACAAATACATGCGCGTTCAAAACCATATTCCACATTTAGTATTATTGCATTTTTGTTGTGTTTTTCTCGGACCTTATCTTCTTGAAAATCCTCTTCTTTCAGGTTCTCTCCTTGTTTCACTTCCTCCTCCAGTAGTTCCAGCCAGATCTGAGCCTCGCTGTGGTACTGCTCCAGCTCCTTGGCCGAAGCTGCGGTCTGGTGTCGCCCGAGGCAACCAGTTACCACGAAAAGACCAGACAAGATCATTAGCAAAGAGGAAAGAGGAGCTACTTGAAGCGTCACTGGAGATTTAGTCTTGGCTGCGAGTAAACCAAGCAAGAAGTTGGTTGAAAGAGCTTCTGTGATTTGATTAAACATTAAAATTCATGTATTCAATTTAATTTCAGTTTTGTTTTGTGTTTACTCATAATTTGTACATCATTCAAATTCTGCGGTTTACACTACTAGTCAAAAGTCTGGACACGCCATTTCATTCAATGTTTTCTTTTTCCCTTTATTTTTACTACTTTCTATATTCTGTAAACATACACAAGACATCAAATATATAAAGTAAGATATATGGAATTATGTAGCTAAGAAAATAACTCTTAATTTTTTTGTATCCATGCTTTACTTTAGAGTTATTTAACGTTTCTTTGCTAGAAAATCGTATATATCTTGCTAAATGTATTTGATGTCTTTCGTATGAAAAGTCTGAAACAGGAGAAAAATTTAGAAAAAAGTTAAAATTAAGAGGAAAAAAACCCAAACAAACATGTGTGTCCAAACTTTTGATTTAGTAGTAGTAGTAGTAGTAGTAGTAGTAGTAGTAGTAGTAGTAGTAGTAGTAGTAGTAGTAGTAGTAGGCCTATCGGTAGTAATGTGTAAGTAGTGCAGAATTATAAGCAGCCCTTGTGTTGTAGTAATAATGGTAGTAAAATTGGTACACCTTATAAGTTCACTTTTCTTTACTTTCTGCTAATAATTTTAAACTCAACCCCCGAAAGTATGCATTTGTTTACTCATGTTAAAATATCCCATGTTAATTTTGTGAATGAAGATACAAAATTAGCAGGAGCACCCTTGTGAGGACTACAGCACAAAATTCTATTATCTATTTATAAATGATCCTTTGCTTTAATATAACTCTTAATTTGAATATAATAGCCTGGAGCTGAGTCACCACAAGTGCTGCCGCTGTCTGACATTCGTGTTTTAATTTGCTTTCAAGGCCAGGCTAACTAAGCTAATTACGCAGAAACAGCCTTGGCCTTCAAACTTGGGTAAAAAGTTGTAAAATAAGACATGATCAAAGTAAAGTAAAATGTTTAAAGATCATATATTACGCTATGTGGTTGCACTCTCAAAAACATATGTGGAGTTGTGTTTTGTTTCATTCACACATTTGAGTGACCCTTTATTATTAGTCTACATCTTAAAAGCTCAAAACGCTTTGTTGCACCTTGTGATGTCACCACAGCCACCTTTTACCTTGGCAATTCCAGAGCTGCAATTATCCAGTGATTCTAGGAAAGGTGTATGGAGTTTAAAAACACAGTGTAGGACTTCCTTTATTACCACATGACATCACAAGATGGAACAGTAGAAAGTGTTTTTCATTTGAGAGAAGAACTCAGACTATGCAGGATTTGTATTAAACATGTTTGAATGAAACAAAACACAACTCCAGGTCTGTTTGTGATGCAGAAACAACATGATAACACAGATCAGAAAAGAGTACCGGTAGGTCTTTAAAAGTTGCTGTAAATAATTATTGAAGGTCTAAATCAAATCTTTACCAAACCAGTAGAGATCCTGTGTGAGATGCTGTCAAAACGCTGGTTGAGCTGCTCCACTTTAGGTCCCACTTGCGCCTGGCAGTTCTCTCCCCTGGTTGACATCAGTTCCTGAGCTAGGGCTCTCACTTCCTCCATCTTCTCCTTCATCATCTCCAGCTCGGCGCGCAACACCTGTACAACGCACGCACAGAACATTGAATTGTGGGTAATGGTCGGCGAATTCAAAAGTAATCAGGGCTGTACTTAACAACAGAGCCAAAGATGAGTGGGTGATAATGAGTTTTGCTATTCCCAAAGCTAATAACGCTGGAGTGATCATTATCGGAGTCTTCTATAATTAGACTAAGAGCACTTGTCGAAAACATAATATAGAGAAAAATCTGTGTTCGGTTTGGTTTTGTCTCACGGAAATTGCACCATTCTCAGTGATTTGGTGCACGTTTTCCTTAAAGTGGAACTAAACTCTAAATCCACTTTAGTTTCTGCTAAACCGTGTATATAGTGTTTTAATTATGTATTGTTTCGAGTCAATGCAAAGTTAATGTATACTGGGTACTTTTGCAGTTTTCTGGTCAGAAACACCTAAATTGAAGTATGTGTTGCCTTGAATGACCTCTGCAATTTCCATTAGTTGGTACTGGTGGAAGGGAATAAATTACAAAGGTAAAAGTACAACACTGAAGTACAAATTTTAGGTATCTGTACTTTACTTAAGCAAGTTTTACAGTGGATACTTTTTACTTTTACTTACAGCACAGTATCGGTACAGTACCTGTACTTTCTACTCCATTACATTTCACTTTTTTCTGCACTGAAAAGTAAAAAGTACTTTTCAAAACTGAAAAAGCAGCTTGGATGAGTTGCAGGAACGTATTCGACCAAATAAACTTTTGTCCAGCTGACAAATTGAATTTCTCCTTTGCCACTTTTCTTTATGGTTTTAAAACTGCTGAAATGGACTTTATTTTTTTATTATTTTTTTTTTTTTAGCAAATTTAAGCACATTTAGTTTCTGTCCCATCTCTGAGCAACACAATACACAAAAACACAAACGGCTAGAAAAAATAAGAAGTCAGTTGAATGAGAACTTAAGAACAGCTAAATTCTTCTTCAAAATCACTACCTTTCGTTCAAAAAATCTCTGCAAAATACTTTAACTTTTTATTTTTTAAGTACATTTTTAAGCTACTTTAAAGCAATTAATGTTATCTAAAAACAAAGTATGATTTGACCAGACCTTAAGAACAGTGTCATTGGGTCCCTGGCTGTCAATCTCATCCATCTTCTTCTCCGCTCCATCAATCCACGTATTCACTTCCTCAATCTGTCCATCTAACTTCTGCATCTGCCTCTGATAGTCCTATAAACAAAAACAACACTGGTAAGACTGCCATTTTGTTTTTCACCATTTAAACATATATGCATTAAGTAGTAATTACCAGGAGCAGGTTGAGCCACTCCTCTGCTCGGGAGGTGACCGCGATCCAGTTGCAGTGCAGGAGGCTGACCTTATCGTCCACCAGACCCCCGTGACCTCTCAGCACGGCTTTGAGGGCCTCGGCCAGCTCCACCACAGCCTGAAGCTGGGGCTGTCTGCGCTCGGTCTCTGCGTGGATGGACTGGGCCAAAAGAGGCAGTAAAGTCAGATAGTCAAATACTCATGGAAAAGAAGCTGTAGCTGCAAATTATTCATAGACAAATAGATGTTTTTTAATGAGTATGTGCATCTTCCACTTTTGACATAATGTTGAAATGTATTGATGGGATAATGTCTTGCTTCTGTCTGCTGTTGTTATTATTATTATTTTATTATCACTATTTGAAACCGTAATTAGCATTATACTTCACTGAATGTTCCGAGATTACTGTATTGTTTTGTGTACATTTCACTTTAATCTTTTAACCCTCACCCTTAAATAGAACTAGCTGTGTGTTGCTTCTCATCACAGTGGCTCAAACAGAATATGCCAAGCAATATTTAATTACACTTCCAAAATGTCCCCCCCTTTAAAGTTCATGTCATGTTGAAAAGCCTGGACCTACAGCCCTGTCTGTGTTAGAGCTGTTTCTAATTACCTGTGCCCACTCGACCTCGGCCTCTAGGTCACTGGGCATGCCGTCTACAGCCGAGCGGCGCGTTAGCTCTGCATCAGTAGCGGCTAGCCACTCCGTCAGACTGTTCAGCTCCTTACGCAGTTTCCTGGATAACTTCAGACTCTTCTCCAGCTCCAGTTTGCTCTCCGTCACCTGCAAACAAGCTTTATTTAGTTAGTTATTTTTCTTTAGTAAACTGACATATTCATTAATCATATTACAATGATTTATGAGTAACACAAAAATTACGCATAATAATTCTAAATGTACTTAACAGAATAATAATAAAAGGTTACTCAAACACATGTGACTGAAACAAAACACAACTCCAGGTAAGTTTTTGAGATATAACATAGTTAAAAGCCGGTAATACAGGACATTTAACATAAGGGCTTTACCTGTGCTCCCAGTTGATTGTACAGTAGTTTCAGAGCAGTCACTCTGTCGTCCAACTCTTTGGGCTGCTCCGTCTGCTGCTTCTGGACAATCTGTCTTCCAGTTTTAATCACTGTCTCGACTTCACCTTTGACCTCACTTAGGATTTTGTATAACTTCTGTAAAGCACATACAAAAAAGTGGGGACATTTAGGCAAGTCTGGTTCTGTTCCAGTCTTGGTTTAGTTCTGGGTTCACAGTGTGTGTGAACATAGTCAATAAAATACCATTCCTACTGTCTTTTCATCCATATTAATAAAATAATGTGCAGATATTATACAAATAAGTGACATGTTTTACCCACCATGCATTGCTCCAGCTGTGACTGCACCACGTCCTGCTCCACACTGCGGATGTCCAGCACCCCCACCTGTGCCTTGACCCCGGCCAGGATACGCTCACACTCTGACAGCCTGGCGTCGTAGTCGGCAGGCTTCTGAAAGAGCCGGTACTTGGCCCACACATCTCCCAGCATTTTCTATAAACACATTCACAACAGTTATCAGTCATGGAAGAAGCACTTGATTTTGTTTCTTGAGTAAAAGAACAGATACCAGAGTAAAAAATACTCAAGAAAAAGAAAAAGGATCACATGAAAAATCTACTTAAGTAAAAGTAAATGTTCAACAATGTACTTAATATGTAAAAAGTAAAAGCATTTCATGCAGATTTTGAGATCTAACAATGATGTAAGGATTTTGATACAGATTTGTGCTGAATTTTGTTCAACAGAAACAACTGAATACATTTTCCCTAAAGTTTTTTATTTGAACTATGAATGTGTTAAAAGTAAACCCTTTGCTTTTTCAGCAGAACTCAAACAATAAAAAAAATCTTTTACTTTTCAGTATGGTTCAAAAAATGTAGTGGAGTAGAAAGTACAGATACCTGCTCTCAAATGTAGTGACACAGAAGTAAAAAGCAGCCTGTAAAATGCTCAAGTAAAGTACAGATACCTACAGTACTTTACTGCTTTTATTTTTTCAGTGGGGGAATATAACAATCAATTCAAAAAGCATTCTAACAGTATATTGTTACTTATTATAAACACTCATACCTGTGTAGCATCAATCTGCCCCAGTACTCTCTCTTTATCTTGATTCTTCTTCCTCATGTCATCCAAAGTTGTTTCATGCCCTGTCAACTCCGTTTGAATTTTCTGCAAAGCAAAAATAAAAAGTTAAATTTGCGCACATGAGCCGCACCTCCCCTTTCATGCCACCAGGGGGGAGTATCCTGCAAGGAGAGACGTTTAACCATCCCCTGCTCATTTGCTGTGTTAAAGCGCCTTGTAATGACCATTCTAATCCAATCTGTCTTAACCGCGACGCCATCCTTAGCGCTGGTGGTCGCACATTGGTCTAATCTTTTCCACGACCGTCTAAGAATCACCATTTTGCCATCCATCTTTGAATTCATTATCTATTTGTGCTGGCTTGAAATAAGTGATTAATTGCAAGCATAGACCGTGCGCCCGCTGCCAGTGTCCAAAAGTGGCTACACGGGCTTAATTAGAACTGTGGAGAGGAGGGACGTGCACAAACTCTCTCACCGCATGGGACAAACAAAACAAAAACTACCACTCCTGGCTATTTCTACGACATAATTAAATCCAGATGTAGTGGATGGGGATGCGAGAGGCGGTGATCGATACGAGGTAGTTCGAGGTAAGGTTCGGGTAGACTCCAGAGTGGCTATTGAGTCCAGACGAGGAGCGATGTAAACAATAAAATGTGAATGAACTGGCTGGAGTGGAGATGCTAGTTTCGAGGGTGAAAAGGTTGTCATTGGTGAGAGGAAAAGATAGTTATTAGAAGTGGCAAGAGTTTAGCTACCAAAAGGTTATAAGAAAATTACACTTTGTAGTATAGCATTGTGTAGACAGGTGATTCCCAACCTTTTTTGTCTTGAGTACCTTCTAAGTGTCATCTCACACTGGAGTTTCTTTAGTAATTCCAAGTCTGTTTACAAGTATAATGCCAATTAAAACTACTCTGTTTTCTTAACAATGCAAAAAGCACTGCAAAGAATAATTTAATTTCAAATACCATGCAATGCCACCTTTTTTTTTTTTTTTTTAAACATCTGAAATCATTCCAAGAACCCAGTGTAGACCATGTTGTAGTCAGGCTAATATAAGTTTGTTCTATTTAATATTTTTAAGAATTATAAATTACAATGATAAAATATTTGCTTAAGGTTTGTTTGTTTCTATGGAGATTTCAGTGCTCTGTTTGGAATGTTCCACGGTCTGACATTAAACATCTCTACGTTGCTCAAAATTGCTCAAAAATACCTAGAAAAATATACATTCTGACTGTGAGCGGGGTTGCTTTTCCACAGATCTGACCTGTAACTTAGTCTGTTTTGGTCTCTATGAAGATAGAAAGGGTTAATGTCATACTGTGAAACATTCCAGACAAAGTAATAACATCTCCATGAAGAAAAGCATTTGATGAATCCGCCAGAAAAGTTACAAAATGCACTTTTGAGCGTTTAACCCTCTGGAGGTTGTACATCACCTGCATGATTACATGGAAATAAACTGTTAAAACCACACTTTGGAACATTCTCCATGGACATCTATGCTATACTGTGGAAAATTATAGCCAAAAAGCAGGAGAAGACCATCCTCCAGGCCAAGTAAGAGTCAGGTTTGTGGTGATGCAAGCGCACTCACAGTAATAACGCTTGTTTTTCAGTGTAATAAACCCTACCAAGACATGCTTTTATTTGTCTATTTTTTGGCTTTGGTTGTGATTTTAACGTGTCATGAATATCCTGCAGATTTAGGCCACTGTACACGAAAGACCATAAGAAGAATGAATGAAACTGCTTGAGTGTGACAGAATATATTAAAATAGAAAATGTAATGTACCATCCTGAGCAGTAAACATATAAAGGTAGTCCTGGCTGCCTGAAATTGATTGAATTCATTTTAACTATAGTCCCTCACGCTGCTACACACAACTGTACGCTATCAACAAAAGAACTGCTTATATTTTGAAAGTTAATGAGGTAAGGGAGAAACAATATAGATGAGTGAGTAGCTGTCCTAGATCTATTCATTGTTTATAGGCAAGCCTGAATGATTCCAGATTGGGACGCATTTGTTTCTTTCAAATTGTAATGAAGAAAGATTGTCAAAATGTGTTTAAGAAATCTGTTTGGAAATTTTGAGGCTAGCCCAAGTTTTGCTAAGTCCCTGTGGTGTTGTGTCCACCTGGAGGCTTTCCTTATATATATAATTTTCTTTTTTTATAGGGTCTTAAAGTGACCAAGTGTGTACAAAATTACAAATATACTTGAGTATGAGCACTCTTTGTGTTTTCATAATTCTACTTAACATTCCTGTAAATGTAAATTTCTTTTCTCTGAAAATCTTTTATTTTACCTATGATACCTATAGTGCATCATTCTTATGTCTTTCCTTCTTTTTTATTATCATATTCATTGTGAAAATTACACTATTGATTAGTTTTTCAATATTTAAAATTACTGTATGTACTGTTTTATTATCTTGTTTATTTAGCAATTGTATATTATTAATGTGAATTTCATTATTTAGAATTACGTTACATCACAGGTTTTGATTTAAAATCCTGAGCATATTTTTTTTTATTTTGTGGGATATATAGGCATAAAATAAACCATAGTTCAAGCTTATCTCTCATATAGAAAACATAAAAGAACCCAAATGAAAAAAAAGGCGTTTTCTAAAAGGCAAAACTCAATACAAACTTGTGCTTCTTGAGGTATTTGCTGCGCGTCGATGTGGTCCGCCAAGTACGCGGTCAGGTGGCGGTCAGTGGCCGCCAAAGACTCCTGGATGTCCCTCAGCGCCTTGTCATTCTCCTGGGCCCTTTTTATGTTCTCTTCCAACTCCTTCTTCCTTTGAGCCGCCTACAAACACACAAAGCATTTCATTAAAGAGTCAATCAGCAGAAAAAATAGCCAGCGGTTTGTGGAGCGTTGTGAGTCTTTTCGATAATTGATCCTAAATACATAAAAGGCTCTTACAGCAGCGTGAGTTCTTGGTAAGTGCAATCCTGGAATACCTGCTATGTAGTGGTTGAGATGGCTGCTACAAGTACAGTTGAAATTGGGCCAACACAAGCTAATTTTAGACTGTGTGAGTGCTAACAAAGCTCATTATTTACATTAGAAAGATAGATTAACAGATATTGCAGGAAGTAAACATGTTATACTAGCTAACGATCTTCAAGGTGTAATATGGACATAAAAGCGTAATGAATCTAGCAAGAATCAATTAAGAACGCTAACCTTTTTTATGGTTATTGCTTTGCCTAGATGTCCCAAGGCATGGCATTAAACATGTGATGCCATCAGGCTAAGTTTCAAGACAGATCTATGGAGAGGTGAGTCTGCTCAGAGTAAAAGTATGTGTTTTTCAAGGTATTGTGGAGAAATAAAAATGAAATCAAGAATGTGTTAATGCCATACTAAGGTAGCCTGATTCCTCAGCCGGTTTCACTTTGTGGAAACTGTATGACCTCGCAGCATTAGGATTTGTGTGCTTGACGGTAGGCAGGTACTTTTTTAACTTAATCAATCACTGCTATTTGGTCGTGACGTATGTAATGCGTCGCTAACGGAGCTAACTGGTATATTAAGCTTTTCCCAAATCCCGTAGGAAGAAGGACAATAACGTCTTTCCCCTTGATAAAATTCACCAAACTTTCTCTTTGTTCTGGCTTTAAATCCTCGATCTCAGAAATCGTTGCCAACACAGAATGTATGGCTCTTCGATGTTTGGCTAGTGCCTGGACTCGCACTTCCGGGGTTCTTGCAAACCATCTAGTGTATTCCTGACCTAGTCACCGGAGAGAAATGAAACTGAGGTGGCGCCAGCCTGGCTAATACTAAGGAACATCCCTGGATGTAGGAATAATGTGTCCATGAGAAGAGCACGTGGTAGACCCCCTTCCCCACTGGAAAAGTTGCACAGTGTACATTTGAATTGAGATATATTTACTTATAATCTACATCAAACTTTTTTTTGTTGTTGTTGTATATATTAAATTACAGGTCCTATATTATGAAAAATTGTCTCTTGTGAGCTCTAAGCCATGTTAGAATGTTATTACTTCATCGAAATCAGACCTGGAATTGTGTTTTGTTTCTCAAAATTCTCTGTGCTACCTTATGATGTCATGAAGCAGTAATTCTCAAGTTAACAGCTACCTTTTCTCTTTAATTAAGTAGAGATTTTAAATTCCAGGGCTGAAATCATCCAAATGATTCTAGTGAAAGTGTATGGAGTTTAAAAACACAGTGGAGTTCTTCCTGTATTGCCAGATGACATCACAAAGTGGAAAAGAGTGTTTACCATTTGAGAGAAGAACTCATTTTAAATATGCAGAATGTGTCAATGAAATGAAACACAACTCCAGGTATGTTTGTGATGAGGAAACAGCATTATAACAGAAATCAGACAATAGTGTAATATGGACCTTTTAAGTTAATGTAGTTTAAATGTAAAAAGTACTCAACTAAAAATGTTAAATCACTATTACATAACTCCAGACTCACTGCTACTTGGGGCACCCTGAGGAACAAAGGTCTTGGCGGCTTCTCCCTCATCTCTCCCCTCTCTACTGCTCCGAATCGATAATATCACCACGGCGACCGCACCATCCCACTGTTGTCAAGTCTTTTTTTCGCTTTGCTTCTTGACTTCCTCCTGTCCTGAGAAGTGGGCGGACTCCGACGCTTCCAACCCACCAATCGGATCACTTACGGCCTTGACATCACTTGAGTCGCCGTCATTGTGGTTACGGGTAGCCAAGTTAATCCAGTACAAGGAGATAATGGAACTAAAATTAGCCTTGAGCCCGTCTAAACCTTGTGTGAACGTCCCTGAGCTCGCACACTCACACTTTTATCCATTCGCTTCTTGTTTGATAATGAAATACGAGAATACATATTTACGAAAAACATCGATAACAACCACCCCTTTGGCGGCGTATTTCATTTCAGCAGTAGACTTGGGCTCATCCATATTCTCATTAAACACTTGCTTCTTCCTTATTACTTACTGCTTCACAAGACAAGAGGAGATAGCGGCTCATTGTTTGTCTATTGTGCGAAAACGCCGCTGGGCACGCACTGGTTTTCACTCGTTTCAAGAAGACACTCAAATTAAAATGGCGTCCGCACGCTTCTTTGATCTGAATTGCAAACATATTTTTTTGCATTGCCGGATAAGGGAGTATTATCTTCAGACTGGAACATTGATATAGTGAGATTAAGCGCAGCTACAGTCTATGGCGTTGGCTTTGGCCCGTGCGCGCTAAACTAGCTCCGTCTGAAGTGAGATAAGTGGTGACGTGTTAACAGCTTGACTCCTCGCCCGCCCGTTATTTTATACTGGATAAGAAGGCGCCTTTATGGGAATACATAATAAATGGTTTTTATGGCTAACCTTGATTCAAATCGCACTTGGCGGCGTACTGGGGAATACAAGCGCAGGGCGAGCATACTGAAATGCTAATGTAGAGATCTGTCCGTTTTAAGCTAGCTGATGTGAGCTTTTTCAACCATTTTTTACATAAATTAATTACTACTTCCCCCATAGGCAAAAAAGTATTCTAATTTAAACAAGATGACTGCTAACTGAAGCTAACTGCAATAGCATATATGTTGATTATTTTTTATATTTAATCTACCATCACAACTTTATCAAAAGAATTGTTGCTAGGGTCAAATAAAATTTTACAATAGTTTTTTCAACCATATTTAACATCAAGTAATTGCTATCTTATACTTATGCAAAAAAAAAAAAAAATCAAATTTAAAGACACTGAAGCTAATTATGCTGATTAAAAATGATTTAGTCTACTCCCATCCTTAAAACTTTATCAAAAAATGATTACTAGGGTGCAGTAAAATTCCATAATAGTTTTTTTTTTTTCCCCTTTCCTGTTTTTAAAGTTAGTATACTGAAATTATAATACAGCAAACTGTCCATTTTAAGCTTGTAAATCTTCGACGTTTCAACCATTTTTAGCATTTTTATATTTTTGATCTGGTTGCTATGGTTAAGTAAAAATTCCATAATGTTGTTTTTCTATTTTTCAGTTTTGTAATATGAAATTTGGCAGAGTACTAGGAAATACAAGCACAAGGCCAGCATACTGAAATACTAATACTGTGAAATACTGTCTATTTTAAGCTTGCTAATGCTTTTTTATATTTTTGATCTAGTTGCTATGGTAAAGGTATGGTCTTTTTGTCTATTTTTCAAGTTGGTAAGAAACTATATATTCATCACAAAAGCATTTTTACTTCTTAAAAATTTGTGAGTGATGAATGTGGCATGTAATTTTCACCCCAAAAATGTGAAAAAATATTCTGCGGATTGACAAAAACAAGTCTAATCACAGTATTTACTTGCAATGACTCACTCCTCAAACTTCTACAGTCAAAATTAAAAACTTCAACCTGCCTATCTGACTGACATTTATTCAATTTTATTTCTATTTTTATTTTCTATTTTTTACTCACAATCCCTCTCTTCTTTTCTTCTCCTTTATAGCTGACAAACAAACATGGCGCCGAACCCACAGCTTGCAATTGCCGCATTTCTGTCACTTCTCCGTAAAAAAACTATGAAAGTACTACAGTATATATTCTCGAAGTACTATCTTTTCTGAATGTAGACAGATACAGTGAGAGGATTATATAAGGCTGAGACAGTGTAATGCGATGAACTCAATTGCCAGGCACGTGCGGTATATGTCACTATGAATCACTATGATAGTATGAGAAGAGATGATGATGATGGGAGGAGGAAGAGTGGTGAACAAAAGACTAATAGAAGTGAAATAAGAGGTCAGGAAAGTAGGGTGAAGGATAAAGGTTTGAATTGAGCTCATTAAAAGAGAGAGAGTGGTTTTGAATAGCTACTTGAGGTTTAAAGGAAGATAGTGTTTTGAGTGTAAATTAATTTCTTTGTGTTGAAGTGGGTTGTGGTACAAATCATAGAAACTCATACTCTAGCTAGAAGCATTATATGCCCAGTTAGAAGCACTGTGAAATACAACATATGTGTTTGGACCATGCAAACCTCATTAAAATGTCTGATCCACTGTATTTTTCAATCATAAACCCAGCTACTTACAAGTAGTACTTTAAAGGTCCATACTTGATTTTGAAAAACAAGGAAGAGAAAGAAGAAAAGAGAAAAATATGTCTTGTCCCAGTACAGATATATTGTCTAAGTAGCTCTTGAGGTCAAAACATGTCCTCTGTTTGCCATCTGGATCAAATTATAAAGCAATATGTTGTTGTTTTTAGCTTTACCGTCACAGCAAAACTCCATACTGGTCTCAGAGAGTTGTGAACAGTGCTTCTAAACTCTTTGTGGGGAATAATTACGCTGCATACTAGGGGTATAGAGATATCCAAGTCTCACTATATGATATCGAACCTCACGGCACGATATTTATTGCAATATCGAAGGAAAGCTCATGATATGTTGGGGAGGCTCATGATTAGGGATGTAACAATATCCAAACCTCCTTGTACGATATTTTCACAATATACATCTCACAGTACGATATTTACTGTGATATTTTGTAGAAGCTAAAGAGCTAAAATTGTTAATGTGCTACTTTTTCCTCTTAAAATGCCTTGACAAGACTTAATCCAAAGAACTAAGATTTAAAAGTGTTTAAAACTGTTATTTCTTCATGTAGTTTACGCTGAAATGGAGCAGAGGATCATGGTCTATGTAGTTCCCTCTGTCTTTTTTTTTGCTATTGCTGCACCATAACTCTTAATTTAAGCAAAGAGACTTGTGATTTGATATATTGTGATGGTCCACGATATTATTGTGTGAACGCTGATGATATCATGATATTTCAGTTATTGTTACATCCGTAATGCATACATAATGTAAGTGAGGAATAATCATAGTTTTTCACATATTTTTAGACAGTTATTTATATCTATATATTTTTGTATTAGCCAATTATTTAATTTGTACACATTTTCAATAACCTTTTGTAAAATAAATATTGTTTTACTTCGGTTTTACAACTTTTATTATTGTGCCATGGCATGAAACATTGCATTTGTGGTACTGTAGAGAACTTTTGGGGATGTGAGGATTATAGGTGCCTTTGTTTCTGGATAACATTTTTAGTTTTATGCATATATCCCAGATTGGACTTCGGGGTGTCCAGCTGGTTCATTTATTTTATCCATTCCATCGGGCACACGTTATTTGTTTTGGTTTGTTATTTTCGGGGTAAATCCTGAGCGGAGTAAATGCTCCATTGGGGGCTTCACAGTAGCCTCGAGCTCAGCAAACCCCAGAAGACAGACTAGGCTTAGTTTTACAGAGTAGGTAACTAGGATTCAACTTTTTTTTTTTACAAACCTAGTTCACTGTCACACTGAACATTAGTCTACAACTCCAGTAGAAGCCATTTTGTATTATGTCAAGAAAAACACTAAAACAACACACCAATAAGCAACAGGCTCCTACAGCTCCGCTCAAACAGTGACAGATACAAGACTACATTCATATCATACTCCATACAACTGTGCAGCATCTCACCATTATGTAAAAGATAATACTCCCTACAACTGCACAACAACTCACCCTTATGTAACAGATAACCTTATGTCCTGTCCATCATCATTTCATCTTTGCACAGTTTTTCCTCACAAACTTATGAGATATACAGTATCAATAATCAAATAATAATAATCAGATCTTACCCTGGCCATGAGCTCGTCCCATCTGGTGTTGAAGGCATCTAGTTTCTGTTGAATCAGCTCATCCAGGACTCCTCCGTCCATCAGGGTCTGGGCCAGCTCCCTGATCTGGTTCCTGTTGTCCTCTGGGTGCTGTAGCAGAATCTCCAAACCCTAAAACAAAATATTTTTTATTATATTTTAAAGGTGCATTTAAACTTTCTGGTGGAGGTTATATCAGAGTTCACAGTATCGCGCTAAACCTTTCTATCTTAATCGAAACCAAACCGGATCAAGTTACAGGTCAGATCTGTGGAGAGGCAACCCTGCTCAGTCATAATGCCTGTTTTTCTGAATGTTTTTGAACTATAAAACTACCTGTAGTTGAATAAATGTAATGCAGAGCTGTTTAATGTCATACTGTCGAACATTCCAAGCAGAGCAAGTGATATATCTATAGAAACAAGCAGGTAACCAAAAAGTTAAACTGAGCAGCATTAGGATTTCTACACATGAACTAGTTGTGGCCAATTATGCACAATTCTAAGTAATTTTCAAGGACTGGGAGAGACTGGAAGTATCATTTAGTACTAAAAGGGGGAAATAGATGTTCTGGTGAAGAAGTTAAAATAGCTGGAATATTGAATTGAATATTATGCAAATTAAAATGATGACACATTAGCACTAGCCGCTGTATTTCCTCTTAAAAATCTTGTATTTTATCAATGAGAAGTGGGAAGGTATTAGTATTTTAGCGCCTGTGGGCTAGCATATGAAAATACATGGCTTTTTCATTGAACCTTTTAGCATCAGGAACACTATTTGGGGACACTGAGAAATTTGGTGTTTTGGTTCCTTTCCATAACACAATTTTATGCATGTTTTGTCCTATTCAAATGCAGTTCCCATCATATTCTATCTATATTTTTGGTAAGTGACGGTTGAAATTACAGCTTCCCGATTTGACTTAAAGGTAAAAAGCATCTTCTAAGAAACTAGAATCATATATTCCCTTTGAAATGTTTTCGCCCCCGTTCACTATAACATCAGTCTTGATTTCTCAGAATTTATTTCCATCAACATTCATAAGGGGAAGAGGCTTTCTTATTTTACCTTGAAGGATAGTATAAAACAGCAAATAGAGAAGCATTGCATTTCATGTGTATTATATTTGGGCAAGATTGCAGTCTAGACAAGAAGTAAATATGAGGGGTTTGGTGGTAGGAAATGGTAAGTTGATATAATGAATCAAAAGTACCTGTTAAACAGTTTTAATTAAAGAGTACATCATTTTAATTAAAGAGTATATTACAATTAATATTTTTGCATTTTTTTTTCCTGAGTATAGTATAGTGGTGCCTTGTTGTTCCTCTTGGCAAGATACTCACATCCATACTGTTCAATGCTATCTGCACAGGAACCTGATCCAGTGCAAATTAATACTTAGCAGCAGATTTCATCAATGACTTTAATCTGAGCTTTGGACCAGAAAGAGCTGACATATTTGGAACTACAATGGGCGAGTCCCTCTGAAATAACATTACATTTTTTTCAGTTAGTCACGCTCACCTTTTTGTTGAACATCAAACACCTAAACAAAACTATAAACGCTCACATTGATCACAGGCTCCTAAAAGTGTGTTTTTAAATGCATTTTGTATTTTTTCTTGAGTTCGCAGACTATCTTAAAACTTTCTGGCAGTGTTTGCTAAAGCCAGGAGTACACTGTGCGATTTTTAGCCCTTGAGAAGATTTTTTCACTAGTGCATGTTTTTGGGATCGGGCTGAGTTTTGGTTTAATCTTGTGTCGTGCTTCGTGAAGTATATATTGGGTAAACGAGAACTGATTAATACCTCACAATCTGTTCCCGATCACAAGACTATCAAAACTGTCTGAAATCCAGTCACATCTCGTGAAGGTTTTGCACTGTTGAAGTCTTGCATATAGTGTGAGAACATGAACTTTTAAATCCAGCAATTTGGTCATACAGTTTGAGCTGGAGCTGAGTGAAACGATCGAAAATATTGCACAGTGTATGTCCAGCATAATGTGAGCATTGTGTCATCATAAAAATTGTGTCACCATACAAAACACCAGCGTTATGCTACTGCAAAGCATCAGTGGCAAAACTGGTAAGTGCTCCTCATTGCATTAAAACACAAAAACTGCATCTAGTCTACAATATATAGGGCGGATCCTCTATGGAAAACCAACATGAGTATTTGATTTATTTTACACGTGTCTACTTACTTCCAGTGCCTCCTGCAGCTCCTCGGGCCTTCCCTCCAGGCTATCCGTCTCATCCAATTTCTGCTCCAGCTGATCCAGAAAGAGATTCTCCTGCTCCAAGTAGGACAGCAGCTCACACCAGCACGCCCACACCTCCTACAAAACACCACAACATCCCGAACAGACTGTGAGCGTTAGCAAAACAAGCTAACAACTTTTTGGAGAGATAAATTTGAAGTGACACAACACTCGTCACGCCATTTATTTTGTTGTTTCTGGATAGCATTGTCTACGCCACATCTGCTCGCCGCCATGATGTTTAATGAGTTGACTTCCCTTGTGCAAATGAGCAACAGTTTGTGCCGTGACTATATAAATCTACCCAGCGCTTGAAACAAGTACCACTATCCGCATAACTTGTGTATTGAAGTTCCAAGGTTGCGCAGTATATAAACGAACACTGACCGATGGCTCTTGTGACCTCTGTGACCTCCTTCTCATTTTTAACATAAAGAGCACTGATAAAGGCTATTGGCGCTGGCAGTGATGTATGAATACGACATCCTTGGCCTTGACACAGTGAAATAGGAGTTCTTTATAGGAGCCGCCCCTTTGCCATTCAGAGCCAAGGTTAGCCTTATTAAAATGTCCCTATTATAAACACAGAATGGATTAGGGTGTCAACAGCTTTTTATCCAAGCACTGAGAGGGTTACATGTGGTACAAAGTCATTTAAAAAAGTTGTAAATAGGATGATATTATGGTCTCCTGGGCTTTTTTAAATACACAATTGGAAGGTTTTTTTCTATTTTGTACGTTCACAATACTGATATGTATTACCTTCAAAAAGCAACATAAAGCAGCTTAGTCCTGGTTTGGGAAAGTCAGAGACTGTCTAAAGAATTGGACTAAAACAGTGTGAGGTCACCCACAGTGTTTTGTTAGGGTCAAATGAAGCTCACGAGGCTAGCAGTTATAGGAGCAAATTTGGAGTCAAGTTCCATATTAGGAATAGGAATTTATTTAATAGCGAAATAGCGAAATAAAAACACAAGGATCATGTAGAGTGGGTTAATACGAACATTTTAAGATCAAAATGACGAGGCTCATTGCAGCTGTTACAGAGAGAGGGCTGACAGTTTTTCAATGTAAAGTCAATTGGAGCCACAGTCATTGGAGTCGGAAGTGCACTGATACTCACTTCCTATTTGGAATGTGAAAGCTAGCAGGTTAGTTATGTCCATTTATATACAGTATACAGTCTAAGGGGCAAGGATGCAGACTAGATTAGTAGTCTAAAAGTATAATACAGTAATTTCGCTACCAAGAAGTTGCTTGTTGACAAGAATAATGCAAAATTTTTAATTATGTGAAATTGTGAAATAGCCTACATAAATTTAGCCAGACTGGCACCACCTAGTGCCTGCGCTCAATTTCATTTCTCTCCAGGGACTAGGTCAGGAATCGGAATGCACTAGACAGTTTGCAACAACCCTGGAGATTGTAGACTGCGCACTGGCCAATCAGTGAAGAGCTGTGAAGCCATGACTGGGTCCCTTTTGTGGTACAGCACAACAATAAACAAAGCGGTCGAGATGAATGTGGATGAAGCCATACAATCTGTGTTGGCAACGATTCCTGAGATCGAGGATTTAAAGCCGGAACAAAGAGAATGTTTGGTGAATTTTATCAAGGGGAAAGATGTTATTGCCCTTCTTCCTACGGGATTTGGCACATTACATATGTCACGACCAAATAGTAGCGATTGGTCAAATAAAAAAAGTACCTGTCTACTGTTGAGCGAACGAATCCTAATGCTGTGAGGTCAGACGGTTTCTATGAAGTGAAACCGGCTGATGAATCAGGCTAGCATAAATTAGGGATGGGACAAGATCTCGTGAGGAAAATGATCTTGTGAGATTTTTTTTTTTTTTTTATTTAGTTTACATCTAGTTTGGACAAAAGGAGTTAAGGGCTGGTAATTACATCTCTTGAGGAGCTAAGGTTCCAAAATATAGGTCTACTAATACAACAAAAATATTAACTTAAAAAATACAAAAGTGCAAAAGGGATTGCACAATTATTCTATTACATATTATTTCAAAATTTCGCCTTGTCCTGTTCTCGTGGACCAAATCTTGTTCCTCATTTCATCTTATGGAAATTCTGTCTCGTCATCCCTAACTTAAATGAGTCCATACACATTTCTCTGTTCATTAGTTGTGGGGCCAAAACAAATTATAGCATTTCAAAGAGTTTTCTGGATTTGTCAAACTATGTTGACTATTTTGCAAGTCGTAGTAGTTGCAAGCAGCAAAATGGCTAGTCAGATTCTTGTGATTAGGAATGCATGCGAGTGTAGCTCCTGCCTGTCTCTCAAACTCAAACCGCAAAGAATTTTAGCCAAAGAATTTCACTCACAGAACCTCCCTGCCACATTAAACACTGTCTATAAGAGCAAGTTTAAATGCATGCATCTCCTGTCTCTTTCAATGCTTCAATTGCTGGGTTTCAGACGACATTGCCACATTCTATAGTACAATGTAATCAATAGGGAAATCCATCTCTCTAGAATCTGAAAACCACCAATACAACTCAATGTTACTGAATTGCATTAAAGCGTAACTAGAAACGGCTGCTTTATGCAAATTGTTGAAACACAATTTAAAGGGGAAATGTGCGACCACACACGCTATTTCATATGAAGAGAGTTAATCCAATAAAAAGCTAAACAGGAAATGAATACCTGCTGCTTCCAAGCTTTGGTAGGTGGAAATTTGGCAAGGAAAGAATTCTTCAAATGTGTGAGCGGATATTGCGAAAAATATATTACATTTTGAAATTCAAAGATATTGATGCGACTGACCAAATTCTACATATATTCTACAAGTATTACAATTTGTTTTCTAACAATCCATATTGTTACTAACTGCTAACAAACAAGATTACCATTTTACATTTTTTTTTGTTTTGAAAATGCAATATTCGTCAAAACAATCTATGAACATGTTTTATAAGTTTCAGTTTGGAGGGTACAAATAGGGCCTGGGAGAAATCGCTAAATTACTCAGACATGTATGGATGATATCTAAAATCTCTTCAGGCATGTTTTCGATGATGGAACAACTTTATAGCATGGTAGAAAGCTTAAAAAAAAAAAAAAGTCACTTTTGCAGAATACCTCCTCTTGAACCCTTTTTAGTTAATTTCATTTGGCAATAGTGGAAGAGTGGGTTGAGATTTTGCCAACCAAAAAGAGGATAACTGGTTCAAACCTTGATGTGCCCCTTGGCAACACACTTCATCCATATTGTTCAAGGCTAAACTACACAGGAAGCTGATCCATGTTGGATGAATTACTCTAAATTGAGCAAATTATTACAAAAGCACTAAGTGTAATTCACTGTATAAAAGAAAAAACTGCATATACTGTAAAATACATAGGTTGAATTCTATATGGAAAAACAATATAACTTACATATGTTAAGACCAATTTCCCATTTAGTTCAGTACTTCCTGCAACCCCTCTGTGTATCTGCTGTTTACTTCATATTTCCCTATTACTTCTACTTGCAACTACTACAATTCATTTTCCATCCCACTTTTTAACTCAGATCAATTTATTTTGCAATGTTTTGAAATGAGAAAAAAATCCATATTGTTTTGAATGGGATCTGGACATAAACAGTAAACAGAAGGCTCTCCTCCGTGTGCCCGATGATTCATGGGTACCTCAAGCGTTTTGCATTTGCCGTCCAGTCTGCTGCACAGGCGTTGGTAGTTGGCCACGAGCACGTCCAGCTCCGAGCGCAAAGCATCGTGGGCCGTGGGAGGGGCTTTGGCGATGAAGCTGTTCACACTGTCGGTCAGAAGCTTCACCTTTATCTCTTTGGAGTGAACCTCCTCCTGGCCTTTCTGTGAATACACAAATAGAAACAATATTTACAACTGAAAACAAATAAATATTATACTGATTAAAGGGCAAAATTGAATCTTGTGAGCATTAAAGGTGCACTATGTAACTTTTAGGTTGAGGGTCCATCACCTGCTTGTTACTATGACATTACTCTGCCTGGAATGTTCCACAGTGTGACATTAAACAGTTCTACTTTATATTTATTCAATTACAGGTGTTTTTTATAGCTCAAAAATACTAAAAAAAAAAAAAAAGCATTCTGACTGTGAGCGGGCTCGCCTCTCCACAGATCTGATTTTAACCTGGTCTAGTTTGGTCTCTGTTAAGCTAGAAAGGTTTAATATCATACTGTGAAACATCATGGAGAAACGCTTTTGACAGACCCTCCACCAGAAAGCTACACAATGCATAAAGTTAATTTTTAAATGAGTACTTTTTACTTTTACTTCACTACATTTGAGAGCAGGTATCTGTGCTTTCTACTCCACTACATTTTTGAACAGGACTGAAAACTAAAAGTATTTTTATTGTGTAATGAGACCTGCTGAAAAGGCTAAGGGTTAAGTATAAGTTTTTAACACATCATAATTTGAGCAAACGAAAATATACAAATAAAAACCACTAGGAAATTGTTACTGTTGAACAAAATTCCGCCAGAAAAGTTACACAATGCACCTTTAAGTCATGTTAGAATGCTGTTACCTCATTAAAAACATAGCTAGAGCTGTGTTTTGTTTCATTCACACATGTTTGAGTAACCCTTTATTATTAGGCTGTCTATAAATCTCCACTGGATAGACAATTCTAGGGCTAAAATCATCAAAATTTTAGTGAAGGTGTATTTAGTTTAAGAACGCAATGGAGCACTTCCTGTATTACCACATGACATCACAAGGTGGAACAAAATTATAACAGATCAGAAAATGGCATAATATGGGCTCTTTAATCTATTCTGCTTTTCTTACTATGAATATTATGAACTCTGCTTGGTTTAAATGCTTAGCTTGAAAGGTCCTGCACTCAATATTTTACTATTTATTTGAGCAAGATAGTATGTCTAGTTCCAGTATAGATATATAGTATAAGCAGTTCTTGAGGTCAAAATATGCCTTCTGCGTTCTGTCTGTGTGGTTAGCATGCTAAATGCTGTTGCTTTACCGTCACTGCAAAACTCCACACTGGTCTCTGAGAGTTGTGAAAAGTGCTTGTGAACTCTTTGCGATGAATATTTAGGATTGCTGGAATGCATAAGTTACACGAGGAATAACTTTGGATCTCTACAAACTGTTTAAATGAACTGGCTCTGTTTTTTTAGGACCATTCCCAAAGCAACTGTCAATTTAAACCAAAACTGTGAATTGTGAAAAGTCCTCAGAACGTCCTCTATAACAGGAAGCCGGAACTAATGAATAGTGGATGTGGTGAGTCGGTTTTGCAGTCATTGAAATGAGCACAAAACTTTACTGATTTGGATGCATTTTACATAATTGTTGTGGGAGTCATAAGTCTGAAAATGTAATCAGATGCAAAGTGTGTGTTTAAATATACTATGGAATTTTTGACTTCTACATTCTGTTTGAATCCAGAAGTGTTTGGAATCGTACCACAGAGCATGAAAAACTACTGTCTCTTCTCTCAAAAGTTCTTGTATCATTCAGACCAAAATAAATCTCTTCTTTTACCTGAGATGAAGACATAGAAAGTTTAGTGATGTCCTTTGTGTTGTTTTTTCTTTTCCTTTTTTACTCCTAATCCGCCAAGTTTGTTTTTGCCAGAATGAATTTGCATGTGTCTTTCTGATTAGCCAATCCACCTGTCAATCACACCCTCTGAAATCATGGAAACAGGATCGGACTCCAGACTAACTCATGTCTGCAAAGTTTTATCAAAGTGAGTGATCATTCACAAAAAATATATATCTATAACTTACATTAACTGTTTAAAACCATACTATTAGAAGTACACTCAAAATATATTAATTAGTATAAACCTTCACCTTCATTAAACTATATTCCAATAAATTTATTCATACATGTAATATGCGGCTGCCTCAAGTTTCGCTCCTTTGTTACTCCAAAGCAAAACAATGAAAAGCATGTATGTAGTGTGTAACATTGTGTGGTATTATGCTGAATCCACCATATTGTGTAATCAGCCTGAGCAGCCCCGTGGGACTCAACATTAATACACAGCACACAAAGGAGAATAAAAATAGGACTCCTAATGGGCTCAAGGAACAATTGAATCAATGCGGCGTCTGGTGTTGACAGAGGCTGGCGCGTGAAAAGGAGAGGAGAGGAGACACGAGGCACGTCAAGGATTAGGAAAGGGAGCGATCAGAGGAAATAAAGGGGTAAACCCAAGGACCAAAACAAGGGACTTTGAGATTAGTGAGAGTGGAAGACGCAAAATCGATTTTTAATTTTCAACTTTTGGTCTGTGGGTAAAGTTTCAGCAGGGAAGTCGTTTGGAAGAGTGGAGTTTTGACATTGCCCATTCAGATTTAGACAGAAACAAAAATAAAATTGAGTTAGTGTTAGTGGTGGAATGTAACAAAATAAAAGTAGTACTGAAGTTAAGTAAAAATGTTGGGTATTTGTACTTTACGTAAAGGTGCACTACGTAACTTTTCGGTTAGGGGTCCGTCACCTGTCTGTTTCTATGGAGATGCCATTGCTCTGCCTGGAATATTCCACAGTACGGCATTAAACAGCACTTCCTTACTTCAATTACAGGTGGTTTTATAGCTCAAAAAAACCCTAGAAAAATGGGCTTTCTGAGCGTGAGCAGGGTTGCCTCTCCACAGATCTGACCTGTAACTTGTTTAGTCTCCATGATGACAAAAAGGTTTAATGCCATACTGTGAAACATTCCAGACAAAGCAATACCATCTCTATCGAGAAAAGCATTTGACAGAGCCTCCACCAGAAAAGCTACACAATGCACCTTTAAGTAAATTTTTAAATGCGTACTTTTTACTTTTACTTCACTACATTTGAGAGCAGGTATCTGTACTTTCTGCTCTTCCACATTTTTGAACAGGACTGAAAACTAAAAGTATTTTTATTACTGTATGAGACCTGCTGAAAAGGCTAAGGGTTATTTTTTTTAACACATTTATAATTTGAGCAAACAAAAAAATTTATAAAAACCACTACATTTGAAGCCTTATAAAATCTCAAAATCTGTGCAAAATACTTTTTACAGTACATTTTTAAATGGGTACTTTAATACTTTTACTTAAGTAGATGTTTTCAAGTGATACTTTTCCTTCTAATAGAGAATTTCTTTGCTTCAGTATGTGCACTTTTACAAAACAGTACTTCATCCACCACTGTCTAGTATACAAGCGATGGTGCGATCCCTACTTTTAAACTAGACTTTTTATTCCATGTGTAGGAGGAGACGGACTAGAGCAATTTCGTAGCTAACCGTGACCCAAGTGTCCAACCACCAGACTCTGACAGACTGGACTGCGCCGCTCCCATCTAATCCCTGAACATTAAAATTTAAAACAAAACAAAACAAACAAGATGCTAATTAAAATCGAACCAAAAGAAACGACGGACCAGCAGACAGTGGGGCAATCGTAGCAACAACAAAATAATGTGTCCAAGTCTGGAGGAAAAAAAAAATCAAAAAGTAATCTCTGAAGTGAGGGAGAAGGAGGAGAGAGGAGTGGAGAAAGTCAGGGTGCCCCGACTGCAGTAAGCGCTGGTCTATTGTTGCACAGAATTCACAATGAACACTGCTCTGGAAAAGTAATATAACAGGGAGAGTGGAGGAAATTTGAAATGTTGTGTAACAAATAATGCATGTTCAAATAGTAGTTTTTTGTGCTGAAATCATACTGGAATGAACAAATTCACTTTCTTCACTTTCACTTTAATAAATAAAAAACATAATACATCACATAAACAGAATCAGATGTGTTTCAAAACTGATGCCTACTGTTATTTGGATACTCAAACAATCTCTACTGAACTAAAAGCAGCTGTTAACTTGAAAATTAGCACTATATGACATCACAAGGTGGAACAGAGCATTTTGAGCTTTGGAGATATACAAACTAACAATGCAGGGTTATTCAAACATATGTGATTGAAACAAAACACAACTCCAGATATGTTTTTGAGGTAACAGCATTATAACATGCTCAAAAAAGTTAGTGTTGTAAAATATAGGACCTTTAAATGATTCAACTACAACTTAACAGCGCTGCAAATCCTCGATAACTGCTCCCTTGTTTTCCCTTGCACCCAGCCACACTACCTCCTCCTTTCCTTCTCAGTAGCTCTCCTCTATCTCCTCTCTTCAGTCCATCCCTCAGCTGCGTTCTTCTTACCTTAAGCTCCTCCACGGCCTTGCGCAGTTCTTCTGGGGTCTTGTACGTAAAGTCTCTCTCCAGGTAATCCTCCTCAGCCTGGTTTATCCACTCCTGCATCTCCTGCATCTCCTTCCTGAGGGCCATGGTCTTATCTAGACCACCTTTGAGCGCAGACTTCTTAGCATAGGCCTATGAAAGAACAAAATACTACTGAAAACAGGTTCAAATACAGGACAGCAGTTGTGGATTTAAGTGCATATAGCAGGTTAGACTAGGAGTGCACCAATACTGATATAGCGATCCATAAAAATTTGGTGGATCAGGTATCAGCTCCAAAATATCAGTTCTGCTGATATCCTAGTTTAACATATAAACTGATGTAATACTGATGCAATACTCTGATACAATCTTTTTCTATAAATACATGAGAGATAAACAAGAGCTAAGGGCTACATAACAGTTTTTGTGATACAATATATTTAGTTTTTAGGAAAATAAAATCTATTTCCAGTTGGTCAGTATTGCAGACACTTAAAGCCATAGTACTGAACTGAAAAAGCTAGATAGGTGCATCCCTAGGTCAGACTAAACTAAAACATAGTTAAACAATTATATTTAAGACTTTGATAAAAATAAATAAATAAATCTTGCCTAATGTTTTATAGTTTTTCAGTCTCATGAGGATCATAATTTTACTTCCTGATTGGTCATGGGCGGCAGATATGATATACATAGAAGTCATTCCTGCTACTGAGCAAATAAACACATTTGCACAATTGTTATGATTAGACAAATAAAAATTACACCTTTATTTTGTTAAACTGGTGGTAAATCAGTTTCTAAAATTCAGTAACAATGTATGCGCATGAAACATATTTTTGTGAGTTTCACAGACCTGCTTGCACACCATCTCCCACTGCGCGTTGAGAGAGTCCAGTTCTTTTTGGATGTGAATTGCAAATGGCGGCTCTGCTTCTTTCTTCAAATACAGCCCCACTTCATTGATGCCGTTGACGCTGGGCTGGATGGTGTGAATGTCGTTTACCAAAGCCTGAAAATGCAAAAAAATCCAAAATTATTAGCAAAGAAATAGCAAAAATATGTATACAGTTTAAAGTCAATGTTTTTTCATGTATCTGAGCAAAACATGTCTTCCTCCAGCTCTCGAGATCAAAATAAGTCTGTTGTGTAATATATCTGCATCTAAATATAAACCTTTATATTGTCCGATAATCAGTAACTGCACTATTAGCATGCTAGTTGTAATTACTAATTACTCATCATGGTGAGTAATTAGGATGCTCAGAATGCATAAGGTAAATGGGAAATAACATTGGACCACCTTAAACTGTTTAAAATGGACTAGCTGTGTTTTTAGTGGTTTTAAGACCCTAATTTTGTTATAATGGGGAATTTCAGTTTCAAATTCAACAGTTACAAAGCCATATTTTTAAGCGACATTAAACTCATTTCCAATTTCCGTTCCATTTGCTCAAGGCTACATTTATAGATATTCTATGAACGTTCCTGATTATTGTATGATTTCTCTAGTTAGTTTTTTGTCCAGGCTTATTTGAGCCATCAGTCTGTTTGAAAATGAGTTTTTGCAATCCTATCAAAAGTTTGCTAAATATTTGGGCTGCCTGAGTAGAAAAGGCAAGAAATAAGTAAACACAGGTAGACCTGGGTAGAATGTTATTATTATGTCATATAGTTATAGAAGTGCTGATGATTGTTGTACCATTACTTACTTACATACTTACGTATACTACTACAATTACCACTGCTACTTCTAAACTACTTTTCCAATACTTACTGCTGCTTTTAGTAAAATTACTGACACTACTATGACTGCTGTTAAGATGCTTTTGCTATACCCATTATGAACTGCTATAAAGTGTAAATTAAAGGTGCAAAAATGTCTGGTGTCTGGTCTGCTTCAGGTGCAATGTTTCACTGCATGTCATTAAACACATCTGTCTCCATGGAGACAAGCAGGTGATACAATAAGACCAAGTTAAAAGTCAGATGTGTGTAGAGGTAACCCCGCTCACAGTAATCATACATGTTTTTCAAGATATTTGTTTAGCAATAAAAACCTGCAATTAAATAAATGCAAGATAGATATGTTGAATGCCATACTTTGGAACTTCCCAGGCAAAGCTTAATATCTCTATGGAGACAAGCAACTGGCAAATCATTCAGCAGAAAAGTTACATAGTACACATTTAATTATAATCCATTTACATAAGTACACATTTTGGATATTTTTTAAAAGCATGTATATAGTAAAACTTCCGTGATACTCAAAACAAAATATTCTGTCATAGTTTGAAAAGTAATAGTATCAGTAACTGTACTTAGATTAAACAGCCTATATTACGCTAGTTTCTGTTCTATGTTATAATGTTGTTTCCTCATCAAAAAACATACCTGGAGTTGTGTTTTGTTTTGTTCACACATGTTTAACACACAAATCCATATTATATCCATAATGCATATTTAGACTGTTCCACCTTATGACTTCCACTGTGTTTTTAAACTCCGTACATTTTCACTAGAATTATATGGATAATTTCAGCCCTGGAATTGTCAAATCTCTACTCATCAAAAAGCTAAATTAACTGTTAACTTCAAAACTACCAGTTCAAACAGTGCTTTTTGAGGTAGATATAGACAGACTAATAATTTAGGGTTACTCAAGACATGTGTGAATGAAACAAAACATGTTTTTGATGAGGAAATAATATTCTAACGTGACTTAACGCTTAATAACGCTTAATATAGGACTTTTAATAGTAGCAGTAGTAGCCTTGGGAAGAATCTGTAGTATCAAGTCAATGGAGTGGACAACAGTAGAAATAATACCACCACTAGTAAATGAAGAAGAATTACTTTAGTTTATTGTATTTCTCTTACTGTGCACTGTTCCAGTTGCTTCTCCAGAGCCTCCGAATCTCCCAGCGCCGGCCACTCTTCATTTAAGAACACATCCACATCTGCCATCCACTTCTTCAACGTTTTTACATCATTCTGAAAAGCAAAACACACAAACACAAAGGTAACGCACACATCAAACCACATTATTTATTTATACGACTTTAGATAGACCTCAAATTGCATGAGCTTGGCCATCAGCTCCTGCAGCCTCTGAGCGCTGTCTGTGAGGGTGGTGCCCAGTCGTCTCCATCGTGCCAAGATCCCGTCCAACTCCGCGCGGTATCTGAACAAATACACAGGCAATAAATCATAGAGTTTTTATTGTTTTACTGGTTCCAGACTGGAATTCAACATCGCAATTTATTTTTTATCTTTTAGAAAACTTTAATTAAAGTAGCGGTAGCCAGTGGTCCTGGAGCCCTGTTTTTGTATTTGTTTCATTTCATTTGGACAACTAAACTTCATCTTTTCCATCAGAGATTAAACAAAACAAAAGGAGCAGACAGAAGAAAAAACTTGCCTACCCTGTCTCACATAACAGACAAAAAAGTGATAGCTATTGACATTTTGACATTATTGGCCTGAGCCAGTAACAGAGTAACTTGGCAAGGGCTGCTCATCGTAGAGGTGGGTGTTATCCTCTAATTTGTAGAGGTACTAGAGCTTGGTTGAGAAAGATGTAGAGCTATCCATGTTTGTGTGTGGTTTCCCCAGTGTGTTGAGAGCTTATGAGCCAAACAAAAGTGTCTCGCTAGAACAGAGTTTCATTTCAATTGGCCATTGTTTATCCATGAGTTAGGGTGAGGGTTAGGGCAACATTTAAGATAATCTACATTCATCTGTGTTGAGAATGTGTGCTCTATGTATGTACAGTATGTATAAATGTTACTAATACATATGTTTTCTGTTCTATTCTATTCTTCTAAGTTCTTCTCTCAAACTGAAACTCAACTGAAACTCATACAGGAAGTCCACTGTATTTTTAAACTTCACACATTCACTAGAATCATTTTGACAATTTCAGCCCTGGAATTGCCAATCTTCTTTTGATCCAAAAGTAAAAAGAGCTGTTAAATTAAAAACTACTTTGGAGTTTTGTTTTCTTCAAATTTAGAGACACTCTGTAAAACTTCTGATGGAGTTTGATGACCATATATTTAAACTGGTAGCTCAAATAGCATGAAACAGGCTCTTTACTTAGTTTATTAAAAAGTAATCTTATATTTTTTGGTCACTATTTCTCTATCTTTCTTACTTCTGGCAAATTTCTGGTGGTGCCTTCTGGAACACGGGCTCCACAGCTGCGGTGAGGTAGTCCACTTCCCCCTGGTGCTCCTCCACGGACACCTGCAGAGCCTACCAACCAAAACAAAACACACTTTAAACACATTTTTTCTCTTCTATCTGACATTCTAGAGGAGTAGCCAACTGAAGCTAAGTCCTTTGCAAACTAACTGGTGTAATAATGATGTAATCTGATCTTCAAAATAAAATTAAAAGGTGTATTTTCAATTTAATAATAACTAGCTTAACTAGTTTTAATACAATACCAAATTAAATCATGGACAAAAGTATAACAGAAAGTACAATTTAGTTATTACCTTTCATATATATAAATGCAAATAATTCTTATTCTGGTATATAATTTCTGTAAATAAAAAAGTGAATGTTTCTCCTATAGACATTGATCCAGAAATGTTTTTTTTTTTGTCTGATGCTTCAATAATGGTAAATAAAAATTAAATAAAAATAAATACTAAAATAATTCTTATTCTGACGGCATAAGTAATTTCTGTAAATTTTGTCCCATAACCATTGATTGGATTTCTAAAGAAGTCTGATGCTTCAATAATGGTATATATAAAAAAATAAAATAAAATAAAAATAAAAAATAAAATCAAATATATTCTCATTTCCTATAATAACAAAGGTCACCTCCCCAGCCTACGTAGCAAAACATATTAAAGCTTTAAGTCACTTCTCTCAGACATATGCGCCCTGCCTCCATATTTTCTCTGCCCCTTTCCTCTCCATTCAAACATTCAGTGTGTCAACACGTCTCTGGGGGAGTGATTTCCCAGCATCCTCGCCTCGTCATGTCATTTATTGGAGCTCCATCTCTCAGACAGTGTGCAGACCCCAGCGCTGCAGGCTATAGTCTCACATTATAGAGGGGATGGGTTGTGAGAGGTTAGAAGTGGTCCAGAATTCACTATCACTCACTAAGGAGACGGTCTGGGCTCAGAAATAACACAGCAATTGTAGATTTATTTTGATTTTGCACAAGTCTGAATGTTTATCATCTTATTGTATTCTTTTGCATTTCTTTTATGACTTTGTTTTTTGTATGTACATTCCTGTCCATTGTATGTTTTTTTCAGTGACTCATTTGTATCTATATAACATTAACAGTTTGTGTAACTTTATTTACATTACATTATTTATTCAAAATGATAATAGCCTAAATTTGTTGCAAGGGGATAGTTAAACCAATGGACTAAAGCAAGAGAAGCCCAGACGGAACGAGGACTGAACCAGGACTTAACCAGGTCTGTACTTCTATTATACTACAACTTCACAAAAATGGAAAAACACATTAAAAACATTAACATTTACCAACAATAGTTAGACAATAGTCTGATCTTATACTTGTTCTGACCCAGCTCAAGATGATTCTAAAGCTAAAGGTTAATTTCTGTCCTGTGAATCTGACTTTTTATTATTGATACTTGCTCAAATAAGTATCTAGTTTCGATACAAGTTTCAGTATCAATTAGAATCTGATTTTCGATTTATTGACAACCCTAACTCAGACCACCATTTTGCTTACTTTGTTGTACAATTAGTTTACACTCCATCTTCCAATAAAAAAACAATCAATTTCAGCAAGTCACACACAAATCAATAGTCACGATTGATTCAAATATTCGTAGGAAGTAAACAGGCAGCCATGATACTTGCTTTTGGTGTACTCTGTCTACAGGAAATTGTCCAAGGAAAGAAAATCCTCGTTTGCAGCAGGTAGCTCCATTTGACTTAGGTTAGCTTAGTTCCAGTATTGGACATTTGTTAGCTAGCATGGCTTACAAGCTACAAACCTGAATACATTTGCTTTATTTTTTGACTTTCTGAAGTTTAGCAGGACCTACAGTATATATACGTGTATATTTTGGGCTGCCATTACGTAGTGATGGAGTAGAAAGACCACTTTGGAGCATCATTTGGAACACAGTGCGATCCATTGGAAAGTTTTGACCTTTATTAAATGGGCCATTTTGCTTGCTTTATGTGACAGCAAGGCTACAACAGTCATTCTGTTTAGCCAGGCCTGCACCATTTATGAGTGCAATGGAAAATGTTAGTTCTGCTACGCCAGTATTATGCCCTTGGCCCAAATAAGGGATTTCAGGGTCACAGATTACATGAATGATTATGTCAAAAAATAAAAATAAAAATCACTCCAACCCACCTGCAACCACATAAAAAATAAAAGAAATAAAATAAAATACAAAATATAATAAAAAACTAAATTAAATAAAACACAACACAATAAAATATAATAAAATAAAATAAGCAGATGTAACTTTAACCAAATAAAGATTTTGAGAGTGACATATTACATGACTGATTTACATTTACATAAAATAAAATAAATACAATAAAAAAAAAGTAATAAAAAAATAAATAAAATAAAACACAATAAAATACAATAAAATAAAATGTGCAAATGATGCAATTTTAACCAAATAAGACTGCTACACATTACATTAATTATAAAATGTCCAGAAAAAAATGTGTTAAAAAAAAAAAAAAAAAAAAAAAAAAAAAAAACCCACACACACCTGCAACCTTTTGATTTAAATAAAATAAAAATATGCTGTGGAGGTAACTATCAAATCTATCTTTGGTTCATAGCTGTGTTCAAGGCTCAGAGGAATAGCTGTAATGATGAAAATAAAAATAAAAATAAAAATAAAAATAAAAAAAAATAAAAACAAAAATAAAAATAACGAATGTGATCCAACTACACTAAAATCTATAACCTTGATTGATTGCTGCGTTCAGGACCCAGTGGAATAGCTGTAATTATGAACGCCCTCTGAGCCGTCTTTCAAATCGACAAATCATTTTTTAATATGTCAGCCATTTTGTTTTTGGTCACCCATAATTTATGTTACCTACAAGTACAAGAAAACATGTGTATCCGATCAGGAGCTGGCGCGGTCTTATTGAGCGATTAGACAGGAAACAGCATTGAAATTAGCAAACACCTTATCTGCATGCAGGACGGGCCGCTAATTATTATCTACAATCAACTTTAATTAATCTCTGTGTTGCCGTGATGCTACAAGGCTATAATCAGGTGAAAAGACGTGTAGTACATGAGCTCTCCAGTGAGGGCGTCCTTGACTTAAGATGATAATAACCTAGACTTATGATTCCTCACAACAGCACAATATAGATTCACGTTCGAAAAAGATACAGGAAGTGAATAATGTATAGAGTAGTCTGTTCACAGTCGAGTTTTGAAAGTTTGTGAGGCCAGAGGGCAAGAATCCAAATCTTTAAGCTGTTAAGAATTTATCAATGTATCGATTCAAGGTCTTCACTCACAGAATCCTGGTTCCTAAGGTTGACGTCGGCTAAAGACATTCTGGGTTGACCAAAAATGGGCTGGTATATGAAATGAGCTTTTAAAATGAAAGTTAATCAGTATCTCTGTGATATGACAATGTATCTGACCAAAACTACACTCACAATTTTACGAAATCTCATTCAAAAATAACAATTTATACAGAAATGTACTAGTAAACTGGGTATTTACAAGCAAACAAAGCAGAATAAACCCATAATTCACTTCCAAATCCTCATAAACCAAGTCAAATAATTACTCGACTGCTAAAAACTTTTGGTCAACTGATACTCAAATGGGCAGTTATTGGATTGCAGCCCTACTGGTTACATGCTATAAGTGAAATATTAAGTATACCTTTTACAGTTAAGTCCTACAAAATTGCTTTGCATTATGATTTGACATGTTTCACTCCTGATGCCCTTCCTTTGATTACTGTGTTTGTAGTTGGCAGTGGGGGTAAAGCGTCTTGCCCAAGGACAGACACAATGACACTACAATTTAAACACTATCAGAGAGGAAAAGTACCAACCATTTACTCAACAATACAATTTACAATACTGTCTCCAAATGTATTGTGATGCTATATTCGGTTAAAACATTTTAACATGTTTTATAAGTTTCACTTTTGTTTTTGACGGTCAGAGTCCCTCCTCCCTTTGCTCTATTCTCCCTTATATTATAGCTATTCTCCCTTCAGAGCACCATTACAACACAATCAGTACGGATCCCACTAGTCAAAATACTGCACATAGCATCAGGATTGTGAAGCCGTAGTGTATTGTTTCACAACACGTTTTTACATGGGATGAGAAGAAGGCTTCGAAATGGGGTCTGGAAGAGATCACTAGATTACCCAAACATACACGAATCACATCTAAAACCTCTTCAGGCATGTTTTTTTGACAAAGACACAACGTTACAACACGGCTGAAATTTACATAACACCCGCTGTTTAAACCCAAAGCCTTGCCTCTCATTATAATGGACAGCGGCTGAGATGAGATAAAAGTTGCTCTTGTCCTAACACTGTGTCTCTTTGTATTGGTCTGCTGTTTGTCTGTTTGGGCATGTCTCAGTGCGGGTGTGAGGAGTGAGATAGTGACAGTTATTTTCTCCATAGGGACGTAATAACACACACAGGAGACACCGCGCCAACTGAATCTTAAGCATCCTTCTCCAAAAACATCATCTTTGTATTACCCACAGCAACAGCCCACTCAAGTCATCGCGTATGCATGTGTCTACTTAAAAGTATCAAATAGAAAGAAGATGTACTGAAATATTTATGGTACAACACTCAAAAGAACTTACGCCGTTTGAATTCTAATCACCGGACCACCTGCATAAAGTAGAAGCAGTAATGTCTGTGTAATATTTATAATCAGGCTCTGAGAAGAGCTAAAGGGAAAAGTCAATAGATTTAATGTACTTTAATGAAATAGAATACCGGTGGCATTAAGGTTTAAGTAAGTGGGCGCCTCTGTTGGCTGCATTAAATGTGTACTTTGCAACTTTTCTGGAGTCTCTGTGGACGTCACATTAACTTATCTTTTTTGATGGAGACAAGAATATAATGCCACCAGGCTAAGTGACAGTTCAGATCTGTGGAGAAGCGGTCATGCTCGCAGTAAGAATTTGAAAGCATATTTTTGGAGGGATTTTTAAAAGGTCCTGCATTACGACTCTTGTAGGCTTTTGGCCATGTTAGAATGTTCTTACCTCCTCAAAAACATACCTTGGAGCTGTGTTTTTTTTCCATTTGGATTTGAGTAATCTTTTATTATTAGTCGGTCTATATCTTCAAAGCTCAAAATGGTCTGTTCCACCTTGTGATGTCATGATAGTACTTTTCAAATTAGCAGCTTCCTTTTACCATTAATTCAGTAGAGATGAGTAATTCCAGGGCTGAAATTATCCAAATGATTCTAGAGAAGGTGGTAAGGAGTTTAAAAACACAGTGGAGCACATGACATCACAAGGTGGAACCAGGTGTTTCCTGTATAAGAGAAGAGCTCAGCCTAATCATGCAGGGTTTGTGTGTTAAACATGTGTGAATTAAACAAAACACAACTCCAGGTATGTTTGTGATGAAGATGGATACATTTAATACCTCCATGGAGACAATCAGGAGGAAGAAAGTTCCATGGTTCACTTTAAAAGAAGACTGTTTTGATCAGACGATTAAACTTTGTGTTATCTGAAGCAGTTGGCTCAGATGGGACATATCGCTGTCAAAGGGAAACACATCTAATGATGAGTCTGAAAACAAATGTGGAGGCTGTCTGCACCACGACAAATTAGAGAGAAATCATTCATCTGAGGCTTGTTTTTCACACGGTTCCAAATCCTTTTTAAACACCAAAAAGTTTTATTAAAACAAACCCAAAAAGAAGATTTCCATGGCCCTTCCCTTCCTGCTTTGGTTTAAAATTTCTAATGTCAATCAATTGTAAATCAACTGTCAACCTTGGACGTCGCAGTTCAGCTCTTCTGTTTTTGTGCTCACATTCACTGTATTTAAAGCCTGAAAACCCTTAATAAAAACTCTGATTTCATTTAAAAGCACTATAACTGATTTTTTAAAAACATGAAAAACTGAACTGCTGCATGTGAGATGGTTTGCAGTGGTCCAAAGTTGCACTTTATGCATTGGGAGCATCCAAATCATTCACTGCAATGGTAAATGATCACATTTTTACATAGCGCTTTTCTACCTTCAAGGCACTCAAAGTGCTTTACATCACGGAACCACTCACCCATTCACACACACACGAGGTAGGTTAAGTGTCTCACACAGCTCACAACTCTCAGAGACCAGAGCAGAGTTTTGCTGTAACGGTAAAGCTAAAAACATGTTTAGCACACAGACTCTGTATACTTTGGCTGAATTCTTCACTCAAGCAGAAAACTCTGTTCCACCTTGTGATGTCATGTGGTAATACAACAAGTGCTCCACTGTGGTTTTAAACTCCAGCCCAGAGTCCTGCATCAGGTCGGGGACCAGCCCATTGCTGAAACCGGCGGGTTTTGACATTCTGGAATTTTACAGGCGGGTATGCGGGCAGGTAGTAATTACACACAGGCTGGTCAGGACTAAACCAGGTCTAAACCAGGTCTAAACCAAGGACTAATCTTGGACTTAAGAGAGAAAACCCCAAGCCCGTGGAGCAGGGTGTCCACAAAGTGCGATCAGGCGATTGCTGCCCTTACCTCCGTGAAGCGTGGAGCTCTACGTCGGTCTAAGCGAGTGCACCTCCGAACCCGTCCCAACAGTGAGTCCTGGTTCAGTTCTGGTTTAGTCCAGGTTTAGTCCTGGTTTAGTCCCGTTTCTGTCCTAGTTCAGTCAGGGTTTAGTTCTCCTGATTCAGTCCTGGAATCAGTCCTAGGTTAGTCCTGGGTTAGTCCTGGGCTAGTCCTGGTTCAGTCCGTGGCGCATGCAACGTAAAAGTCCAGCATTTCGATCAATGTTTCTTCTGCTCAGTAAATAATACCTGTGAAGTGATGACAGTCGAGTCGAGTCTGTGAATTCGTTTTCATACTGAAAGCGTAACCATTTCATTTCATTTCGTGATTGTTATTCTTGAAGTCATAACTTTTCAATTCGTATTCTGATGGATACAGCAATTAGAAAGCTTTTAATCTGTGTGTGATTTATCACGGGCACGGGTGGGTATCGGGTGGAATGTTAACGAGTCTGGGTGGGTGCGGGGTTAACTTTGATATAAACACGGGTTAACGGATGGACTTGTGCAGGACTCTGCTCCAGAAATTGCCCCTCTCTACCGAACTGAAAGTGAAAGGTAGCTGTTAACATTAAAACTATTGCTTCATGACATCACAAGGTGGAAACAAGCATTTGAGCTTTGAGGATGTAGACAAATAGACTAATAATAAAGTATTACTCAAACAGAACACAACTTTGATGAGGTATCAACATTATAGCGTGGCTTAAAGTGCACAAGAGTCAGTTTTGAGTAATACAGGGCTTTTAAAACAAAAGGGAAAAAAATCTTTATTCTGGACAGAACAACAGAATCAAAGCTATTCCAAAACTACATCTCCTGTGGGGGACTGCAGTGTCCAGCATTGAAAGCAGTTAACACGTTCTACCTGATTTGTTGCGTCATATTAGCCCTATATGTTGTTTATTCCTTAAAACATCTTCCATAAATTTCACTGAGGGAATTGTTGCCGTCTCCGCTCCACTCTGTTGCGTCTCTCTCCCCCTTTGCCTCTGACTTAATGGTCCTTGTCATGTATTTTCTTCTTCTATCCTCTTGTCCAATAGCATCTTCTAACCGCCGGTCGTTTTGGCTCTTTGGCATCACCGGGGGCAATAGAACTTTACGACGTGTAGTAAAAACTGATTACAGACTTATATGGCCCTGCGGGATTACACAGACACTGTCATCCGCTTTATAGGATTTGCAAACGCTTGGCAACAAAACGCGAATTACCTTGGGCACTATGCAGAATCCAGTAATAGAAATGGACGCATATTGGATTTATGTGAGGCTAGGGCAAAACTACATTACCCAAGATGCATTGTGTGTGGGTTTTTCATACCTGGATGTCCTGGAGTCGCTGCTCCATGATGGGGTATTCTGTGACGGCGGTGGAGGGGATGGCGAGCTTGGCTTCGCATTGTTGTAGCCATGCCAACAGAGCAGCGATGGTTTCCTTGTACCGAGCCGGCGGTAAACTTTCCAAAACTGGACACAAAAGGAGAAAAATCACAGAAAAAAATCACCCAAAAAACAAGACCACAGAGACCAGTATATGCCCATGGAACCCATCTGGACGAATGAAGGATTACACAGATATGAGACCACATGGTAATATAAAAGAAAGTACTATGATTTAATGTTGAAAATCACATTCTATTGTCTAAATGAAGAGTGTTTTTATTGTCAAGTATCAAGTCTATGCCTGAGTATCGAAATTGAGTTTTAGTAGAAGTTTTAATAGAATTTTACTATTGTGACGGCATTAATCATTACATAGCTTGTTTACTTTTACAATGTTTTGGCACATGTAACCATGAATAAATACTACAAAGCTAAAATTAAATTCTGTCAAATCTACCCATAAAAGTCTTTAACACTGATATGATTCAAATCACCAAGCTCAGTAAACCACAATCCAATACGAACACCCCTTATTGTAACCACGAAGTAACGGAGCATTTAACTGGCTAAACATTTTCATTCATTTCCTTGTTTGGTGAATGGAGCCTATGCCAGCAACCATTAGCCTTAGGTGGTCTCTTCCTTGGTCATTTATTAGTTGTGGGGCTAACACTTTTAAGGGTGTACTGTGTAACTTTTCTAGGACCTGCTTGTTTCTATGGATATGTCATTGCTCTGCATGGAATATTCCACAGTACGGGACTGGCAACAGCTCTACCTTACATTCATTCAATTACAGATGGTTTTATATACCTAGAAAAAGCATTCTGTCTGTGAGCAGGATTGACTCTCCACAGATCTGACTTGTAACTTAGTCTGATTTGGCCTCCATGAAAATAGAAAACCATACTGTGGGACATTCCAGATAAAACAATAACACCTCAGTTTGACGGACCCTCCACCAGAAAAGTTACACAGTGCACCTTTAACATGAAGAGACCACCATCTAGACATTACTTATATATTTTTTTCTTTTTCACCATTTAAAGTTACCACACGACCACATCAGCTCACTCTCTCTTAAATACAATGTAGTTTGCCAGATAGCACCCACGGAGTGTCACGGATGTTTGGAGTGACAAATGTCCCAGCCCACCATGAACGCCTCGCGCTAACAACACTGTTGCTAAGCGGCTTCATTTCAAACCATTATAAATTACACATAAGCACAAGATTGCATTGTGTGGGTAGATAAGAGATTCAATGGGGCCACAATTTCTTAAGGCCTCCAATTAATACTATTGTGTGGATTCCATTTAGCTTTGTTATATAATATTAAAATGTTGGCTATGTTAATTATGGTATTCATGGACCTAAAAATGTAATCAAAATAACATCATGGCCACAGACAGATTAGATTTATCTAATATCTACCATAGAAGCTGCTAGAATGTAAGATATTTTTTCAAGTGGAGATTTTGGAATAAAAGTTTATATTTCAGAAGCAAAGATAAAAGAGCATCTTGAAAACTGTTTATACTGGTTGCAAGTCTGGAGTGATCGTGAAAGTTCATTAAAGATGCAGCATTTAAATGTTAAAAGTGTCCATTGAAAGTTATTACTTTGCCTTGAATGTCCCACAGCATGGCATTAAACTTATTTAGCTCCATGGAGACAAACCGTTCAGATCTGTAGAGAGATGAGTCAATAAGAATGGATTGATTACTGGGAAAGTTTAGTAAGAAATCCTTTAACTGAATAAAGGTAAGATTTTAATTAGAGAGTTAAATGCCATACTGTGGAATATTCCAGACAAAGCACTAACATCTCCATGGAGATAAGCAGATGCGACACACCCACCAGAAAAGTAACGCAGTGCACTGTTAAATGAAGAAAGCTGGTTCTGATAGCAACTTGGTGACACTGAACATTACTATTCTCAAAGCAATGATTCTCTGTGTGTCTAGTTTTATCATAGTGACTTAGATCTGAGCTGTTGGCCCATCGCAGCTCCCTGACACCTCTTCACCTCTTGTGTTAGCGTGTCAACCAGTTCAATTTGTAGTGCTATAACCCCACCGGCAGCACGTCTCTGCTCGGATAGGGGGAGGGGGGGTGGGGTGCAGCAGACGTGGATGTAAACAGAGTTGATGTGCTATTTATAACATGGAGAATGGGCCTAGAAGAGAGAGAGAATGAAAGAGAGGCAGCTGGATATAGGGGGGACAGAGAGACGACTTCTTCTTCTTCACCAACACAAACGTAAATTTACTAAGAGTTACGCAGATGGATACAGACACTCGCTCAGACACATTATAGCAGGCGGTTCCCCAAAGCTGAAAAGGAACAGAGAGCTCAAAGAATGTGATACGTCTATTTGAATCGAGACCATTTCTGTGTGGCATTTACGGGAGATTTTGGAGTTGGGAAAATCACAGAGCGAAGGCTGTAGTCGATGAAAGAAATTCTTGATTGTTTAAAGATATGTCGTACCGATCAATTAGTTGACTGAAAAGGGGGCGTGGCAAAAGCTCTCAAAAATACTGAAATATATCTCTGTATATCTGAAGCAAACTGCATTCACAAAACCAGATCTGCAGAGGAAGTTCATACAAAAACAACTTTCTGCAGAATAAAGTACTTGGAAACTATATTTATATAAAGACAAAGAAAACTTTTGGTTGACCTGCTTTCTAAAAAATAGACATAATGCTTTATTTGAAAAGTTTAGTGCGAAGAGATAACTGCACAAAACATGCTGCTTTCTTTATTATTTCTTTCTTATTTTATTTGTTGTGGACAGCACATATTAATGAACACTTAATTCATTTCCTAATTTTCTTCTTCAGTCCCTCGACAGGTTGCTCTCTTTGGGGAAAATGCTCAAATTCGACATATATAGGCCCAAAAATAAGCATGTGTTCTAAACAATCAGTAAAAATCCCAAAATCAAACATCAATCGCTATTAATAGTACAAACGATTAGCCACAACCTGTTCTTATTATCCACTTTGCACATACCCAGTTGCAATTGCCTCTCTCGCGCCCTCAGATCCTCCAGCACCTTCTCGTAGTGCTCTTTAAATGCACTGATATCTGCATCCAAGAATGAAGGCTCCTCCTCTCCCTCCTTCTCCTCCTTCAGCTCCTTCAGTCTGGCCTCCAGCTGATCCACCTGGGGCTGGAGCGAAGACAGGCGCGCGATCTCCTCCTGGGACCCCCAAAACAAAACCGGTCAAACTATTGTGCAATATATACAGTATACAGTATGGAATATCCACTCTTTTGCCACCCCATTTACTTCGTGCTTAATCAGTCGCACGCTATCCAAATGTTGAAAATACTTAATGAATAGGAAGCCATGCAGGAAATTGGACTAGCTCAGCAAAAAAAAAAAAGAAAAAAAATAATAAAAATGGAAAAATTAAAGCAACCATGACTTTATTTTCCTGAACTTTAAATGAGCTACAATGGAACAATATACAGAAACATTATGTCAATTTTCTGCTTTGACAAGGATGTTCCACAGTGGCGTTTAACTATCACCATGGAGACAAGCAAGTGAAGCGATCAGAGCAAGTTACAGGTCAGATCTGTGGAGAGGTGACCTCACTCACAGTAAGAATACATGTTATTTGAGGTATTTTTGAGCAAGAAAGCATGGCTTAAAGCTCACAATAGTCAATTTTGAGTCATATAGGACCAAGATGGATAATTCTAATGTCATGCTGTGTAATGTTTCAGGCAAAGCTATCTCCATCTCCATGGAGACCAGCAAGGGGCAGATGCCGCTTAAACGAACTACTATTCATATAACAATTTTTTCTGTTCCAAACACTTTTTTTAATGCTTTTACAGTTGCGGAATAAGTCCAGTTGGTTTTATTAATGGTTTTATTTTATGCACAAGCTCTGAACTTTCAACAAAAAAACTTACGAAATGTTCCAGTATAATCCTCATTAATTTCTAAACTAACTTCTTATGCAAATCCAATGGCTGTATGCCTTTGTAATATTAATACTCGGGTTTGACTTGCACAGAATACTAACTCGCTTTGGAGGTTGCCTTTGTATGTTATGAAGCCTGAACAGGAAGGTCACCCCATACTGTCATTGAGAGAACATGTACTGTCATCCAAGTACATTCTGGGATATCTATTCAGCTGTCAACAAAGGATATGGCAGGACACATGGTCACCAGCAAATGTACTATTAAAAGGACACAATAGAATGTTTTATACATAACAGGAGGTCCATGGGGTGCTATTAAGAAAAGTTACTATAGCGACAGACGTTGTATTAGGAACTGATTTTACTGTAATATTTTGGATACTTGTTCACAGAATTTAAGTAACCTTGTGCATTGTCAGGTTGCTTAACATTTGACCTCACAAAAGTTTTTTACTAAGATGGTTAAAGGACATTCTGCACTGTACCAACATCAAGGTTTCAATCCAAAGTCATTTAAAAAAAATTATAATTTGCCAAAAAATCACCCATGTTTGAGTAGATCTGCTTATTTAGCCCCTCTCCAGAGTTGAAAAAGATCAAGATACACCTTGTGACATCATTGAGAGGCAATCCAAGAAGCTCTCCTTGTTTTTTAAGTCCATACGCCTTCACAAGCGATACCTTCTGACCGTTTTACACAGAAAGTAAAACACTATTATGGTATATATGCAAGTGAATATTGATACTTTGCAGCTGTTACTCAAGTTAGACTATAATCTGACCTTTGTTTTAACACAAAATGACCAGAAAGAGTTGACTTAGTTGAAACTACACTCACTAGGTGAGTTGGTTTGTGCTGTTAAACAAGATAACACATAAAATTACAGCCTCAAGCTAGCAAGCATTTGCCAAGAATTTTTCAGTTAGTCATTCTCATGTTTTTGTGGAAAATCAAACTCCTAAAAGTGATCATTTTGTCTTTTTTCTTGAGTTTTCAGACTATCTTGAATCTTTTTTTTCTAGTGTGTGGAATGTATCACCATGGTAACTGCTGAAATACATGTAGAACACCCCCAGCGGGATTTCACTGCAAAGTATCAATATGCACATAGTACAAATATTAGGCTCGTATAATACGAGTTCATAGTTCTCTTCTTCACAAACACTCCAAACACAGTCATCTCCATTTATACTAAACAGAACACTCTAAAAATGAAATATTTACAACTCCTTTTTACAGCAGCCTTCCCTACGGCTACTGTCAGCTTAGGCAAACCCCAACAGGAAGAAATCATTCAGGCTCTGGGTTAGAGTGAAAATGGTGTGTGATGTAGGCTAACGGGCTAAGACTCTAAATCTGTGTAAATATTAACGTGCATGCTTCGCCTCGGCCACTTCTCCCGATCAATCCTCCTGAATTATTTATCCACATAAATTAAACACAACTTAACTTTTATAGGTTCCTCAAGGTCAAAACTGGCCACAAGCTATAGCTATTTTTATAATGCTAATGCAAACTTAAGTGTTGTTATTGTGCAAGCCATAGAGATAAGAAAGGGGTTTGGTCATCTACAAAGTGCCTATTTAAGTAATTGGAGTTTCATAATAGATTTTAATCAATTTAGTGTGATTGAAAGCCCTGAATATGTTTATAATGTGTAATAAAAGTAGCAGTAGCATCTAAAGTTAAAAAAATACTTTATGATGGGGAAAAAAAAAAGAGTCATGATAGAAAAAAGTGGGTGGTACTAAGTATTATTAACAATGACATTAGCATTAATTACTGGGTGTATCAGCATTTGTATCAGTAGTAGTGGTGGTTAGGTTGTAGGCTACCAGTAGTATTTGCTATTTCCAATTTAAATTCCTCTAGCAGTAGCAGGGGTAGTAGTAAAAAATGAAGTTCTAGAAATAATAAAAGAAGTAGAATATAATAGAAAATCTTGAAAAAACCTGTTTAGAGGTCCTATAAGCTTAAGGGATCCAGGTATTACTTAAAAAGTGGGTGGTACTAATAAGTATTATTAACAATAGTAGTAACAGTAGTAGTAGCAGATCAGAAGTAGTAACTGGCTGTAACAGTAGTTGTATCAGTAGTAGTGGTTAGGTAGTAGGCTACAGGTAGTATTTATTTCCCATTTAGTAGCACTTGTAGTACCAGCAACAAAGGCTATAGTAACAATAGTAGTAGTACTGGTATATGGTAAAGTTTAAAAAAAACAAAAACGTTTATACTTACTGTCAACATTACAAAATTACTGATAATACAGGGAATACTTAAAAATTACTAATTACTCCACCATACCACTTCCATATAAAACATTATTAAACCAGTGAACTCAAAAGTAAAAGTGAAATCCCTTCTAAAGGTACTATAAGAGATCCAGGTACAACTTAAAAGGGCAGTAAAAAGTAATTTTAACAATAGTAATAACAGTAGTAGTAGCGAATTAGAAGTAGTAACTGAATGTAACAGTAGTTGTAGTAGTTAGGTAGTACTGGCAGTAGCACTAGTAGTAGTAGTAATAAAAGAAGTTGTAGTAACGGGAGGCCCATCTACAGAAATTTAAGGGCCTGTGGCAAGAGCCTTACACTGGCCCCCTCCAATATAAATTAATAGGAAGAAAGTCCCCTAGGCCCCTAACACCCTAGGGCCCGGGACAATAGAACCCCTTTGTCCCCCCGTCTACTGCCCTGAGTATCAGTAGTAGTAGTATATGGCAAAATTCTCAAAGAAAAGTTATGCTTACTGTAGAAATTACTCATAGTAGAGGTACTATTTAAAATGACACAGATGGCTGACATTTCATTTTGAAGACAGAATACTAACTTTTTACTCTTAATACCACTTTCATATAAACACTACTAAACCAGTGAACTCAACAGGATGGGAGAGAATAAAGCAAAAGTACTTACACCAAACAGCTGCGACAAACAGAAGCATGAAAAGAGAAGCCACAGAAATAAGCCACAGGAAGTGACACAACAACAACACTGCCCAATCCGTACTAAATAAAATAGCTGCATCTGTGCGGTCCTCTTACCCTGCATCTGTCCAGCTGCACTTTGAGAGGCTCTGGTTCGGCCGCTGGGGGCTGCTGGACTTTGAGCCAGTTCTCGCTGTTGTCCACGGCTTGTTCACATTGTTCAAACAGATTGTAGAAGGCCAGGACCTGCAGAGAGGAGAGTTTAAATATTAAGGTACCCATGCAATCAAATATAATAAATTTCAGTCTCTGCTTCATAGTCTAACTATCTACATAATACATCATTTTTGGCCAAATTTTGTTTTCTTTTTCATTCTACTTTTCCAAAAATCTTAAAAATGACCCAAGCAATTATGTTAGGATGCTACATGCTTACATGTGAAGCAATAAAAAGAATGAAGAATAAAATAAAGAATAAAACATTAAAAAAACTGAATGACAAATTGAATGCTCAAGCTACAGTATCCTAATAATAATACAACAAGAATATTAGAAGGTCCGACATTACACAAAATGGACTCTCTTGTGAGGTTTAAGCCATGTTATAATATTGTTACCCCCTCAAAACATACCTTAAGTTGTGTTTTGTTTCATTCACACGTGTTTGAGTAACCATTTATTAGTCTGTCTACATCTCCAAAGTTGAAAATTCTTCAAGTTCTGTTCCATCTTGTGATGTTATGAAACAGTAGTTTTCAAGTTAACAGCTACAATTTAATTTTTGTTCAGAAGAGATTGGAAATTCCAGAGCTGAAATTATCCAAATGATTCTATTTAACTGAAGTTTAAAAACACAATAGAGCACTTCCTGTATTACCACATGACATCACAAGGTGGAACAGTGTTTTCTGTTTGAGAGAAGAACTTAGCCTAAATATGCAGAGTCTGTGTGTTAAACATGTGTGAATGAAACAAAACGTAACTCCAGGTATGTTTGTGATAAAGAAACCACATAACATAGATCAGAAAACACCGTGACAGAGAACCTTGAAGTGTCAGTGCAACAGAAGTCAGGATTTACAGAGAAGGGGAGTTTGAAAAATGTAGTTCTTGGAAGACCCTTATCACAAACTGAAGTCATGGCCCATTTTATATTTACTGACAAGAAATACTATGAACTACTGCCACTGTAATCCTCTCACAAAGTTTTTCTCTGTTAAGGTTTTAAAGTCATGTTCTGGTTACTATAGTGCTATTAGGACATGAACAAAAGTGGCATCTGATAACTATGTTGGACTCTTTCCAACTGATACCATCAACATTCCCTGAGTGTGTGAAGCTAACTGTAGGCACTGCTCTAACTGACGCTCTGTTATTCAAGCGTTTCCATGGTATCCGCTAAACATTCCACCACAGAGATGCATGTAGAACACCCTCATGACATCACTGCAAAGTTTTAATTGTAGTAACGCCATGTGAGGTACTTAGATTACATTAGTTGATGGTAAGAACAACAACTCTGCTACCTATTGTACAACTCTAGGACAGTTATTTGCATATTTCTATCGCATACCTTAATTTTTTATGCTAATGGAAAACTGCCTTGAGAATTACTGTGAACGCCAAGGTTAAAATGTAAAGAAATGCAGACTTAAATGCAAAAGATAATCCCACAAATGGAGTAATAAAAGGGGTGGTTACCTTGGTCTGATAGGCCAGCCATGCCAGTCTCTCTGCCAACAGGGCACAGAACCCAGTCCAGCGCTGGTTTAATTGCTCCGCCGCTTGGGCTATGTCCTCTGCCCGGGTCCCCTCTGACAGGCAGGTGAGAAACAGGTGAGAGACAGGTGAGAGACAGGTGAGAGACAGGGGGTAAACAGGGGGAGAAACAGTTTATGAGTAACTGAATTTTTATTTTACATTTAAATCTGAATCTGATGCTGTATAATATTATGTCTAGGTCAATATTTAAAAATATGCGAGCCTCCATCCATCCTTCTATCCATTTTCTACTAAGCATGAACACTTCCTCTAGCTCTTCCGGGGGTATCCTGAGGCATTGCCAGGCCAGCCGAGAGATATAGTACCCCTGATTAGGAAACTCATTTGCTTGTGTCTGTGATCTTGTCCTTTTGGCTATTACCCAAATTTCACAAACATAGCCACAGGAGGTCAAATAAAGCAACAACTGAAAACCAAAACTAAAATAACATTAAAAAAAAGACAAGAAATGCAATGTTCTTAATTTCAAATACTGTAGATTTGTCAAAGGAAAGAACTATGACAGCTTCACTGGATCAAAACTTGTAGTACGGCAGCCTCAGGGGGGGTCAGATGGCCCTGCAATTCCCACTTCCCATTTGTCCACGAGCAAATGTATCCCACTGGTAGTTATATTTCCTATGTAAATGACCAATTTAAAGTGCACGTGTCCTATCTAAATCTCTGATGCTTTCAAAGGAGGGAAAATGCCAACAGGAGCGGGCTGGTGGATCATAATTGGAGGAGGTGTTTCTTGTGGGATACTAGCATCCACATACAAGCACATACAAGCACAGTCTAATTGCCTTTTAGAGCTGAGTGCTGCCTCCATTGGGCTCCATTATGTTCAAAGTGTCATGGTTTTGTCAGGGGACTGGTCTGACCTGACTTAGGTGGATTAAAGAGGAACTGGCACTGGCACACTCCCTCAATTGTTTCACTGGTTTTTATTGCTATAGCGTTGGATTTTAGTATTTGATCACTTCTAGGTCCTATATTACACAAAATTGCTTCTTGTGAACTTAAATTAAAAGTTTATCTTTTTGTCAGGTTTACAACTAAGTAGGTAGACTTTACTTTTTAGCTTTTTTTCCGTTATAGTCAAAAATTTTAAATTGAAGAGATAGGGTCCATATTATGCTATTTTCTGATCTCTGTTTTAATGTTGTTACCTCATCAAAAACATACCATGTTTGAGTAATCCTTTATTATTAGTCTGTCTACAGCCCCAACCCTCCCAATGCTCTATTCCACCTTGTGATGTCATGAAGCAGTAGTTTTCATCTTTGTTTTCATCATTTTGTTTAGTAGAGACTGGGAATTCCAAGACTGAGATCATTAAAATGTGAAAGTGTAAGGAGTTTAGCATGTGTGAATGAAACAAAACACAACTCCAGTTATGTCTGTGATAAGGAAACAAAATTAAAACAGAGATCAGAAAATAGCGTAATATGGACCCTATCCTTTCAATTTAAAATTTTTGACTAACGAAAAAAAAAAAAGCTAAAAAGTAACCTACCTACCTAATTAGTTGAAAACCTGACAAAAACAAACTTTTAAGGTGCTGTACCTGATTTTTACTCTTTTTTACTTTTTAAAAATGTGAAATGGTTTGCAGTGGTCCAAAGTTATTCCTCACTTACTTTGTACATACCGAGCACTTACTTACCTTGATGAGTTAATAATCGATTTCCTGTCTTTGCTGTGGTGGTAAAGTTCACAACAACTAGCATGCTAACACTCACTTCCTGATAAACTGATCATAAAATCATTTGTAATTAGAGGCAGACAGCATGCAGGGGAAATATTTTGATCTTAAGAGCTGCTTATATAATATCACTGACAGATCTTGCTCAAATACATGCCATATAACATGAAAGTATGGGAGCCCAAAAGTGTAAATTTTACATTCAATAGGGCAACATGATCATTTATGTGGAATGTGAATCCACTAGCTTTGATTTTTGCTAACTCACTAGCTACTACCTAAACTGTAAAATGATAAAAGTCGACTCAAAAATATTTCAGTGTCAAATCTTGAGTCCGCTTTGAGCGGAGGTTGGGTTTGAATGTGCTTCAGAAGTCTCCCATTATTATTATTAGTTCTTTTTACCTTATATCATAGAAAAGTCTGTAAAACTTTCACCTATCACCTTTTTTTCTCAGCAAGAAGTTGAAAAAAAAAATCCTGGCATAGTTCTGAACTGAAGGTTAAAACAACCCCATACAATCGCACAAGGACAGACCAGGGTAAGGACAGCCCATCTCTACATTCTCTGTCGCTGTTGTCATGGTGACCGGAGACGGGTGGGACAGGTGGAGGCGTTGCCATGGTGACAGACGTGTATGTGTGTGTTTGTGTGTGTGTATGTACGTGTGTGTTGGTTTGGTTTACCCTGCTCCACGAGGGTCTGTGCCGTCCGTGTAGCCTCTTGGAGCTTTCTGTACTTTTCGGGTCGCTCCCTTTCAATCGCCTGTAAGCAAAGGAATTTTTTATTTATTTTATTTATAACAAACCAGATAAAAAATTGACAAAATCGATGCTCTGAACTGTGAAGCGTTGTATTATTTCACGTAGTTCTTTTTTAACCTTCTATCTCACCGTGTTGTGACATTTAGAGTGGAGTAGGAGCCCAATTTTGGACAAACAACAAAATCTGAAAAGGTCTCAAATGTGTGACCTATGCTGTACAGTGGGTCAAACTTGATTGGAGTTAACCTTATGTCAGTGTACTGCTTTAGTCATACTTCAGTCACTTGGTTGTAACTTTTGCCATTTGGAATATAGTTAATTAAAGTAAGGAACTAGGTGTATTGCTGTATTTTCCAGGTAATAATGTAACTTTTGAGAAGGTTCTACCCTCTGTTGAATATTCCACAACATGGTATTTAACTTACATTTAAGCAAGTGGCACCTCTAAGCCTGTAGGTTACATGTCAAATCTGTGGACAAGCGACCCCACCTCACAGTATGAATGGAACTCCTTTTATGTATTTTAGAGCAATAAAAACCAAGGTGTAAATGAATAAATGCAAGATAGATATGTTAAATGCCATACTGTGGAACATTCTAGGCAAAGCAACATCTTAATAGTTACATAGAAGACCATTAGGTACACCATTTATTTAAGCATCAACGACTATTACTTGTCTCTACAACAGACTGTACTACTACTACTACTACAACTACTACAATAGCACATACCACTACTACTATTATGAATAAGACTACTACTACTAAAACTAAGACTACTACCACTACGACTGCTGCTACTCTTTCTACTTCTACTACTGCAATAGCACATAATACTACTACTACTACTACTACTACTACTACTACTACTAAGGCTAAGACTAATAAAACTAAGACTACTACCACTACTACTGCTGCTACTGCTTCTACTTCAAAAGCACATACTACTACTACTACTACTACTACTACTACTACTACTACTACTACTACTACTACTACTACTACTACTACTACTACTACTACTACTACTACTACTACAACTACTACGATACGATGAAGACTACTAGTAGTAAAGCTACTACTACTAAGACAGACTACTACTAATACTACTAAAACAAAGACTACTACTAAGACTACTACAATAGCGTAAACTACTACTTACTACTCCTCCTACTCCTCCTACTCCTCTTACTCCTCTTACTCCTCTTACTCCTCTTACTACTCTTACTACTCTTACTACTCTTACTACTTACTACTCTACTACTACTCTACTCTTACTACTCTTACTACTCTTACTACTACTACTCTTACTACTCTTACTACTCTTACTACTCCTACTACTCCTACTACTCCTACTACTCCTACTACTCTTACTACTACTCTTACTACTACTACTCCTACTACTCTTACTACTCTTACTACTCTCACTCCTACTACTACTCGTACTACATTTATAGCTAATTACAGTATTAATATAACATGTAGAGTAGTCTTATTGTTCTTGCCTTTGGCAGTTTTTTTCCATTCATGGCACTCTGCAGACTCCTGTACACCACTGACAGAGCTATTGTAGTTTTCATGAAGGGACTTTCCTCCTGAAGTGACACATCTGTACAGCTCCTCTTTGAGTTGTGATACAGTGTGAAAACTCTGCCATTTCGCTAGTGTATCACAAATATATGATAAATGACCAAGCCCTCTATTGTGCAGGCTACAGCAATTTTTTCTGTATCTAAAATGTCAGATCAACCATGTGCAGTGTTGCCAGACCAGAGTTTATTTGTACAGTGACGCCTCTGACCTATTAGAATCCTGTGTATTTAATACTTATGCCATTTTCATACACATATAGCATTGTGGACATGTTATAAAAACTAAGAGCTACATGGTTGAAAAACAATACATATTCAAATGAGTATTGTTTTTTATTTAAAGCACTGTGTAACTTTTCTGGTAGAGGGTCCACCACCTGCTTCATTCCAAGTACGTTAATGTTTTTCACTGGAATGTTCTACAGAATGGCATTTAATTTAGCTGTCTCCGAGAAGAAAAGCAGGCCACATTACAATGCCAAGTTACAGGTCAGATCTGTGGAGAAGTGGGCTCACAGTAATAATGCATGTTTTTACTGAAGCTTTGAGAAATAAAAACACCTGCAATTGAATAAATGCAAGATATATTTGTTTAATGCCACACTGTGGAGCATCCCAGGCATAGCAATAACATCTCCATGGAGACAAACTGCTGGGAGACCCTGCATCAAAAAGTTCCGCCGTGCTCCTTTAATACTGTGAAATTTTGAATAATTAATTGGCTTGTGTAGTAGAATTTGCAGTAGCAGTTGTAGCTGTAGTGGTAGTATTCAGAAGTAGTAATATAACTTTTGTAGTAGTTATGAAATTTTGAAAAATAAATTAATGGTGACTAAATAAACTGACAAAAAGTAATTGATAAAAGTACATCGCATAAGGAGTTGTAGTAGCAGCAGTTGTAGTAGCTTGTGTAGTTGCAGTAGCAGTTGTAGATGTAATGGCAATATGTGGAAGTAATAGCACAACTTTTGTAGTAGTATAACTTACATATACAATAAAATGTTCAAAATACTGTATTTGTTGTATACACTAACCACATTTATTTTATACCTGAATAAAAATGCAACAGCAGCAGTTTCTATTATCATGTCATTTGAACTGATCCTAAGGAGAATATATATTATACTTAAACTACACTTACATAAAATTTGCTTTATTGTTCAAATGTGAATAAAAATAAAACTTTTTTCCCGAAATTCTGCTCAAAATATAGTAGGTATAGATATATTAAAACTAAAATTGTTTACAATATGAGTTTTTATCCTGACTGGGTACTTTGTTGGCCACTGGAGATTCTTCCTGTAATGATTATAAATAAGTTTGTATGAACACATCTCTTCATTGCTCGTATTTGAGTGTGTAAAGTGACAGTTACTGCTTGTGGCATCTGAGTAAACACATTTAAAGATGGCTGTTTATTACAATGATTAAATAAAGTGTTATACTCCACTATGAAAGCCTGGTAAGTTTGAAATGACAGTTATACGCTATAGAAAGAAGATTGCACAAAGAGTCGGGTAATGGTTTGTGTGAATGGACTGGCAGAGTGGTTACCTGGACTTTATCATACAGTTCCTGGATGCTCCCGTCTTTTCGAGATACAGAGAACTCAGGGCTCTGTAAAATGGCCTCCCCTCTGGTCATGTAGCTGTGCACCTCAGTGAAGTCTACATCAAATCTGGACACATACATGGACCATTATGAAAACATATGAACAAGAACAGCTATTTTCATTTTAAAGATCTACGATGTAACTTTTCAGGTTGAGCATAATTGACCTGCTTGTCTCCACGGATAAGCATTAAGCTGTCTATCTATGGAGACATGCAGGTGAAGTTAAAGGCCAGATCTGTGGAGAAGTGACCCAGCTCACAGTAAGAAACCAAAAAAAATTACATGATGAAATTAAGTACATTTGGGAATTTTTTATATTCTTAAATTAAAGAGGAAAAAAAAAAATTAAATTGTATTAAGAATCACCATAGATATATTTAAAGGTGCATTGTGTAACTTTTCTGGTGGAGGGTCCGTCGCCTGCTTGTTTCTATGGATATGTCATTGCTCGAAATACCTAGTAAAACACGTATTCTGACTATGAGCAGGTTGCCTCTCCGCAGATCTGACCTGTAACTTGTTCTGGGTTGGTCTCTATGAAGACAGAAAGGTTTAATGCCATACTGTGAAACATTCCAGACAAAGCAATAACATCTCCATGGAGAAAAGCAACTGATGGACCCTTCACCAGAAAAGTTACACAGTGTACCTTTAACAAAGATAAAAAACTACTTAATACTTCTACCTGCATAATAATTTGATCATACATACTGATGTATATAATATGGCTGTTGTTTAAATACCATAATAACATTGTAATGGGGACATTCTGTTGCTCCAGGCCCCAGAGGGTTAGGGGCCCAGAACTGGTCCCTCACCCCATTAATTTATATAAGCTATGTCAAAACTAACAACCTGATGGTACAGAAATAGTGGTCTCTAACTTATCCAGAAATACACACGGCTCAATCATTAACCCCATGGCATCATATGGAGCACCTGGCTTTAACGTAATACTACTCAGCCAAAATTAGCAGAGGACAGGGACTACTTTTAGTGATTTGTCCTTGTTAAAATGACATAGGATACTACATATACTATATAGGACCATTACACACACTACACAAGTGAAAGCTGTGACAGGAAAAATTAATATAGAAGGTTAAATATAAAAATTATATTTCTGCTACTAATGAGACACATTACTCTACTACTACTTATTATTATACACATCGGTAAACAAACTAAAAACTATGACATCGGTAACAGAGAATAATTTGCAGTGAGGGATCTAAATGGGAGTGTACAGGGCCTAATTACACACTGTTAATTGAATACATGCATAACTGTACTGTCAGACTGGGGAAGGAGACAGAACCAAGTGATTCATGGACAATATGAAAAATGAGATAGATTTGTTATATAAAACAATAAAATCAAGATATTATGCGAAGAATATGACGGTGGTGGACTGACGCAGGTGCAGAGTACGTCACAGGCAGTTACTCACTTCTGGTGTGGAAAAGGGAAAAGGAATTGTAATGGTGTTTTAGCCAACAGTCCTGATTTTTTTTCTAAATGATATGTGTTTTAGTCAATTACAATACTGCTGAATACTTACAAAGTATACAACTGTGGTGGATCAAACTACAGTCTGTGCTGTGCTGCTGACAGAGATGTTTTTATGTATAATGCCTAGAGGGAGGAGCAGTAATGAGGGGTTGACTCATTCACTATCTAATATAACTGCTGTTGTGTCTTTGGGATTAATTATTATAGTCCTGTTCTCATGACGTCACACTTCTCTTAATACAATAATGAATACAGAAGTATTATATTACTGCTCTCACATATTAATCAATGAATTAATCATTGGATTTATATAGCACCTTTCAAGACACCCAAAGTGCTTTACAGAGCATTATTCTTTCACGATACTATTGTAGCCACAGCTGCCCTTGGGCAGACTGATGGAGGTGAGGCTAAGCTATCTGTGCCATCAGCCCCAGGCCTGGCCCTGCTTAGCGTCGGAGATTTGATTAAATCGGGCTTTGACAAGGAGGTATGGCCACGATATTGAAATGGGCTGTCTGTTACCTCTATAAATACTCATTCCCAAAGACAGGTCAGGGACCTAACGTTAATATATACAACCTCTATTAACTACATGACACTTACCTGGAGAGGTATGTGAGCAGAAATGGATGCATGAAACTAGATTTACCATAGAGGTTAGACTCAAATTTTAGTATTACTTGTGATAATAATGTAATACTCTATTATTACTACTACTACTTCTACTATCCCATATTTATTTTGACGTGTACCTTTTCCTGAGCTCGGAGTCCACCACCACTTGTCTCTTCTTCTGTGGAGGAGGTGATTCTCGGGTCTGCCTCAGTGCTGCCACCTTCTCCCTGGAGACCTTGGTGACGGTCGTCGTGGTGACAGAGGAGTGCACCACCTCTGTCTGCTGGGAGGCCGTGATGGTGGATGACAGCTATACATCAACGGGGAGAGAAAAGTTAGAAAAACATGGCCGTCTCAAAGCAGCAATAAACTTGGGTGTCATTTGTCATATAGTGGGGCAGTGGAGTCTGTGATGTGTGATGAGTGAAGGGCAGAGCTACAGTGTACTGTATAGAGAAGACATCTGAGCACGGACAACTGGTGATTTGGGAGATAGGGAGTACACGCACACACACACATATGCACACACACATATGCACACACACACGGACAGGGTGAAAGCACAATATGAATGGACGCAATTAGCAAATACCACATTTTTTGTTTTGTTTTTTAGCTTATGGCTTTTTTTTAGGTCCTATAATACGTAAAAGTGTAGTAAAAGTTAAGTCTCATCAGTAACATACCTGGAGTTGTGTTTTGTTTCAGTCACACATGTTTAAGGAATCCTACTTTACTGGGCTGTCTACATTTCCAAAGCTGTTCAGTAAAGATTGGCAATTCTGGGAGTGAAATTATCCAAATGATTCTAATGAAAGTGTATGGAGTTTAAAAACACAATGGAGCACTTCCTGTCTTACCCCATGACAGCACAAGCACAAACATTTCACTGGCACTACAAAACTTTGGCACATCTAGTAATATTCTCAAAGAGTCATTATAGGCCACTGTCAAACTCTGCAAAAGTTGTAGTTATTTGTTTTGTTTCATGCTTTTGTATATTATGGAAAATTGTATGGAGCAACATTATAATATGGTTCAATAAGTACCAAACCAAAACCAAACCAAAACCAAAGCGGGACAAGTATAAACATCGCCTAAAATGGAGGTAACTTTGCTTTGCTATTAAAATAAATGGAAGAATTAAAGCTACACACAATATGTTTTGGGGTATTTGAATTCATCTAATAGGCTCCATCTGCACATAGCGTTCACGGTTGAGGGTCTCCGTATGTGTCCTGCATTTAGGATGTGAACAGTAACGCTGAATTGGCAGGATCTGCTCAATACAATATGGAAATGTACACTCTCCAGTTATATAAGGGAACTCTCCAGAAAGTGTGTTGTTAAGGAAAGAATATTTGATAATATCTGCATATTATTTTTAAGTCTATAATATACACTTAAAAGGTGCACAATGTAAGGTTTTGGTTGAGGTCCGGAGACGCCCACGACGACCCCTCAAAGTGCCGTGGGCCGCACCGCCAAATGCTATGCCAGTTGGTTTGAGAGGATTCATGTGGTGCCCCCGCAAGTACTTGGTCCCCTACGTGCTGTGCGTAATGTGCTTAATGGGGAGCTACGGTACTGGTTCTGCCTGTTCCACAGTACCATATTAAACATGTCTACTTTACATGTATTCTATTACAGGTGGTTTATAGCTCAAAAACACCCAGAAAAACAGGTATTCTGACTGATCTGGGTTGCCTCTCCACAGATCTGACCTGTGACTTGGTCTGGTTTGGTTTGGTTTGCATGAAGAGAGAAAAGTTTAATGCCATACTGTGAAACATTCCAGACAATGCAACATCTCCATAGAGAAAGTTACACAATGCACTTTCAAGAGGACAATTAAAAGTTGGGTAAGTTTAGTTAAGTAAAAAAAAAAACTGTATATATTCACTCTTTCAACAGCATCAAATGAAAGCCAATGTAATGTTATTACTGTTATATTTCTCTATTTTCTGATCTATGTTATAAAGTTGTTACCTTATCACAAATCCTGTATATTTAGGCTGAGTTCTTCTCTCAAACTGAAACACTCTCTTCCACCTTGTGATGTCATGTGGTAATACAGGAAGTGCTCTACTATGTTTTTAACTCCACACACCTTCACTAGAATCATTTGGATGATTTCAGCCCTGGAATTTACTGAAAAAAAAAAAAAAAAAGTAGATGTTAAATTGAAAACTATTGCTTCATGACATCACAAGGTGGAACAGATAATTTTAAGCTTTGGAATCATAGACAGCCTAATAATGCAGGATTTCTTAAACATGTGTGAATGAAATAAAACAACTCCAGGTATGTTTTTGGTGAGGTAACAGCACTGTAACATGGCTTAAAGCTCACAAGAATCAATTTTGCGTAATATATAACCGTTAATACAATTGAATTAAATTTTTTAAGAGTAAAATACAATACACTGTTAAAGGAAAACATCCAGAAACCAGAGGGTCAGTGGTTCAAACTGTCACTTGGTCTCATTGAGTTAAGAGGCTTTGCAAAATAGTTTAGTTAGCCAATAGAAATTAGAAAATCAAACCAAGGAAAAGTAATTGGTCAATAAAACACAAGCAGATTAGCCAACATGACACCAGCACACTGTCTGACATGGAACCGAGGGTTACAAAAGACTAATTATAATCAAACTCTGCCACAAAAGGAGCTATTTTCTGAAAAAGGAAACTGATTTTGTTGTTTTGTTGCCTGCCTAAATTATTCACTTTCCATGCACACAGTGACAATCAGTAGAATTGGTGGAGTGGGCCCAGGTCTGCTCTCTCTAATGACAGTTAAAATCCCATACAACTGCGGATGGGACACTCCTGCTGCCATGGCAACGTTCTCGAATGTGTGTGTGTGACGGGACAAGATATGTGCGTGTGGCCACAGAGGTCGATGTGCTAATTATCCAACTGATTACAATGAGCGAGCAAGTCAATGGAGACAACAGAGTGAAGAGACACAGGAACTACAGCTACAAATAATCACAGCAGGGAGGGGTAGACAAAAATTAAATACAGTAGTAAGAGGAACGTTACTTTAAAATTATAGTGGGCTACAAGATTAATCAAAACCCCAGCGAAATCGCAGTTTGAATAGACATAATTCACAAATCGCAAAGTCTGCAATTTTGGAAATAAATGGTAAATGGTCATAGGTAATGGTCACATTTTTATACAGCGCTTTTCCACCCTTAAAGCACTCGAAGCACTTTACAACAAAGAAAAATGCTATAATAATATCTAATGAAGAGGCCAGCAGGTGTATGTGTTTGTATTGGGTTATTTTGGGCCACAGAACAGGCTAATCGATGGAGATGGTGTAGCATTAGCCTGAGTCAGGGACAATTGACTCCTCAGATTGACGACTCAATTCACACTTGTGCACGATCACTGGATGAGTGGGTTTACAATGGGCACGGACATGTCAATACACTAACCAAATACTGACATAGGATTTAGAGAGTGTGTTGCCAGTCTCAAAGATAAGTAAGATAAGTTTGGCCTTAAGTTCAAATGTTGTCAGTTTTATTTTATTGAAGTGATATGCATTCTGATTATAGGCTAGGCCAGAAATAAAATCAGTAATGAGACTGCGATTAAACCTATTATGCAAATTTGACTTGTCAGAGCTTTTAACCATGCTATGTCCCTCACCATTTACTCACCCAAATTTGAATTTTATTCATGTTTCAGCAATCTTTAATCGCTTATTTGCAAGACACCATTTTGCAGATCAACTCCCAATTTCACCGCCGCCAGCATACACCCACTGCTCTGTACTTACTTTGTTCCCCAGATTTATTTTCTTAATCGTCAGCAGCGTTGCATAATCATTTTATTACAAATGAAAAAAATAAAATAAAATCTTCTGGTCGCTAGAGTGATCTGCAGCTGTCCATCTGCAATGCTGACAACTCCACAGCTCTTTGTTCTTATGACGTTTATGGCGATGTCAACTCCCATTAGGCACTTTTTGGGTTTTCTTGCACAGACATCAGCAGATTTGTTTCTTTTATTGAGATGTTTTTGATCAGTATTGCAATTTAAAACATCCAAGTTGTAACATAACGATCCACGGGTGTCATAGATTCTACTTACACGAGCACAATATGTCTTCTTTAAAAAGTAGGATTCTCTTCAGAGTGCACATTGTAAACAAGTCCAGGAGCATTTGAGAGAAGATTGAAATATGAACTGATCAACTAATACAAGAATACATGAATTTCAAAACATGTTAATCGAGGTCTAAACTACAGATACATCAACATTTTTCTAAATATAGACCAGATATTTTGCTCTTTGAAGAGAACATTCTGTTGTCAAACTGCTGGAGCCTTGGAGATTTGATAATTGCCCTAACTCAAACGCAATTTAGACTCAATATATTATGCAGATTAATAACAACTTTTTTAATTGCTACTTTTTAAAATGACCACTATTCAAATAAGTTCATGCACTCAGTAGATTTCAGGACTCTGGTCCGCACCTTCACATTTATAATTATTTTAACTAGCAAATGTCTGTCAGTAACAAAATATTTTTTTAATTTAAAGGTGCACTGTGTAACTTTTCTGTGAAGGGTCTACCATCTGCTTGTCTCCGTCGTGATGTTATTGTTTTGCCTGGGATGTTCTGCAGTATGGCATTAAACAAATATATCTTGCATTTACTCAGAGATAGTTAAATTAAATGCCATACTGCAGAACATTCCAGGAAAAAAGTAACATTTACATGGAGTTAAGCAGGTGGGGGATCCTCTAAGAGAAAAGTTACACAATGCACCTTTAAAGATAGCTTTTAATTAAACCTGGAAATCATCTCCTTTGTATATCACACTGGTCACAACAGCATTACCTAAACACCACTTCCACTTATTAAAGCAACAGTTTTCTTATCATCTGCAATGAAAAGTAGTTAGAATCCTTTTACAGCTTGTTTACCATCTTGAATAAAACTTTATGAGTATTTACAACTTGGTTTTAATGAAAGTGCCACTACATCCCACATATTCTCCCCTCGCGTCAGATCCTCCACGATCTTTACAGCTCTGTGTTTGCTAATAACTAACAACGCTACCTAGAAGTTGTCTCTGCATTTGTTCCCATCTCTTTAGTGGTCCAATAATGTGTTTGGAAATCTCATAAATCACTCCCACAGTTTAGGTCTCCTCGGGGGTTGTGTAAGTACGGACCAAGTAGGATTCACTGCTCCGCTATTATTGGACCACGTCTCCAGAGCCCCCCCAAGTCCAATAGAAACATAATATGCGCTGTATCCATAGACCGCAATATCAAAGACATGTTTTTCTTTCCGCTGATGGGGGGACAATATAAAGATTTTAAACTGAATAGACAGTGGTGGAAATATATATACAGGGAATATGGTGGAACATAATATGGAGTTATGTAGAGCAGTTCAGTGAGTTGGGAGTTGCTATAGGCGGTTTCTTCAGTACGATATAGGAACATCATTATTTTACTGTTTAAAGAAGACCTATTGTGCTTTATAGTTATAATCTATGACACCCATGGATCTTTGTGTGTTAATATGGATATTTTAAATTGCAATACTGATCTAAAACGACTTAAATTTGCTGATTTTCACGTTAGAAAACTGTGGTGCCCAGTGGGAGCTGACAGCGCTGTAAACATCACCACAATAAACAGATATAAAAGTTGAAAAGTTGTTTGCCCCCTTGCGCATTTATTTCAACTACACAATGCTGCTAAATCCCACTTGTATCGCTGATTAAGTTTTGCATTAAAGGGCCCAAATCGCTCTATTTTCTGATCCATGTTCCTCATCAAAAATATATCTAGAGCTGTGTTTTGTTTCATTCACACATGTTCGAGTAATACTTTTTTAAATTTTAGTATTTGTCTGTCTACATCTCAAAAGCTAAAAATGCTGTTTCACCTTTTAATCATTTTTTATTTCTTGATTGACCAGGGTTTTTGTTTTGATTTGATTCTTGCTTAGTAAAAACAAGTATCATGAACAGAGTTTGCTGACTTCCGTGTGGTGTCCAATGAGAGCTGACATCACAATAAAGAGGTGTAAAAGTTGAAAAGTTGTCTGTCCCTCTTATGTACAGCTGCAGATCACGCATTTTTTCATTTGTACCAAAATTACTACACAAGGCTGCTGAATCCTACATGTATCTCTGATTAACTTTTGTATTAAAGGGCCCATAATCACGCTATTTTCTGATCCATATTCCTCATCAAAACATATCTAGAGTTGTGTTTTATTTTTATTATTTGTCTGTCTACATCTCAAAAGTTTTAATTATATTTTTTTTCTTTGATTGATCAGGGTTTTTGTTTTGATTTGATTCTTGCTTTGTAAAAACAACTAAAAGTGGCATTTAAAATTCCAGACTTTTAGTTATTACAATTTAGCTAAAAAAAAAAAAAAATTATAAAAAGTATTTCTCCCAAGTCTGAAATCCTCGCCAAACCACATTCTTTTCCAGACAGAGTATTGGACCTTTAGATTAAAATGCTGATCACAGACAATTTAAAACAATTCTCAAAATGATTAAAACCTGATTAATTGCAAAGCCCTGTACTGCAACCGTATTGAGCATACCAATGAACTTCCCTTTTGTTGTAGCAGTATAGACTTTAGCATGTGTGAAATCCTTGTTCACTCCTCCAGGTGATGTCTGTATAAATAGACCTGTAATAAGAAGTCATGGGGTTGTATTGTATTACTCATCCTTAGCACACTTACTCACAGCTTATTTCCTCCTCCACTCCAATAAAGTGCCTTTTTATCATGCTCTATTAAAATCCAATTTAGTCGACGGGAAATAGACTTACAGGTTTGCTCAGAGGAGAAGTCATATTGCCAGGTAAATGAATGTAATGTATGGGTAAAATATTAGAACGTTTGCAGGGTGGCTCGTTTGCTAATCAGTTAATTGCGCTATTGGTACTTTGAATAAATGGTGAAACTAATGTAAACATGTACACAGGATAAAAAAGTAGAAGGTATTTCATATTCAAACAGTTTTGCAAAGTAACTAAATAACCAAAACATGTAATAAAAAGTTATATTAAGAATGCCACTTTTGAGTATCCTGGTACAATGACTTAGTTAATTTGGAAGTATTTAGAATAGAGGTACTGTCCTGTAATGTGATAAAATAAATGCATAACAAATGGTCTAACAATAGTGCTGCTTTCAACTTTCTGCTGTGTTTTTTTACACTGTAATATAATGCAACTTGAACATGAAATTAACATGAATTGTTCAGAATACAAACCAACACATTTTTTTTTACATTTTTAAAATTTCAAATTCAATTTCAAGGAATAAACTGCGTGTATTAGGGATGTAACAATAACTGAAATATCGTGATATTGTATTGTCAAAAGTCTCCTAATAATATCATGGACTGTCACAATATATTGAACTACAAGTCTCTTTACTTAAATTCATTATTATGGTGCAATACTTGGATCAATACTTACTCAAATCAGTGAAGTTTCAATACTAGTTGCTTTAGTATCAATTAGCATCTGATTTCCAATAATTTTAACAACCCTAATTCAGATGGACTAAATATGGATAATGCTTAATAAGTCAATGCACAGTTCATTTTAAGTTACAAAGATATACATGATATTTTGAATTGCATTAGAACAACATTTTATATGAAAGCTTGTCCAAAACGCTCCAAATCAATAAGTGGATGAATACTATGAATATTATCATGGTAACAGCATAATGTTTGTGAGCAGCGTAATACTACCTCATTGAAAGCCCGTATTGATCGTAGCCTAAGATGCACTGGTTTAATCAGTGTAGCCTGCTTTACTCCACACTCCAGACCCATCTATTCTCAGCTCCACTCAGGAAACTATTGTAATCAACAAGTGACTGACACTGACCATCTCCACAGCTGAACTATCAGCCCCTTCAGCCATCTCCATCTCCATCTCCTAATCTTCTCTGTCCATTAGACTCCACAGATATATAGGATTTTCCATAACAACTTTACAACTCCTTTCATTGCAATCCTGATATCCCTAACTACCTGGATCTAAATACCACAATTTATCTATTTAACAACTCATTGCAGTTCATTCATTGTTTCGGTCCTGATGGAATCCTTGGTGTGGACTTGGTTTTTTGCCCTGTTCTAGTCTCACTTTAGTTTGTACAGTCCTAGATTTAGTCATAAAGCTACACTATGTAACTTTTCTGGTGTAGGGTTTGCCAGTTGCTTTTTCCATGAACATGTTACTGCTTTGCCAAGAACGTTTCTCAGTATGGCATAAATTATCCATCTTGTGTTCACTCAATTAGAGGTATTTTTATAGCTATAAAATTATGCGTTCTTACAGTGAACAGGGTCATCTCTCCACAGATCTGACCTGTAACTTTGTCTGGTGATGCACCTGTTTGTCTCCATTAAGATAGGGATGCCATATTTTGACACATTCCAAGCAAAGCAATTACATCTCCATGGTGATAAGCAGGTGATGTGCCCTCTACAGGAAAGTTACACGATGCATTTTTAATTTAAGTCTTGAGTTTAGTCCTGGTTTAGTCCTTGTCTAGATAATTTAGTCTGGGGTTTACTCCTAAGTTAAGTATTGGTCTAGTCCTGGTTTTGTACTGGGTTTAGTCCTGGTTTAATCCTAGTCTAGTCCCATTTCAAACATGGGTTTATTCCTGGTTCTAGTCCTGGTTTAGTCCTAGTTTAATTCTAGCTTAGTCCTGATCTAGTCCTGGCATAGTCCTGGTTTTGTCCTGGCGTAGTCCTGGTTTAGTCCTGGGTTTGGTCTTGGTTTAGCCCTGGGTTTGGTCCTGGTTAATTCCAAGTTTATTCATGGTTTAGTCTTGGATTCCTTCCTAGTGTAGCAGTATCTGATCCTGTCCAATAAATAGCACACCAGAGCCCCTCACCTGTGCGATGCTCATCTCCAGACTCTGCAGTAGCCGGTCCCAGCGCTGGGCGAAGCTGTCCAGGCGGGCCTCCAGTTTACAGGCCACGTCCTTGTTCACACTGGAGAGAAGGTCCTGACTCATGGAGCACAGCTTGTCCATGGTGGGCCTCTTCACCTCCAGCTCACTTTTTATCATCTGAAACCACATGGGAACACCTCGCACTTCATCTAACATATACTTATCCCTCTTTACGTCAATGTACCCATGCCAATACAGCAATAATATAGGCTACAATTTTTCTCTCTGTTATTGACACAAAATGGAGTTCAAATTGGAAAACAGTTGGTATGCTGACCACCTACAGTTCTAGAAAAATGATGGGTATGTTTTTGAATGTATGTGGTGGGACATGGAAGGATGAACTCAAGATATTTAAGGTCATAGATGATAACTGCAGTAACAATATATAATTTTCCTACCTGGCCAGTCAAAACAACACGCTTTGACAAAACTTTACAAAGATGTGTTCCTGACTTCAGAAAGGCGTGACTGACAGAGGAATTAACCAATCAGAGAAATGCATAATCCGTTCGTGTCAAAGATTTCTATTTGTATTTAAAGCATGATGCATTCAACATCTTTTAATATGTAAGCGATAAGACATATTGAATACTCACAGAAAGCTTCCGTTGACACGCCACTATCTCTGCCTGCTCCTTCAGGTTGGACGTCTTGATGGAACGAACCAACTCCTCCTTCTGAGTCAGCCATGAGTCAAAGAGGCACTGGTGAGAGATAAAAAAAATAATTTAAATTTTAATTTTAATTTTAATTTTCTGCTGACCCTAAGACCCCCTGTGTAGCCGATCTGTTTTGCTCTTTTAATTAGACTGATCAGTTAATCGCGTGTAATCCCATAATGTGATTTGGAGCCTCCCCACTCATTAATCACGCACAAAAGTCGATCTCTTGGTGATACATTTTCACTTCCTTTGACGGCGATGCTAAAAATACCAACCGCTAACGCTGCTAAGGACAGAGGACCATTTTCCATCGTAATTAGCGAGTCTTAAATTGTCCGGGAAGTGAGACGGCAGGTACATGATTTGAATGTGAATACTTCTATTTAAGACATACTTGTTCATTAGTGAAGTGTTGCCATTTGAGCAGTATCTCCTGAAGCAGAATCCAGCGCTCCTCTGTCCACCTGCAGATGGCTGCCCAGCGGTCTCCAAGCACCTGCGAAACATCACCAAACATCTAGTCATACCTGTGTTAATGGCAAGGTTAACATGCAGGCATTGTACAAGGAAGTTTTATTTTAAATATAGAAAAAGGGCACAAAAATCAAGAAAAGTTAAGTATGTATGTAATTGTACGTAAGTATTTATGCAAGTTGAAGGTCTTATATTACACAAAAATTTACTCCTGTAAGCTTTAAGTTATGTTAGAATGTTGTTACCTCTCAAAAACACACTTGGAGTTTTGCTTCATTCACACAAGTTTAAGTATTCCTGTATTATTAATCTGTCTATGTTTTCAAAGTACAAAACGCTCTCTTCCACCTTGTGATGTCATGAAATTATCTAAATAATTTTAGAGAAGGTGTATGGAGTTTAATGTGTAAATGAAACAAAACCCAAGTTCATTATAACATAGATCAGAAAACAGCATAATATGGGCGCTTAATTTGCAACTACACCTTTCAGTAAAATTTCTCTTTTAACTTTCCATACATTGTCCTTCCTTTTCTTTTCATTTACTTTGTCCTGCCCTACCGTGTTACTAAATATATCCGAATTGTTAGTGTGAGTTTTGTTATGTAAAAATGCAAATGACCCCAGTCCTGCCTACTGTATCATATGATTAATTAGGAGTCACTGGTTTCCACATTAACTGCTGAGCCCGGGTCTGCACGCCTGTCGTTCACTTCACTTGCACCAGTCATCCTCTGCTCAAATCCACCACTCTCTCGCTCCTCTGTTATTTCGATGGTAACGTTAGTATTCTGGTATAAAAGAAACAACGTCTATGTAGTTTTAATTTAATCAGTATTGCCTTTATTTTAGATTGTGTTAGTGCAGGTTACGACTGTATTTTACAAGTTAAAAGGACTAGCCACGAAGGATATATATATATATTTTTTTTGGCAAACAGGCAATATAGTTGGAGCGTGTGTCTATTTCCAATGAAGACTTAACAGCTATAATCACATATAATGGCAGGATTAAGTATAATTGTACTCTCTGTGTGTTCTGCTAGTAGTTAGGTGAAAATGTTTGTACACAAATAAGGTCATGCAAACTGTTGCAGTGTTTTGGCAGAGCTAATCAAGTTGGTTAGAAAGATATAGCTGTTTTCTACATTATAAAAGTCATACATATATTAAAGGGCCCATATTACGCATTTTGATCTATGTTATAATGTTGTTTCCTCATCAAAAACATACCTGAAGTTGTGTTTCATTTCATTCACACACAAACCCTGCATATTTAGGCTGAGTTCTTCTCTCAAATGGAAAATTGAATTGCCAATTTTCACTGAGCTGTATGTAAAAGATAGCTGTTTACTTGAAAACTACCACTACTACATCACAAGCTGGAACAGAGCATTTTGAGCTTTGGAGATGTAGTCAGACTAATTATAAAGGACTACTCAAGCATCTGTGAAGGAAAAAAATACACAACTCCGGGTATGTTTTTGATGAGGTAAAAGCTTTATAACATGGCTTAAAGCTCTCAGTAGTCAATTTTACATAATATAGAACCAAACACATGCATTTCAAACTTTCGCTATAGAAACTTTAATCCCACTTTCAGACTCAGCTCTGAAACACTACAACCTTTTCTTCTCTTCTCATGTTATATACTCCATAGAGGTGAAGTAGACCACGCAGTGGCTGTTTGTTTATAATTTTCATTTCCATATCAAATGTAATGTACTGAGCTGAACCGAATCTCATGTTACACAGAGCACAAAAACAATAGAAGAGAATTGGGTAGACTAAAAACAATTTTCCACACTTTTGGTTTCAGCGTTTGAAATAATACACAGAATTTCTCTTACACTATTGCAAATTAAAGGTTTGATAGTTCCCTGGATGAAAAAATACCTCAGCAATTTGAATGGAGCGCACAAGTGAATAAATACATAAATGAATACATATCGAGCAGAACAGGCAGTTACTGGACCTATTTTATTACTTTAAAAAAAAGCGGTGAGGTTTTCCAGAAAATTAAAACTATTGACTGTGGCGACATTCACACAATGTAGTTTCAACTTTACTGCAATTTTGTCTAACTGTTTTCTGAAATTTTAAAACTTCAGAGAATCAATATATTTTTGTGATCATTATTTAAAGTTAAACTTGGCTTGTCGCCACTGAGATTTTATTGCTTTGTCTGGAATATCACAGTATGGTATATTAAACCTTTCTATCTTCATGTAGACCAAATCAGACCAAGTTACAGGTGAGATCTGTGGAGAGGCAATTCCGCTCGCAGTCAGAATGTCTGTTTTGAGCTTTAAAACCACCTGTAATTGAATAAATGTAAAGCAGAGTATACTAAGGAACATTCCAGGCAGAGCAAAAACATATCCAGAAACAACAAACATGTGACAGAACCCCAATCAAAAAGTTACACAGTGGACTTTTTTTTTTTATGTAGTTGATGGAATATGACCCAAAAGCTGAAGAGAGGGATTGCAGATTAGATTTATCTCTCATTATCCAAGAACAAATTTTTTAAATTAATTGAAAATATATTTTTGTAACACAGATAAATTAAAAGAGGGGAAAAATCTTTCTAATTTTTGTTTTTAGAGTTTTCTGCCATATTATAATGTTATGTCTCAACAAAAACATCCCTGAAGAGCTTTTAGATGTCATTCATGCATGTTTTAGTAATTTAGTCTTTTCTCTTGGGCCCTATTTGAACCCTTCTTACGATTAGCTGTAAGATTCTGTCCAATGCTCCACTCACAAGCCTACATTACCCATGGTCCCACACGACAATTCTCCATAAATGTACAAAAACATGACACAAAACTGTACACAACAACTTGACAAACCTGATGTGATGTACAGTAGTGTCATTAGCGGGATTCACGAGGATTGTGTTGTGACAGTGCACTGAATGGGGAGTGACTTAGCGAAGGAAGGGGGGACTATTTTCTGTGAATATAGCATAGTGATCTAAACGTGTTATGTGTTAGCAGTTAATACACCATAGAAATCAAAGTGAGACATTTCTGTAAAGGCATCTGACTGAACCTACAGCTCACCCATTCCAACACAAACTCGTGCTCCATTACGAAATCACCTACAAACTTTTAAAGGATAAGTGAAAGACAGATTATCCAAACAGCGAGCGTAGAATTATGAAGAGTCTATTAAACGCCATAAAACTCCTGAAGCCGATCTCGATGATAAACTCATAAAGAATATTCATTACAGGGACCGAGCAGAGACCAAAGGCTGCCTCGACGCAATTATGTGTGTGGAAATGACGAGCTTGAATTTGTAATAGATTTTAAAGCATATTCTTTACTGTGTACGGGAGTTAACAAGGGGAACCAAGAGCCATGCATCAGAGGAGCAGACAAGCATGGAGAATGAGGGAAACTGGGGACTGACCGCAGATAACTTATAGGGTAAACAAAAGCAGGCTGACCAGGTCCAATGGGCTAATTACTGCAACAGGCCAGACTGAGCTATCTACTACGGAATCTATAGACCAGTGCACTCGGCTGATGGGAGGAGGAGGGAGCTCATCACTTATTTACATGATGGGGAGAGGTGGTTTAAGATGAGATGAAAATGCATGCATTAGTTACTATTGTGACTATGGTTCTAAGAGTACTCCAGTTCTCTAGTCATTTTCAAAAGTTGTATGATTGCAGGATAGGTACGAACTGTCTCATTAGTAAGTAAGCTTTTATTTATAAAGCATTTTTCATAGACATATGCCACAAAGAAGCTTTATAGATCATTATTCATTCACTCTATACTCGGTGGTGGTAAATTACTATTGTACAGCTGCCCTGGGGCAGACTAACAGAAGCTTGGCTGCCAATCTGCGCCATCAGCCCCTCCGACTACCACCATCAGTCACACACACATCACTTTCATACTAGGCAATGCGGGTGAAGTGCCTAAGGACACAATGACAGATTTTGCGACTGGCGCCCCACTGTGGCACCTGATTTTCTCAGCGGGCTCTAATCCAAGTACTAACCAGGCCCGGCCCTGCTGAGCTTCCGAGATCTGACGGATCAGGCTTCGACAAGTTGGTATGACCAATGAATGGTCAATGAATAAAGCATTTGTTCCTGATCTAGAATAAACCTCGTCTCGGTACTATATCTTTAAGACAGAGGCATAGGTTTGGTTTGTGATTAAAGCTGCACTATGTGACATTTCAGGAGGAAGGTTTGCCAGGCTTTATGTGGAATGCTCCACAGAATGGCTGTAAAATTTATCTCAGTTGAAATTCATGTTTTAATTGAATATGAAATGCAAGAACAATAGAAAAGTTACATAGTACACCTTTGAAAAGGCCAAAATTATGCTATTTTCTGATCTATATTATCATGTCGTTAACTCATCAAAAACATACCTGGAGTTGTGTTTTGTTTCTTTCACATATGTTTAACATACTAACCCTGCACATTTAGGCTGGTGAAACACACTGTTCCACCTTGTGATGTCATGTGGTACTACAGGAGGCGTTCCACTGTGTTTTTAAACTCCATTAACCTTGACTAGAATCGGTTTGATAATTTCAGCACTGGAATTGTCAAATTCACCTCAACAAAGGGTAAAATTTAGCTTTTAACTTGAAAACTACCGCTTCATGACATTTTGAGCTTTGGAGCAGACTAATAATAAAGGATTAGGAAACGTGTGAATAAAGCAACACAACTCCAGGCATGATTTTGACAAGGTAATAACATTATAACATGACTAAAACTAAAATGTGAGGAAAAGCATAATATATTGAATTTCTATAGGTGATTTAATAATACATCTCATGCCTCGCTTTTGAAAGTCAAAGTAACAGTTAGTAAAAGTGCAGCATTACATAATCTTACCTGCAGTCTGCTCTCCAATGCGGCGGTGGCGCTGTCCCCGTTGTTCTCATCCACCACCACCACCATGTGTGTGAGGGAGTTGACCCGCACCTGCTCCAGCTCCAGATCCTCCTGCAGCAGCTGTAAGCCAAACCACATGTACACATCCCATTAGCCACGCTAGCTACGGGGCGCTAATGGTACAAGTGTCAGCTAGCAAGAGGAGCTAATTCATTTGGGTCCTCCGTCACCCAATGGGACTCCAAAACAGAGAAAAAGTGAAGATGCAGAGCCATATTTAGCCCCAGGTGGCAAACTATAGTTACATAAGTTGGATGAAACTGCACTACGTGATATCTGAACCTACCCTGAAGCTAAAAGCTACAACAGTGCACTGAAAGTCATTGTATAGAGACAATACTTTTTCATAACACAAATTTAGCCCTGAAAGATGTTTGTGTGCGTCCATCCTCATGTGAATAGATTGAATACAATCCATTTAAAGCGACTATCTTCAAACTTATTTGATTTTTTTTTTTTTCAGATCACTCTCTTTAGGCTCACCTGTGCTCTCTGGTCTTCTTCTGCTGGGCCAGTGAGTGAGTGTGAGAATACAACAGGGATGGATCAGCCAGTCTACAGATGGTAGCTTTAAGCTCATGTACAGATCTCTGATAGCTTCATAAAATGTTGTCAAGTAAGCTATTCTTTTAATTTAAGTCTCTAAACAATATGAAATTTGGTGAAATCAGAAATAGCATGAAGGTTATCAATACACATTTAGGCCATATTTATACTGTATATACTAGTGTAAGCATGTGTGTTAGATTTACAACTATGTAGGAGTCTTATTTACTTTGGTGTAATATATCCATACCTCTTCACTTGATCACGTACAGCTGTCTGATGTTTTTGTCCAATGTATTCTACCCATATATGGTGTCAAACTCTACGTACTAAATATGTATACTTGCGTTGTAATCTCATTATCATAAGAGTATAAGTATCAGTGAATTCTTTGTCTGGCAAGTCGATCCTGCCGCATCTGAGGTGACAACTTCCTGGTATTATTACCAGTATTATTAAAGTTTGTGCATCCTACCTGAGTCTGAGTTCTTCTATCAAACTTACCACTTGATAACAACTAGTGTATACTAGGCATTGCATTTTAATATAACAACATTACTTTGCATTAGCTGCTAACAATATTTCAGACAAACTATGGTAATTCATCAGAAAATGATACATGATTTGATTGAAATGCAAATATCACACAAAAAATGAATAGACTAAAAATAATACAATTCATATCCAGTGTTGGTCAGATTACTTTAGAAAATGTATCTTATTACTGATTACTCCTTCAAAACGTAATCTAATCATTGCTCTACTTTATTTTAAAAGTAATTAAACTACTGATTACAAAGCAATTTTACTGCATTTAAAGTGCAGTATTTGCAGGTTTGATGCAATGAGTTTTTCACTGTCAAAATGTCTTGCTTCCACCACATCATCAACTATGGACCATAATATTCTATCTAAAGCCAAATGATGTGTGCATTTCCAAATAGAGAAAGTACTTTTGTCCTGATGTTTGCTCCATGCTGCATTTGTTTTGCTTCTGTCGCTGCTTGACTTGCAGCTCTTGGACAGACCACATCACTAATCTGTCACTTGCAAGAGCAGCTCCACTTAAGGGTTTTATTTACCAGAAAATAGAAATAACAAATTAATCTGAGAGCAAAACATATCTTGCAAGTAATGCACAGTTACTCAACCAAGTAACTATAATCTGAATATAAACTATCAGATTACTGCATTACCTTAAAAGTAAAAGTTAAGTAAAAGGTCCCTAAGTAATGTATTTCTGTAGTCAGATAATGTACTACCCAACACTGTTCACATCACGGTGTTTCAGCCTTTTTATTCATTTTTTTCTCTATATAATTTTGCATACTACTAACCCTCTTGTCCAAATTGGTAGACTTGTTAATATTTGAGGAACATTCCTTTTCAAAACCACATGAGCTCAGTATACTGCTCCCATCTACTATCTGCTAAGTATCCAACATTTCTCATTATACTCCATCGCCACCTCGCTCCATTTCCATTTTTTAATCTGGCTCCTCGGCTCCGGGATCGTAAACAGCCCACCACTGGCGCACACTGTAAAATTTGGTCATATTGTTCAAAGCTCCACCGGTGGTAGCACTATTCAATTTCTAGCGTTTTTTGTAATGGCTCCCAGTCTCTCAAAAATCATTTCTCCACTGGTTGCAATTCCTGGTCCAAATGAGATTCTGTGAGAGTCGAGGGAGAAGGGAATAAAAACAAAACGGAGGAGGAGGAGGAGGCGTCTGGAAAGTCTTCAAGTCCGAGGTAATTTCACCAATCACTCTATTGTATTGAAATAAGGGCCAGCCAAACACAGCAATCACACTGGCGGCCATCTTTGTTTCTCAAGTCAGCTTCTATAGGTTGGTAGTTCAATCGCCATTTATTCCAAAGAGAAGGGCAAGACACTTATTATAGAAGAGACACATTTTCTCCAAAACAGATACTGATGCCGCAGAAATAGAGGTGTCGATGAAATTGTTGTTTTGAAGGTTTGCGAAATTACACAATCAAGGTCAGTTTAAAGAAATACAGCTGTTGAAAAGCAGCAAAGAATCAAAATAAAACAGAACACATTTCCTGATAAGGGTAGGTCTATTCACTTTTGTGTTTAAAGGTCCTATATTACACAAAATAGATTCTTGTGAGCTTTAAATCATGTTGTAATGTTGTTACCTCATCAAAAACATACTTGAAGTTGTGATTTGTTTCATTCAGACATGTGAGAATGAAACAAAACACAACTCCAGGTATGTTTACGATGAGGACACAACATTATAACAGAGATCAGAAAATAGTGTAATATGGGCCCTTTTATTGCAAATAAAAAATAAAAAAAAGTGGGTACTTTTCTGATGAAAAAGGTGCATTGTGTAACTTTCCTTGTTGAGGGTGCATCCCTTGTTTCTATGGATATGTCACTGATCTGCCTGGAATTTTCCACAGTATGACAGCTATACCTTACATTTATTAAATTACAAGTGGTTTTATAACTCAAAAATAAATACAAAAACAGACATACTGCGAAAAATTCCAGACAGAGTAAACATCTCCACAGTGAAAAGGATTTTGCATATCCTTCACCAGAAAAGTTACACAATGCAACTTTAAGATGAATATAGGAAAGTTTCTCATTTAAGCATGTATTGTTTTTGGCATAACATAACTGCAACTGTGTAGAAATAATAAGAGCCACTAGAGGACTAAAGAGGGATAACAGTCCATCCCTGAAGTCCATCCTGATTAATAGGAGCCTAAGTTTACAGCAGAAACACAAGTATATGTGTGAGCTGGTAAACATAATATTCTCTGTAGAAAACCTGCCCTTTTGTGACAACTGCAAAGGGATTCGTTGTATTTATTAACAACGATGTGCATAAATAAGAGAGACAAAGAGTCAGTGGGGATAAAGTGGGAGAGTAAATGCTGTAACAAAAGCTTTTGTTAGATTCTCTTACTCAGTAAACTCAACAACACTGGAGCTCTGCAGATCATGTTAACTGACTACTTGCAAATGTAGGGCGCACCGAGGCAAAAAGTGAGTTCTATCTAATGGTACTGATGCCAAAACATTTTTAGTTAACACAAAGTATTGTTTGCAATAAATAAAGAAATAAAAGTGTTGTCAGACTAATAGAAATGTGGGTACCAATTTGTGCCAGTGGCTTCTCTGACCAAAATCAATCACACACACTCTTCCAGGCATATGTAAGAAGGGTGACGTGTCTTGCCCAAAGATATACTGTACTGACGTATAGTAATGGGACTGAACCACCAACCTTGTGATTCATGGAGAAATGCTTTTAAAGAAGACACAAATTTGACGTCTTTATATTGAGAAGTTTTTTTCACTTTTAATCCCCAACTTCAAATGAACTGTTCTTATAATTGTATGTATAGTGAGTGAGCTGGTGTTACTTTTGTGTAATTATTGCTGTACTGTTTAACATCAACCAGCTGAGGGACTGAAGATGAAAATGAGACATGTTGGCTATAATCTCTGCATATTTACATTTTAAATGTTCATTAATATGAACTGTCCAAAAAAATAAGAAAAAAAATATTATGCTTTTGTCTGACAGTAGTGAACCATCTTGTACGACAAAACCAAAAACCAAAACGTAGCACACGCAGAGCAGTGGGTGACGGGGCTTGTATAGGGTAAAACATAAATTTTCAGAGCAATAGAGTCTTGATTGCAGGAGAATAAAGATTACTGACAAAATGCACGAATCACTCTAACTAGTACTCAATTTTGCATAACATGTCCCCTCTCTCACCTTATGCTCCTCCACTTGGTGCTTGACGTCCTCCAGGTCTGGTCCCAGAGGCTGAGCGCTCATCCTCTTAATGCGAGCCTCGGTCACATCCAGCCAGTCTGTCAGCTGCTGTAACTGCTGCTGCTGGAGCTCCATCAGCACTTCATGGAGCCTGGAACAACATGAGACCATTAAAAACACATGAAGGACCCTATGAAGGACACTTGGAGGTCATTGTCAAGGTGTAGAGGCTGTTAAAAGGTCCTATATTATGTTAAAAATATTCCCCCCTCAAAAAACATGCTTGAAGTTGTGTTTTGATTCATTCACAGATGTTTGAGTAACCCTTTATTATAAGTCTGTCTACATCTCCAAAGCTGAAAATGCTCTGTTCCACCTTGTAATGTCATGAAGTGGTAGTTTTCAAGTTAACAAATACCTTTTACATTTAGTTCAGTAGAGATTGGCAGTTCCAAGGCTAAAGTTATCCAAATGATTCTAGTGAAGGTGTATGAAGTTTAAAAACACAGTGGAGCACTTCCTGCATTAAGACATGACATTGCAAGGTGGAACAAGGAGTTTTCTGAGAGAACTCAGCCTAAATATGCAGAATCTGGGTTTTAAACATGTGAATTAATCAAAATTCCAGGTTATATCCACATTATAACAATCAGAAAATAGCGTAATTTGAGGCCACAGGAGACTATTCAAAATACAACAAGGACACCAAGAAGGACACTAAGAAGGACACTTGGAGGTCACTGTTGAGGTGTAGAGACTTGCATGGGGAGTATTAACAGTCATAGCCTTGTGCTTTGTGCTAGCATCCTCTACATGATTATCACAGAGATTGTAGCATGGTTAATTAAAAGTGGCACGGTGTGGGATAGCAGAGCACTGAGCTTCATAATGGGGTCACAGTGGAGCTGAGCACTGGCTACTGTTCTGTGTCCTTTTCTCACTGTGCAAAGAGATAGAAAATTGATCAGGTAAATGCCCATAATACTGAAATATCAACATCAATTTCAATACTAAGGAACAGACTCAATACTCAATACCGATGTCGATACTCTTTATTTCATACTCTAGGTTTCATAGTCTATGTGCTCTTATTTTTGATACAGTTTTGCTACAGCTTAAGAACATTCTAAAGCTGTTCAGGAACTGATTTTTGATTTTTTTTTGTTTCCATTATATCTTTATTAATATATTATGATGTTACTGCATATAATAATTACAAAATGTATTTATTAATTCACTTTAAATAAACAACTTTGCTGTGCTGTGTGTTATGGTGGATGGTGGAATCAGAGTGCATTTTCTATAAGCCCTTCATTTTCTCCATTTTATCTGCTGCAATAAAAAAATTATATTTTCCTTTAGGCAAATTTGAGTCAAAACATAATTAAAGCTGAACAGAAACCAAATACATGTTGCCCATTGGAACTTGGAAACATATATTTTACATTATAGGTTACTTTTTCTTTCTTTTTTTAAAATTAAAGGGCCCATATAGTAATTTATGATTTATGTTATAATGTCATTTCCTCATCAAAAACATATGTTTAACACACAAATCCTGCATATATAGGTCTTTTCTCAAACTGAAAACACTTTCATTACACCATCATTTGCATAATTTTACCCATGGAATTGCCTGTTAACTTGAAAACAACCCTACATGATATTACAAAGTGGAGCAGAGCATTTTGAGCTTTGATGATGTAGAGAGAAAGGGGGATTACTCAAACGTGTGAATGAAATAAAACACAACTTCTGATATGTTTTTGACACAGTAACAACATTCTAACATGGCTTACAAGAGTCAATTTTGTGTAATAGAGGACCTTTAAAATGAAAATCCACCAAATCATACAATATAAACCTATTTCATCATCATTTCATTACACTGAATACATTACTTCTGTTTGTCTCGCACTGACCACACACTGACCTGCTCTGCCTCTCCATACTGGCCACCCTTAGGTGCTCCCATCTTGAGTTCAGGAGGTTCATCTGCTCGCGCACCTCTTGTTCCTCCTCTGCGCTCAGGTTGCCCTCGGCCAGCAGGGCGGCGCCAGCTCTCAGCACCCTCCCCACACTGCCCTGGTGCGTGGTCAGCTCCACCATGTAGCCCTACAGACAAAGCAGCATATGTTTCACAGAGTGTCTACATTACAAGTGTAACTCCCCTCCCAGCTCTCTTCAGGGCCTCTCAAAAGCCATTTTCCCCTCTCACCTCGCCGCTTAATCCATTTACAGGCAGCACTTAGCTCGTCTATGGTCCTCCCAGGGTCTCGCCAGCAAAATGTTCAGGGTTAATTTCATTTGGAGCTCAAAAGTCAATAGAAGCCACACTTCTAGGAAGACTGCATCCATCAAGAACATACTTACACCAGCGCCCCAGGCGAGGGGCATACAGTAGAAGGTAAATATGATATGGGATCATAAAATCACATTATAGTCTTAGATTGTCTCATTCAGTTACACAGGTTTACACTGCCATTGGGACAAATTTAGCTCATGAGGAGTAATCGAGCTTGGTTGTGGCCATTCTGATATAGAACTGTATGTACAGAAAATTACAGTATTTGGGAAAAAGAAATATGAATTGACTATCTAACTTCTGGTTGTGAGTCCACAACTTGCTTGTCTCCTTAAAGAATGTCTTTGCTTAGAATGTTCCACAGTATGGCATTAAACTAATCTGGAGACCAGGAGGTGGTCTCCAGACATATCTGTGGAGAGGTAAGAACGCATGTTTTTTTCTTTAGCTGTAAAACATCTTAAATAAATACATGTTGAATATATGCAACATTGTCATCCAGTGGAACATTCCACTGAAAGCAATAACATCTCCGTGGAGACAAGCATGTGGCAGAAAGTTACATATTACACCTTTAAAAATAAATCTGAGTTTGTGTTAGTAATTTACACTTCCCCTGTAGCTCGATAATTAGTGAAACATCCAGTATTTCGCATCTACATAAAAAGCTTTAGACTTGGACTGTCTGACAGGCTTGGCACGCACTCTTATTGAAGCTCCAACCTCCAAAAGCTACAAACAGGAGCCAGAGCCAGAGCCACTTGAGGCTGTCTCCATAACAGTCTGTCCCTGTGGTCTGTGACAAAAAGCCTCACGCTGCTCTACACAAACATGTCTGCTCCTTTAATGGCGGACCTGTACGACCCTGTGTGTACAAATGGAGCTGGCGTTAATTCAGCCTGGGAGACCTAACTTCACTCCCATCTACCTCACACAGTACCTGCTCCTCAGCCCTCATCACCTCACTGCAAATACCTCTCATCCTTTCATCATCCCCTTCACTCTCTTCTCACCCTCGCCTTCATTCTCCTCATCCTCTCATTGTCCTCTTCATTCTCCTCATCCTCTCATCGTCGTCCTCACTCTCCTCATCAGCTCATTGTCTTCTTCATTCTCCTCATCCTCTTCATTCTCCTCATCGTCCTCTTCTCCTCATCCTCTCATCATTCCCTTCACTCGTTTCATCATCTCATCCTTCCCTTCACTCTCTTCATCCTCTCATCGTCCTCTTCATTCTCCCCATCCTCTCATCATCCTCTTCATTCTCATCATCTCATCGTCATCTTCATTCTCCTCATCCTCTCATCGTCCTCTTCATTCTCCTCATCCTGTCATCATTCTCTTCATTCTCCTCATCCTCTCATTGTCCCCTTCATTCTCCTCATTCTCTCATCGTCACCCTCACTCTCCTCATCCTTTCATTGTCCTCTTCAATCTCTTCATCCTATCATCACCCTTTCCTCTCTATTCAGTAAAACTAATAAAACTTCTACTCTTTGTGTGTCTCTCCAGGTTGAAAAAGTTCACAGATATATAACAGAGCGGGCCTGCTCACCTCGTGTGTGTGGAACTGCTCTTTGACCTCCTCCACGTTGTTGGAGATCGGCGGTTGGGCCTGGAGTCCATCTTCTGCCGACAACAGCCACGTCAACACCTACGCACAGGGAACAATAAGGTTACACCAGGTCTGTCTGGCTATACACAGTCAGTGATACACATTTTCTGGCACACAAAGATGTTAGATTACAATATATTTTATCTTTATCCTTTCAAGTCTGCGTTCACACTGTGCTGGTTTGGTCCTCCATTAGTCCCAGTTTATGTGGTTGGAGAATTATGACTCTGTGAGGAGTAACATCTGTATACACTCACAACTTGACATTACACAAAATTGTCCCTTGTAGCTTTAAGTCATATTATAATGTTGTTACCTCCTCAAAAACATACCTGAAGTTGTGTTTAATTTCATTCATTCATCTCCAAAGATCAAAATGCTCTGTTCCACCTTGTGATGTCATACAGAGGTAGTTTTAAAGCTAACAGCTACCTTTTTTTACCTTTTGTTCAACAGAGATTGGCAATTCCAGGACTGAAATCATCCAAGCAATTCTAGTGAAGGTGTACGGAGTGTAAAAACACAATGGAGCACTTCCTGTATCACCACATGACATCACAAGACGGATCGGTGTGTTTCCATAATTTGTGTGTTAAATGAAACAAAACACAACTCCAGGTATGGTTTGAAGAGAAAATGAACAAAATAAACAGAGATCAGAAAATAATTTCATATTGGCCCTTTAAGGTGTGGCAAATAGTGACTATGTTAAAGGTCAGGATCAGGAAATGAAAAATAAATGAAGTGAAAGTCAATTTAATGTTCTCAAAAGGATTGAAATTCATCATACGTGAGTGTGAACACAGCCTTAAATTCTTCAAATTAATAAAAGGATTAAGAACAAATATTTAAAAAACATGGATTTCACAGTCAAAATGTCAGTAGTTTTAGAAAAAAAAATTAAGAGGGGGTATTTTACTTCTGTGGGGTAGTAACTGCTAACATATAACATATTTAGATCACTATGTTACCTTTTATTGTTTAGAAAACGGTATACTCGACAAAAACAACATATGAACATGTTTAATAAGTTTGCTTTCATTTTTGGTGCTCTGAGACTCGATTTCCTTTGCTCTCTGCCCCGTTTAGAGCGCTATCATGACACAATCATCTACTGCACATCGCATCAGGTTTGTCAAGTTGTTGTGTACTGTTTTGTACCATGTTTTTGTATATTTATTAAGAATTGTCACGTGGGAGCTTGGATGATGGAGGTTTGCTCGTGGGCTGAGAATTTCACACAATCTTACAGCTAAGCGTAAGAAGGGTTTGAATAGAGGCCGGAAGAGCTTGCAAAATTACAGAAACACGCATGAATGACATCGAAAAACGCTTCAGGCATGTTCTTGATGAAGGAACATTATTATTATACAAGAAATTGCTTTTGCATAATACCCTTCCTTTAATCACATATTTAGTGTTGCTCTAATGCTTTAATATTACAACAATACCTCTTCGAGCGCAGCCTGGTAGCTCTCCAGACTGGTGGATCCTGGTGGCAGTGGACTCAGCCCTCTTTGGAGCTCCTCGTGGGCCGTACTCAGGAACTACAGAAGAAGAAGAAGAGACACACACTTTAAACAGTGTAAGATGGAGTGAGAAACAACTGAACGAATGAAGTCAGCTGAGAGAGGCTTGTAAGCTCGGACCATTACGGCGCAGACAGGCAGACAGGGGCTTTTGTCCAACTTGTCCCTGTGTATCTCTCTATCACTATCTCTCTCTATCGCTCCATGTGCTACTGATCTGGGCTCTAACAACTGTGACTCTCACCCCTCCAGGCCCATTCTTCTCTGTGGTAATAAGGTCCAGAGATACAAAGAGCCCCAGGCAAAGATAACTACTGCCTCGGACTCGCGCTGCTTGGTTTGTTTAAGATGACAATGCTCGACTCTGATAGGGGCTTTCTATAGCTTTTATTATAATTGAATACAAAATGCGGCGTTCTTATCTGTAGACAGAAGTTTCAGCCTCAAGTGTGAAAAATGCTTATAGAGCAACAGAGGTCATTTTTATTTGAATTTTACAAGAAATGTGAACATGTGCGATTATTGTTTTTGATATATTCCACAACTTCTTTGATGGAGAATCTGCCATCTGCTTGTCTAAATTAATCTGTTATTGCTTTGCCTGGAATGTTCCACGGTATGGCTTTAAACATATCCATATAGCATTTATTCATTACGTGTGTTTCTATTCCTCAAAAACATACAAATTCTTCCCATGAAAAGGGGTGACTCTCCACAGATCTGGACTGTAATGTTGCATAGTGCTGTAACCTGCTTGTCTCCCATGTGATAAATAGGTATAATCTACACTGTAGAACAGACATGTCAAACTCAGGCCCGGGGGACACATTTGGTCCACGATATAATTATATTTGGCCCACGAGAGATCATGACAAATTTGTACAAGAGCTGCCCGCCGGCTACAGATAGAGACATTATTTATTTTAAATGTTGTTATTATTTGATATTATGCTTGTTCTGGATTCAGTGTTCAAAGAAAACTATTATTAAACATTTATTTTAATAAGAAAAGGTTTAACATTACATATCTCGAAAGAAGAAAAAACATGCAGATGTTGTTGAAATCTTTCAATAAATATTTAGTTTGGCCCACAACTTAGTCCCAGTTTTAAATTTTGGCCCTCTGTGAATTTGAGACACCCCTGCTGTGGAACATTCTAGTCAAAGCAATAACTTTTCTGTGGAGACATCAGATGTCAGACTCTCCACAAGAAATGCTGCGCAGTACACCTTTTAACATCTGTCAGATGTAAGCTGATTTGAATTTATTTTTTATAAAATGTATTATAAAAAACTTGAAATTAGAATTCTGATTTAGGCATGCTATAAACCTTTTTTGAATTCAGTATTAGAGAAACACTTTCAAACTGTTTTGGATTTGAAATATAAATCAAAATCTCCATTCTTAGTTGTAAAAGACTTTCATCTAACATTTCTTTTTCAATTTTACAGATTCCAATTGCGATCTATGCACAATCTGTACATCTTTCTTTGTTCCTTGCCATTCTTAAAACCTCTTTAACACCTGAGCCCTGACTTGCCCATGAATAATAAATCACAATCGCATTCTTACTCAATTGTGAACAGCAGGGGGGGCTCTGCTAAATCTTATCTGACAAATGACCCGCTCCCCTGGCTAATGCCTTTAAGGTGGTCTCCATGTTAAACCAGACCCCACGCAGGTACATCACACATTTGACACAGTGAGAGCATATTCCCTCTGACTCCTCTATGGAAATCACGAGTCCGCCTTTAGTTACGGGTGATGGCTCCCAGAATGCATCATTGTCGTGAAAATGTCAAATTTGGAAAGAGATGGCGAATATCACAGGGGAGGAGAGACGGTGAATGCTTCTGTGATTTGTATGCGACGAGAGGTGCACGGTTAAATAACGCGCTGCAAGAATCAGACAACACTGTGACTGTAAAATGTACACTGTTACACAAAGTACATTTTTACATGTTTTGAAAGCTAAATTATTTCTCAAGGCAAATATTTACAGAGTGGATGGCTTTCTGAGTCTTTAAAGGGCCCATGGAATGCTATTTTCTGATCTGTTATAATGTTGTTTCCTCATCACAGACATACCTGGAGCTGTGTTTTGTTCATTCAAGTTTAACACACACATCTTGCAAATTTTGTTCTTTTCTCAAACTGAAAACACTTCCATCTCTACAGTTCCACCTTGTGATGTCATCCGGTAATACAGGAAGTGCTCTGTTATACTTTGAAACTCCATACACTTTCACGAGAATCACTTTCACACAATTAGAGGTATGTTTTTGAGGAAGTAACAACATCAGAGTCAACAACATCAACAACAACAAGAGTCAGTTTTGTGTATTATAAGACCTTTAATATTTTCTGAAGGTCAGGTTTTAGGTCAGATGCAGGCAGCGTGAGTAGGAGTTTGGCAAATAAGGCTAACTATAGATGTTATGTAGCATAGTGTTATATGAGTGAACAGGTCAGATGTCTTGGCCTGGTCTATAAATGTACAGTTACAAGCGGTTACCAAGATGTGAGGAGCTCTGTGGGAACTTTTTGTAAAGTTGGTTTCTAAAAATTGTTTTTGTTCTTTAACAGACTTTGAAAATTGGAACTAACTTTTAAACTTGAACTATTGAGCCCTCCAACTACCAACACCCATAGTTTTTTGTCTTGTTTTCTTTTTCTCTTCTTTTCTTTTCTTTTGTTATTTTAATTTTTTCTAAATGTTTGAAAAAATTTAAAGGTGCATTGTGTACATTTTCTGGTGGAGTGTTCATCAAATGCTTTTCTCAGTGGAGGTGTTATTACTTTGTCTAGAATGTTTCACAGTATGGTATTAAACCTTTTTCTATTCATGGAGACCAAACCAGACCAAGTTACAGGTCAGATCTGTGGAGAGGCAAAACCGCTTACAATCAGAATGAATGCCTGCTTTTCTAGGTATTTTTGAACTGTAAAACCACCTGTAATTTAATAAATGTGAGAGAAAGAGCTGTTTAATGTCATACTGTGGAATATTCAAGGAAGAGCTGTAAGATTTCCATAGAAACAAGCAGGTGACTGACCCACAACCAAAAAGTTACATCGTGCACCTTTAAACAACAATTAAAATTCACACAAAAAATAAAGTAAAATGTTGCTAATATTTTCTATATTTAGAGATGCACTGTGTCATCTTTCTGAATTTAAAAAAAACATCTGACATTCAAAGATATTTTTATTCAATCAGTCTGATGGCTGAATAGCTGACTTTGCTATTTGTCGATTTTAATGTTCAAGCTTTTAGGAATGTTTTTACTGTAGCACTTTGAGATTTTCTTGGCTAATGTAAAGTGCATTGCAATTAAAATGTATTATTATTATTATTATAAAGAGAGAGAAGTAATGCTTAACCTTGAACCACTGTATAGGATAAAATTTATTTTAACATGCATTTATTCAGTTATGTCATGTATTTTTATTGACCAAAAATATCCTAAAAAATTTACATTCTTATTGTCAGCAGGACCACCTCTCCACAGACCTGACTTACCCTGTTTATCTCTATGGAGTTAGAAAAGTTTAATGCCGTACTGCTCCAGACAATTTCAGACTAAAATCTCCATGGTGACAAGTAGAAAAGTGCACCTTCAAGCTTTTAATGTCTTTAAAGGTGCATTGTGTAACTTTTCTGGTGGAGGGTTTCACAGTATGGTATTAAAACTTTCTATTGTTGTGGAGACCAAACCAGAGCAAGTTACAGGTCAGATCTGCGGAGACGCAACCCCACTCAATCAGAATGACAATTTTCTAGGTATTTTTGAGCTATAAAACCATCTGCAATTGAATAAGTGTGAGAGAAAGCTGTTTAATGTCATACTGTGGAACATTCCAGGTAGAGCAATGACATCTTCATAGAAACAAGCAGGTGACGGAGCTTCTACCAGAAAAGTTACACAATGCACCTTTAATGTTTTAACACATTTGTTACCATAAAAACCTCCATCTTGAAACAATATTTTCCAGCAACTTTTTTATCACAAAAATAAAATTTAAAAAATAGTGTTCGTTGTCATGGTGATGGGACACAGACAAGCAGACAGATGAGGGCACATGCCAGCACACATATAAGCTGCAGAGAATGTGGAGGGTTAGTGCTGTTGCTAACACGGACCTGATCCGTAACGCGTCTCCTCTTTTGCTCGGGGGACTGGACATATGCGGCCTGCGTGTAGGCATAGCTTTTATAGCGAGGCTGAGGGGAGGGGCTCCGGACACGACCCTGCGCAACACTGACGGTGATCTGAGAGCGAGAGAGACAGAGGAGGACGAGAGGAGAGAGAGAGGAGGAGAGGAGAGATAGAGGAGAGAGAGACAGAGGTGGAGGAGAGGAGAGAGAAGAGGAGAGAAAGAGAGAGAGACAGAGGAGGAGAAGAGGAGCAGAGAGAGAGAGGTGGAGACAGAGGCAGAGGAGGAGAGGGAGAGAAAGAGAGAGAGACAGAGGAGGACGAGAGGAGAGGAGGAGAGGAAGAGAGAGAGACAGAGGTGGAGAAGAGGAGCAGAGAGAGAGAGGTGGAGACAGAGGCAGAGGAGGAGAGGGAGAGAAGAAGAGAGGTAGATAGGGAGAGAGGGGGGAAAGAGGAATAGAGGGGGGTGCCAGACAAAACAAGCCAAAATAAAAAAGAGAGGAGCAGAGGAGCAGGGAGAAAGGTGATGACAGCGAGAGAGAGACAGAGAGAAACAAAAAAAAGAACAGAAAGCAAAACATGAATAATCACATGGAAGCAATGTTTCCATCCAATTTTGAATGAAATATTTGAAAATATATAATTGAGATTTGTGTCAAAAATGTTTAAATTATTATTCATAGTAGGTAGTTTTGGGAGGTGAATTCAAAAAAATATTCAATATCCGTAACTGTCAAAAAAGCGTATATCACAGCTAAGACCTGGTTATACATATTTTCTGTATTTTTTATTCTATATTTCTGTGTTATAAAGACATAATATGAACAATGTCCAAATAGAATAACACCAACAACATTTTTTTTCTTTCTTTTGCAATGTTTTGTCTTAATTTCAAACTACGGAACTGATTCAATATTCAGTATGGATTACGATACCACAATGAGGATGCTATTTTTATACACAAAATAAATACTACTTAGTACTTTTTTATGTTACCAGTGAGGTCTTATACTTGTGCTGATAAAACTCAAAATGACATTGTTCAGAAAAGCTAAAATTTTGTCCTATTTTGTCTTGAATTTTTGCAGTGTCAATACTTGCTCAAATGAGTATCTACTTTCGATATTAGTTTTCATATCTATTAGTATCAGATTTTTGATACTTTTGGCTCTAACCCCTTACTAAACCTGAATCATTCTTATTTAACCATTTGCTCATGATGAATTTAGTCTGTGTCTTTTCGGTGGAGGATCCGTCACCTGCTTCTATGGATATGCCGTTGCTCTGCCTGGAATGTTTCACAGTATGACATTAAACAGCTCGACCTTACATTTATTCAATTACAGGTGGTTACAGGCATTCTGACTGCAAACGGGGTCGCCTCTCCACAGATCTCACCTGTAACTTGGCCTGGTTTGATCTCTCTGAAGATGGAAACGCTTAATACCATACTGTGAAACATTCCAGACAAAGTAATAACAGGATGGTGAAAGCATTTCACAGACCCTTCACCAGAAAAGTTACATAATGCACCTTTAAGGCTATAAACAGTGTAGTCATTGTAAAGTGCTAAGGTATTATCTCTATTAAATACACTATAATATTGGTATTTATTTGTGAATAGTTGGATGGAAACCCAGAGACAGAGACTGCAGACGTGGGAGCTGCTCATGCACACACAACAAAAATGTGATGTGGACAGAATGGACGAGAGACGGAGAGCAGAGTGAGACCTCCTGTTCACAATCGATATGTCTGCTGAGCCGGGTCAGGAGAACACGCTGGGGCTGATGTCTCACTCCACGCCGTCTATTTTCTCATCAAGTCCAAAACAATAACAGTAAAAGATAGATATATATATATATACAAGAAAACTATACAGTACTTTGACCAGGCAGAATAATATCAACACTGATTTGAATGGAGTAATGTTGGAACTTCAATTACCAAGTATATTTTCTGACGTGTGCTTCCTCATCGCAAACTTACCTGGAGTTGTGTTTTGTTTCATTCACACATGTTTAACGCACAAATCCTGCATATTTAGGCTGAGTTCTTCTCTCAAACAGAAAACACTCTCTTGTGATTTCATGTGGTAATACACGAAGGGCTCCACTGTGTTTTTAAACTCCACACATCTTCACTAGAATCATTTGGATCTTTTCAGCCCCAGAATTGTTAATCTTTACTATAAAAAAAGGTTAAAATGTACCTATTAACTTGAAAACTACCCCTCCATGACATCACAAGGTGGAACAGAGCATTTTGAGCTTTAGAGGTGTAGACAGACTAATAATAAAAAATAAACTTATTCAAACATGTGTGAATGAAACAAAACGCCACTCCAAGTATGTTTTTGATGAAGAAACAACATTCTAACATGACTTAAAGCTCACAAGAGTGTAATATAGAACCTTTAAAGTGTATTTAAAAGTGCACTATATAACTTTTCTGGTGGATAGTCTGCTACCTGCTTGTCTAATTAATTGCTTTGCCTGGAATGTTTCACAGTATGGCACTAAATTTATGCTTTTGCATTTATTAGATTACATACGTTTTTTTGTAGTTCAAAAATAGATAGAAAAACTTACATTACTGTGAGCTGGGTTGTAATCTAGCATCTCCTGCTTCTTCCCATGTATAGACGTAAGGTTAAAGCCATACAGCAAAATATTACATCTCCATGGCAACAAGCAACACCACAGAGTTACATAGTGCACCTTTAAATGTTCATGTTATATCCAACTCTATGCAAATTGTAGCCTTATCAGAAATTACATGTAGTGTCTGTAGTGTCTGTATGATATTCTCTGGCGCTGAGTTTCTAGTTTCACAAAGTTCAATTTCATGTTTTAATCCAGCAAAATGATACAAAAATTCATAAAAGTAAACCAACCTTTTGAGCATTTCCGTTCTGTCCGGTTGGTCGAGCATAATTCTTTTCATATTCCCAATCAAATAAGTCAAACATCAAATCTCGTCTTCACACAGTAGCAGAGCTGCCAAGGCAATTACAAGCCTGAAGCCCTTTATCACCGAATCCAAGCACCCAGCTCTTAAGTGACTACATCTTTATCTGCAGCCACCTGTAAATCTCCTGTTTATCCACTGGCCTTGGAGCTGATACAGAGAAAAGGCCACAAATGATAAAAACCTTAGCTATGCCCTCCAGACTATAAGATAAATGCTATACAACTACACCAAGGACAAAATACATACTAGTTTCACATTCTTAGAAATAAAGGTCCTATACTATACAAAATTGACTCCTTTTATTATTTGTCTGTCTACATGTCCAAGCTTAAAATGCTCTGTTCCATCTTGTGACATTATGTAGTGGTAGTTTTCAGGTTAACAGTTACCTTTTACCTTTTGTTCCAAATGATTCTAGTGGAGTTTGAAAACACAATAGAACACTTGCCCACTACCACGTGACATCTAGGTGGAACAAAGTGCTTCCTGTTTGAGAGAAGAAAGCTTAATTATGCAGGGTTTGTGTGTTAAACGTGTGAATGAAACAAAACAACTCTGGGTGTGTTTTTGATGAGGAAGCGACATTATAACAGATCAGAAATTAGGGTAATAGTGTAATGGGCCCTTTAATATGTCACCTAATGACTAGAGGCTGCTAGTACTGAGCTACTTTTTAATAAAAGCATACTTATTTGAGTGCTTAAAAGTGTAACAGTACTCTTAATTGAATAAAAGTTTTGGTTACTCTTCTCTTCTTGCTGTAAGTCTACAAAGCTTTAAGTTGACAATATTGATCAAATGTTTGTGGTTGATCCTTTGAAAATACCAGATTTTGACCAGAAAATTTAATATTTTATCCTTCTCATTACATAAACTTCAAATTATAAATCAGATGTTACTCTTAAGTACTAGTACTTCTGATATTATTTTGAAGTATTTGGTAGTTGTACCCTCTACTCATGACTAATACATACAAATTGAAGTCTTTAAATCCGCTCCTATATCCAACATACGTGATCTGCAATACAACATAAACAATGATGATGTATTTTCTTGTCTATGCCATTTTGTATGCAGTAACAGATAACGTTTATGAGTGGAGCCAATTACACCAGTGCTTCATTAGTACTATACACGAACACCACATAGAATAATAATGTGAATGAGTTTTTGATTGCTTTTGTCTACATATTATGGCAACACAGCGGATAATAATGTAAATATATAACCTCATACTTTCTGGGAATTTAACCTGTGACTGTTTCGTAGGTGGGAAAGAGTACCGACCTAGCACTGTTTTGTCACTGTGCCACCAAGGCTGAACTGAACGTTACACAATTTGCTAAAGAGAGCTCGTCAAAAAACCTTTTGTGTACATTGAGTCAGCGTCCTTGCATGGTTTCATTTTTGTGGAATAAAAAACCTTGGAAGTTGTCTATATTTTAAAGCAGTCTACTTATTCATTTCAAAGTGTGGTTTTTTTTCCGGAAAATGAGCACAAAAAGTTTGGCCAGAAGGACTACAGGTAGAGAAAAAGTATAGATATTGGAATTAAAGTGTGTATGACAGGCTAAATTACTAACTCCTACTTAACTTAATATGTACTAATTTTTATAATTTTATTTTCAATTTACCAAATAAAAAAAGAAACAAAAAAACAAAAACATGCCTAGTTCTGAAGACTGGTCATCTTACTTTTTATTTAAATTTCTTTTACTTCCTGGTTGGAAATGGGCAGCAGATATGACATAGAGGTATGGAGGAAACCGCTAGAAAAATGCCTTCCTTTCACAAAAATTCTACATTTCGTGCATTTGTATGATTGTAAAATTGTGCATTTTGGTGCTGCTGATGCTGATATGATGTATTCTATAGGTATTTACTACTACTTCCTGTATTTTTGTACCTTTCTTTTTAACTTGTTTCCACAAATTGTCATTAAACAGATAAAGATTTACTGGCATAATCCACTCCTAACGTGATTACCTTATGAAAAACATAACTGGAGTTGTGTTTTGTTTCATTCACATGTGTTTGTTTATTATTACGTCTACATCTTCAAAGCTCAAAATGCTCTGTTCCACTGTGTGATGTCATATAGTGGTAGTTTTCAAGTTAACAGTTACCTTTTACCTTTTGTTCA